TTGTTAAAAACCGGGGTTCGATTTTTTTTTTTTTTTTTTTTTTTTTTTTTTTTTTTTTAAATTTTTTTTTTTTTTTTTTTTTTTTTTTTTTTTTTCAAGTAACTACCTAGAAATAAAACATATAATCAGTAGTTGGTCTGATTTGAGAAGAAGATCAAACCTATAGAGCCATAAAGATATATCAAATGGTAGGGAAACAGCTTTGTCTGGAATACGAAAGCAGCTGAATGAGCCAAGTGATCCTAGAGTACTAGTAGTAGAATAACGTCCCTCAATAAAAGTGGTTAAAGTCTGTTCGAGGTTTCGATGAAGGAAATCGTAGTAAATTTCGAAGAGACTACTTGGGTAAGTTTGGAAGTACTTGCAACTACTAATAAACTAGCGGTTGCAAACCTGCTTAACATCCCAATTATCAGGTAGGATAGGTTAGGTAGGAACTTCATTACTTAAAAAGGGTTCTTGGGATGGGAGTGAATCGCGAATATGAAGGAATGACAGTTAAACCACAATGCGGAGATGTACATCAGCCTCTGCCAAATACATACAATTAGCGAAATATATATAGTATATAATCTAAAGATCTCTGGTGTGTGTAATAGACATGGGTTTTTGGCATGGATATGGCGCCAACTATAAACGCTGGGAACCTAACTACCTAGTCTTCTTATGTAGGTATTCGGAGCGATATATCCGAGTGGTATACATATACCAAAAAGGTATGTGCCTGAGATGAGGTGATACTAAATTTAGGTATAGGCAACCTATCTACCTAAGGTAAGGTAGGCTTATAAAACAAGGATTGGTTCAGGTTGTTCAAACGTGGCTTTTCCTTCTCCATGTGGCCTTCTACCCCTACAAGTAAGGGGTCGTACGTATAAAATAATTTGTTCAGCAAGGAAGAATACCTAGTCTTATTGACAATATACTCGCAGCTAAGCTCTGAAATAATTCGAAAATATTACAAGGTCTTGGGGATGTGCTCTCTTTGATAGCCGCTGGCGGGGACAAGCCCCATTCGCTTTTACCCACTTCATAACCATGCTCTCCTACTAGTGTATATGCCCCTGTCAGCCTGTGCCTAGAAGGAGGACCAGTGTAACCGTAACTTGTCAACGGGCAGAGGTTAATAGCGATTAGAACCATCTATGAGGCTTTAGGACTTAGCAAACAAGAGGCCCTTCATTCTATGCATGGAGCATGCTGGACGTGTATATACTGGGAATAAAGTAGGTACCAGGTAGGTACCTAGTATTAAGTTGGCGTATATAAGTGATTTCAAAACCAACAAAAGATTATTGATACAGAACTACTTTTTTTTTCTTTTTATGTACGTCCTGAAGGGACCTAAGACATACATCTCTTCCCGATTTGGTGCGAATATTTTCGAAGGATTCAAGTAACAGCGAATCCAATCCTGTCTCGCATCCTCCCATCTCTATCTGCACCTCGTCAAGAAGGATCTTAACATAATTCGTCGAGCTTGATTCCCACCGTTTCTCTTACTTCGCTTTGTCATTCACAAAATTCCAGGGTAGTTTTTGGAGTTCTTTTTTTTCCCCCTTTTTTGCTCCATTTATTCTAAGTTAGCCACTTTCTTTTATTGTCTACCTATGCTATTCTTGTCTCGTCTTTCACGAATGCATTAGAGAACTTCTCATTCAACGACTCCTAGTTTTAATAATAATTAACTACCTTTATACTTAAATCATATTTGATACTCGATGTGATACTTTGGTCCACCCATACTTTCCGGCCCTTCTTCGCCTTCTTTGCGCGCGTCGTCGCAGATTGGACCATGTCGGAATTCGTCTACTCGAACGACAATCTTAGCGAATCAGAACCAGTATCTAATAAGCCAGAGACCATCTGGGGGATTGTCATAACATGTATAGTACGTCACCTACCTTTAAATACTCTTAAATACTGCCTTCGCGATTCGGCTGTTTTGCCGGGTCAGCATGTGCGAATAGAGAGAGAGAGAGAGAGAGCTAGTTCTGACCTATCAAAACCCTAGATACTGTCGTGGATATGCGTTTGCCTTCGGTTGTACGTGCGGTTTAAGATTGTCCACGCCGCGGGATGGGACGATTTATGTGTCGTGCTCTACTTAGTAAGTATTACTACTCATCCCAGCAAGTGGTAAACACAGCTCGGCTGACGATATACCTCTTTGAAAGCTCACTATCACCGCGGGATCAATAGCAATATGTTTGGCAGTCACCTACGGACTCGGCAAGCACTTTTTGCAACTCGAATCTTGGCAGTATAAAGGTTTCCTGAAAACATTTTACGTCGCAAATGCCACATACGTAACGTCTACAGCATTGATCAAAGAAGCTCTTTTGCTGCAATACCTACGCGTTTTCGACCGAGCAACATTCATTCGACGGTTCGTCGTTGCGCTGATCGTTTTCACGGCGCTCTGGGGATTTGCATACTCCTTTTTAGCATGGGTTCCATGCGTGCCCGTCCACGACTATTGGTCTGGGAAAAGCGATCCATATTGCTATGGATATGGCTCACAAAGTCCGGCGCCGCTTGCTGCTACATTTGAGAGCCACGCTGCCATCAATATGGTTCTCGATATCATGGTTCTTTCTATACCTTTACCGCTACTCTTCGAAAATGGCACGTCATCTAGTGCGCGAGTGAGATTAGCTGCGTTGCTTTCGATGGGAATTCTGTAAGTTCTTCTTTTCTACCCAATCATCCTGAAGGCAGTACAGCTTACTCATAGTCACAGCGTGCTTGTTTTTGCGACATGGCGGTTTGTGACTCTTGTCGAGCATGATGTAGCGACGTGGCCAACAAGAGATCCGACCTGGTATGGTCCCATCAGTATCATCCTGACTATTCTAGAAGTTGACGCCGCGAGCGTCTGTGCGAGTGTCCCTATTTTTTGGCCAGTGCTTAGGGACATGGGTTGGGGCAAGATCTTTGTAACAAAGGAAATAAACATTACGAGAGAAACGCGGTACGTGGACAATGACCAAGACCGTCTAACACATGGTACCACAAATAGTATAACGGGGAGCGAGATGGACTTAGGATGTGGTGGCGGTAGAGGATGGGGGAAGCAAGAAACGCACTGCCACGAATCGTACGTTTTAAGTCAGGTGAACCCTTTCCGACCATCGATTGAGCAGACGCAAACGTGTGCGAGGAGTGATGTCCCCAAGAATAGTGCGAAAAAATGGATAAAAATATGAAATGTGGTAGTTAACTACAACACGATGAATAAAACAACGGGCTAGGTTTTTCGATTTCACGCAGAACCTGGATTTATCAACACAACTCGGAGGAAACCCCTAATCGAAAGACAAGCCAAGCTGCTGCAAGACTGCCAGTGCAAGCTCACTTGGTACCTAGTCATTCACTGGATTTATGCACCTTTTCTGCGTTTTGATCCCTCCATATCGCCTTTTTCGCCAATTCCTTTTCCGAACCTTCCCAAGTCCGCCCCTGGAGGTGTCGCAAACACAGTCTTTGCCCATTCTCTGGATAGTAGAGCCAAGTAGCCCACTTCAGCCAATCGCCTTGCTTCATCTGATTTCTCGCCCGCTGTCCAACGGTATCCTCGATGAAGGCGCCTCGGGGAATGGAGAGCCTCGACGGGAAGATGCGGGATAAATAGTGCTGAGTGGACGCCAAATGTGGTTTGTCGTGCCAGAAGAACATCGGGGTTAAAGGGAGGCTTTCACCGGATTCTGTTACGAATTCCTGCTTAAGATCCGAAGTAAGGCCTCTCAGCTCGGGAAAACGTACAACATGGGCCGAGTCCGCATAGGAAAGAAGACGTATTGATGGAAGACAGATGTATTTGACTGGTGACCTTTCGTCATCTTGAGTCGCCCGCATGACATTGAGCAGCGACTGTAAAGGAATATCCGAAACCAGTGACCAGTCATGCTGCTGCACCCAGACAAAGGGCGTCTCGATTAGCCTTAAAGCAGATCGTACAGCCAACCCAAACCCCAAGCGTTTCGACGGCGCTACAAACGTAATCCGTTTGTCTACCGTCCGACTGATGGAGAAAGGGACGAAGTTACTGTCGACACCGGCATAGCCAAATTCGGCTTTGCCTTGGTCGTAAGATATAATTCTTTCGTTGTCATGAGGGGCAAATTCCCTGAGAACCAGCTCCGTAACGTTTTTCTTGTATAATTCAAAGGTTTTAGCCCCTTCGGTAGTAACTTGCCCTTTCTTCAACCTCGCATGAGACGCAATGCGGTCATAAGTATCAAAAACAACTATCACCCGACAGAGTAGCAATGCTGTACAATGGTTGCGAAAAGACGATAAGATGGTCGATACCAGTTCCGTGGACGGCGCAGAAGGTGTTGGTGATGTGGTAATGATTATTGTCAGTAGACTAGGAATCGGCTGAGCCGATATGGCTGCCGACGACATTGCGCCGGGTTCAATGGATGGACCTGAGAGTTAAAACATCTCTACAAGCTACATACCTCCAAACACCAACGGTTCCCCTATCGTGTACGGGCTTTTAATTTTTTTTTTAAAAAAAAAATCAGTTGTTGTGTGAGGCCGTTCGATATTACAGGAGGGAGAAATAATCAATACAATTCAACATTTTGAAATTGTTAAGTGGAAGATAAACTTAGCAAGATTTGATTAATAGCAGGTGGCCTGCAGCTGTTCAAAAACTGGCAGCAGCTGGCAGTGACAGGTGTATTACCCCTATCTCAAAGTAGTGCAATAAGTTGATTTATGACATTTAATTCATCGACGCAATCGCGCGTAAAGCATTAAAGCTCAACGCCAGATACTAATTAAATGCAGTTCAAAAGTTGCTACCTCGAACGCGGTATGTCTAAAGTACAACTATTAAAGAGAAAGCAGTAATACCGCACTCTGCAAACCACTGCGGTAACCAGTAAAACGCCGGCATTTCCGCCACCACATCAACTTGATACTTCGCTGTTTGATGGATAGTATAGCATGATCCATATGCTCCATTCCTCAAAGCGTTGAACGCATGTATCGTGACTAGGTACCTTGCCTCTGCACCTTAGGGTAGACAGAGCTCCCTATTATGATGGAAGAAGTCGCGAACAACGCCGTCATACCTTGCAAAGGTCTTCTTGCACTTTGATCCACCCTCGAATTCCCAGTTGCACATATATCGCGGTGGCTTTGCGACGCCATTTGTAGCATCGGATACAAGAATCTTCCTAGCATGCGTCGAGCGTAAATGTTCACGCACCTCGGACTCAGTGCCTTTGAACCCACAGCCATTCCACATGCAGTATTCGCCAATGTGGGTAAACTTTATATGCTCCTTAAGTGTGTGTGGCGTTTTGCCAGTATAATTGCCGCAATGCTGGCACTTGTATTGGCCCTGTTGAGAGTCTGTAGCCTTTTCCTTGCTCGCTAGGCGATCATCAACAGAGTCCATGCCAGTTGGTATTCCTTTGGCAACGTCCGTAGAATGGACTTGGCTAGGAACATCGACGTTGAGACCACTGTAATTTGGATGATAATCTTGAGGAGGGTCTGCATAAGCAGACTCGCCATGGTAGTAAACATCGCGAGGGTGGTGAGAAGGGTCACCGTAAGGGGCAGGATCGTAGTAACCCCCGGGAAGGGCGTGCGAAGGGTCACCGTAAGGGGTAGGTTCTATGGAACCGGGGTTAGCTTAGCTGGCACCTATGATATCGTATATCACCAAGCTAGGTAGCGCTTGAAAGATAAAGAGACATGACTGAATGCTTCTAATAAGCACGTTCTTGAAATTGAAAGAGTTCAATACTCACCATTATCGTAGGGCAAGGGATAGCGCCAGTCCTCCAGACCGGGCCAGTATTGGGGGACTTCTTCATGATTATCCATGTTACCAAGGACAAATTTAGGTATACCTAATGTTTTATCTTCCTTTTTGACTGTTGGATAAAATCAATGTATGTTTTTTTTGGAGAGAAATTTTCCAGAGTAAAAAAAAGAAGAAGAAAAGAAATCCCGGGTATGGAATTGGGACTTTTGAAGCTCAGAGTTTTAGATATGTACCTAATATTTCATTGGGAACCATGTAGTATTTTATATTGAGTGAATGCCTACTGCTCATTCTTAGGGTCCTTATGTATTGTGACATATAGCTAAATAATATGGAAGGAACTGTCAAGGACAAGTTTAGCCTTGAGTCGTCCTCCAATCGTCTTTAATCGTCCTTGAGAAGTCTTTTAGTCGTCCTCGAGGAGTTTCAAGTCATAATTGGCAACTGCAATGTGCATTCCCAGATATTTTGTCTGCCTGATTACCTTCTGGATAGCCATAGCTTAGGTAGGGAGTTCAGTGTCAGGTACTATCCTTAGAAATACCCTCATATATGCGAAGTCTGTAAATTCTAGCTTAGTAGACATCGTAGAGCCCTAACTGAGACCGGGCCAGCTTGTAAGCATGTCCTGAAAAGGCCCCAGAGGAGTCTAGAGAGAGCCAGTTACTTTCTTCGAATTTCATCTTGAGGTTAGTGAATATGATATTGGGTACAGTGTGTCTACTTTCGACAGTTGTGTCACGTCGTAGAGCATGAGGTAGGTTGACAACTCGTTGTTCCGTGAGGAACTCTAACTAGATAGCTTTGAAGCCAAAGCTAAAGCTATCTACAAAACAACTCTTTTGTTCCCAAGACGTCTCAATCGAAACTTCTGAAAACTTGACTGGGACACATCGTTAAAGGGAAAGAGCTTAATGCTTGATAAAAAGCATTTTTCACATCTAAAAGGCAGACCACAGGTAACATAGATTGCACCTGTATGTGTTCCATAGAGAAATTGGTTTACGTTTTACAACAAGAGCCAGGTAATTATTTGACATGACTCACATCGGTTAGCTCACTGGGTTGCTCAAGAGTTATTGACGTGAAGACGGCGAAGCCAACGTATAGGCATGTCAAGGGTTGGGTAGAGATAATTGTTGTTGCACAAAGGGAGAAAGAGGTAACTAGTAAGAGGTCCCTCGTCTGGCTATGTTACATACAGGATAGTGACCTACTAGAATCTACGCTATAGGACCGTACCGTGACAAGGCATATACATTGTGAGTATCTCCTAAGTAAAGCGTCATTGGAATCATGGTCAAAGAAATAAGGTAACTCCTTCGTCTTAGTTGCTTTGGCGCTGTGAACTTCACAAGATAATTTACTCTCATGAAGCTTCAGATAGCCGACTTGTGTAATGTGTTTATTATTAGTCACGCCGTCTTTTCCCATTGACTTTGGAAGAGTTGTAGATATGTCACCTAAACGGAGACCGTCAACCATTTGGTCTCTTGTTTCGTACCGGATGTGTTTCCTTAACCATGAGCTATACTAACGCCTTTATCAAAGTATGATAATACTATGTAATAGTTCTACGATTATAGACAACCTAGCGTTTAAGCAACCTCTTGGAAGAATTGCCAAACTCTAAGAGCTTCGAGATACTCCACTCATTGAGCCCTAATGATCAACTTTCCAGGGAATGAAACTTCATTCAGGATTAGTCTATTCGGTTTAGCTTCCCCAAATTCAATATCAAGTAGTCAGGTAGACGTTAGACTTTCATCGACTCTCTGGAGAAGTTGAGTCGTTGCGTCTAGACCCCAGCGACAACGAGAACCCCGCAAGTAGTAGAGCGTCTGCCATCACTTTGCAGCACTTAATCATCTGCAAGGATCAATTACGGGCTCGTTCTTATGCAGCAATACTATGTATTGAGTACCACAATAGCCTAATTAGTTCTAGATTGCCCAGGTTATACTTTATTATCCAGGAGATTGTCCTTGTCCGTATTACCCCGGTCCCCCTAGCCGTCCCCAAACCTGGGGTTATGGGGTAACGGCCAGCTAACGAGATGAATGCTCCTTGGCATCCTTAATACCCCTTCGGCACTTGCAGGGTTGTCATCTTTATGCACACGTAAATATTACTCCTCTTCTCGCGTATAGGATACCTACTATGGCTCTTGCATTATTTTGTATTATTATTTTTTTCTTTCTTTTTTTTAAAAAAGCACGACCGCTTTGTCTCAACCTGTAGAATACGCGACGCGCTGGAGAGGCAAAATGACGCCCAAAGACGGCGATACTATACGTGCCCATTGGCGATGCTTCGTGGCATGCGGCCTTATGGTCTTATCACCATTTCAATATGGCCTTGATTTTGGATTGATAGGAGGCTTGCAGGCAATGCCAGGCTTCCTCAAAGTTTGTTAACTGAATCATTACCTGTATATCTGAGCTTCGCTTCTAACAACAGCTGGTCAGATCTACGGCCATCCGGCTTCAAATACAGCAATCGGCTGGAACATCTCAACGGTGAGGCAGCAACTGATCACATCACTTATGACGCTGGGCGCGTTTGTCAGCTCTGGTACTGCAGGCTTGATAGCCGCCAAACTTGGTCGGAAAACTTGTTTATGGCTAGCTTGTCTTGGATGTGTTGTTTCAAATATTATAATGATGACCACAATCGATATCAACGCTCTCTACGTTGGGCGGCTATTGAACGGGTTGGCGAACGGCTATTTTATGACATTTTCCCAGCTATTCATCCAAGAGAGCAGTCCCGCCAAGTATCGTGGACTCTTCCTCACCGCGTTTCAATTCTGTACCTCATTCGTAAGTCGAGCATGTCTTTACCATAGGCGAGTTGCTGAATCCTAATTTAACATACCCAGGGTACATTAATCGGCACAATCGTGGACTGGGCAGCGGCGTCACGGCCTGATCGATCAGCTTACCTGATCCCACTGGGACTTATCTATATTGTTCCTCTGCTACTGACAATTGGGTTGTTCTTTATACCGGAGTCTCCCCGCTGGTTAATCCTACAAGACCGAATCGAAGACGGGCATAAATCCCTCCAATGGCTAAGACCGACTGGAGCTCAGATCAACATTGAAGTCGCAGAAATCAAGGCGGCGATCGATAAAGAACGTGAAATGGGCAGCCAAGTTGGCGTTTTGGATATGTTCAAGAATCCCATAGATAGGAGACGTACGATCCTGGCTGTTTGCGGAGTCACTCTGCAGGCTGCCACAGGTTCAATGTTTATCATATGTGCGGCCATACCCCCTCTCTAAGACTCTTTTCAAGGTATACTTACCATTCTCTTTAGCATACAAGGCCTACTTCTTCACAATGGCCAAAGTAGCAAACCCCTTCGCGATGGGCTGCGTCCTCAGCGCAATTGGCTTGTTAGCGATCGTACTCAATTCCTTGATCGTGGTGCGCTATGGTCGACGTCGCGTTCTTCTTATGTATGGTCTTGGAACTTGTGGCATTTTGCAATTGATTGTCGCGGTTGTATATGACAAAAATCCCGGCGCAACAGCAACTGGCCAAGTCCTTGTAGCCCTGTCATGCCTCTACATGATGAGTTACAACGTAAGATCTGAAACCTCCGAAAGAAAGTATTCGGGCCAGAACTGACTGTATAATACAGGGCATGGTTGCGACCTACGCGTGGTTGAGTGGTGGCGAACTTCCGTCGCAGCGGCTACGCAGCTACACGTTTGGGTTGGCAGCTGCTGTGGCATTCTTTGCTGCTTGGCTTACAACATTTACAGCTCCTTGTAAGTATCATGCTTAATACACATTCCGAACCATACGTTGGGACTCTGGGTATTCTAAAGCTAATTTTCACTCCTATAGACTTCATCAATCCAGATTCTCTAAACTGGGGTCCGCGATACGGTTATATCTGGTTCCCGAGCTCAATAGTAGCAGGTGTTTGGGTATACTTCTTCCTGCCTGAGGTTCAAGGTAAACCAATTCCCCATTGAATCGCAGAGATAGCTACTAACAGCGAGGTATAAAGGTCGCACATTGGAGGAGATAGACGAAATGGTAAGTCGAGGAAACAAACTTAAGAATATGCTAAAATCTATCATACGTTTGGCTAACTGTGTTGGTTCCAGTTTGAGGAAAAACTGCCAGCTCGGAAATTCAGGAGCTACAAATGTGTTCGCCGACTTGCAACGGACGAGAAACCAGACATCCAAAATGAGGAGTAAATCTAAGGTCAGATATGTTCCTCGTCATGTAGAAATATAAGCGATCAGCGGAAATATTTGCGCTATAGAGTAGAGGTAGAATATGTCTTCCGAGTTAGCCATGCAATCCGTCTTACCCCTAGACGGAAGACACAAATATTCTAGACAGTCATTCATGAATATGAAAGAGCAACGTACCTATCTTGATTGTAGAAATATTTAGCCGGGGTACTACAAAAAGAAAAGGGGGGGGAGGGGAAATTAAGGAGTAATCCAAAATACGTCCATATGAAATAAATTTGTGACCTACTAACTAAGCATCCTTAGATTTCTGTAGCATTTCATAAGGTGGCTTCCTTTTAAGAACCTTATAAAGGCGGGAATGACCTCTTATTAATCTAATACACTAGCCTACCTACCAGGCAGCTAGGTACTATCTATTGAGGTATCTACCTAGTTCCATAATTAAAGTTGCCCAATACATTTAGACAGCATGAATAGATGGATGAGAGGTACCCTAATTTCGTTTACATGTGAAATCAATCTCGAGTGTAAGTCGAGGGTAGGTTTTCCGTGGCGGCTATCTAATCCATAGTCACATACCCTCAAGATGATTAGTGTAGTGTATGGGACCGGCGTTTAAGTAGAAAAATTATGGTTGGAGCGGTCGACGTTATGAAAAGCTATATTAATGTCTTCGTCGTTGCCATTGAAGTCTTTATCGAGAGCGAGGGGGAAAGCAACGCTAGGTCTAGTAAGAAATTGCTCAGGATGAGACGAGTCGTATCCAACTATAAACCTTGGTGGGTTTGTTTTATGTAGGATTAATGGGACTATATTTAGGTGGCTGTAACTAAGAATGCGCAAGCGCGACGACGTTTGACGGATCGAAGATTTGGGTTTCTCTTCTAAGCGTGAGTGACTCGAGGCGTTTTGTAGCTCTTGAAATCGATCTCTAAACTGATGTATAAGTGGTCGTATGTCTTGCCGCACACCGTCAACGCCGAAGAGAGGTCTGTGAGTACCTGGCGGGGCATATATTGAAATGTCAAGCGTGAATGGCAGGCGATGTCTTTCCGAATTTGCTAGCAATGCCTCGACTGACAAATCTGAGAAAACCTTATTCGCAAGCTTTTGATGTAACATTGTTACATCGTACCTTATAAGCCGTAGATATCTTAGAGCCGGTGGTACTGGTGCTCTTAGGTCATAGTTGATTTTGGTTATAAGAAATGGCCCGAGTTGGAGATGAGAAAGGGCCGTGAAGTTGGAAAGTGAGAGGACTAGAATCTTTCCGTTTTCTAAACATTCTCCGGAACGTTCGATATGAAGACTCTTGAGACTTCCCGCTTGCTGGGCGATAGCGCGGTTGAAAGCATCGGTATCATCAAAGGCGAAGTGATCACCGGCTGCCGACTGGTTATGGAATATCTCGCATAGAGTTAGGTTTAAAAGCTTCCTCGGGAATGATAGAATGAGGTTTAAGGCTTCGACAGAGAAATCGCATTCTGTAAGGATTAGAGATTTGAGCGCGGTTTGGTGTTGAAAACGCTGTGGCATTTCTGTGTTGCTTTTGACTGAACTCTTTTAACTTATATCGACATAGGATATTTCTAGTGACTGGAGTTGGGGAAGTAGGAATACGGGAGACGTTGGCTCTATGTCCCAAGTTTTCGTCTCACTTGAAATCCAAATGAGCGTGACTGCGCTAGGGGGTCAGCATTATATCAGGTAGTAACAACAAATGAGACTGAACTGGGGCTTACGTGATCTAAGCTTCTGGAAAGGCCGTGGAGTTTCGAGGGATTCGCTAAGAAGGGAAGCTTGCGTAAATGCTCGCATATATTGGTCATTAAAGGATCCGCAGAGATCCTCTATGGTAGTTCCATGATAACGCACGAAGCATTCCAAGGCAAGTGATTCCAAATTCGGGAACGAGGTTAAGTCTAGGTCTAGGGAATAATGAAGAATATCAGAGGGATCATGTCGACCCATAGCGGAGTATAGCAGTTTCAAGCTTCGTAGGTAACTTCTTCGTTTGGCGACACGGGTGCCAGCGTCTAGAAACGTGTTCAAGATCGAACCATGGATGAACTTAGCAGTAGAATACAAGTATACCTCCGAAATTTCGCGAAGCACTTTGCACGTACAAGCGGCAGCTTGGAGAGCTTTAACATCCTGCGAATCCCAAAGATCTTTCATCACTTGTAGTAATAACTCGTTGGGCATTTGTAAGAGAGGCATGGCTGGAGACTTTTGATCGTATATTTCGACCCTGTTATAACTTATATAACAAGGCCGACAGCAGCATAGAGGAGCGGGCAACGTTGCAAGAAGAACGAAGTCTCAATGCCGTTGAACGTAGTTGTAGTAGTTGCTATGTGATGAAGCAAACAGCTGCCAAGGACCCCACTCCAGCTGATCCGGGCCGTATCATTAACTGGAAATAAACCGTACCTACCTAACCTGTATATTTTGTTCAAGCTAGTAAGAATCACGTTTTATGAATCATGTTTTATGAATTACTTTTTATGCTTCGGGGAAGATATCCCTACCACTTAAAACTCATCGACTCGCCAAAGGAACAACCAAAAAAGTGAATGAAGGGGAAAAAAAAAATCACATCATCTAGGAGAACCCCGCAACTACCTCAGGGATGCCAGGCTGGTCTTCACGACTCGAACTTGTCTCCTTGACAGGAACAACGCTTGTTATTCTAGCTACTACGCTATCCCTCATCAGGCGCATCGTCCAGCATACCAGGGGTACTAGGCAGAGCAGAATATGCCCGGCTGAGGAACGCGTCTTGATTATAGGGGCGTCGAGCGGGCTTGGGCGCGCGGTAGCGAAACGGTATGCAGCTCGCGGGGCTCGCGTATGCCTTGTCTCCCGACGTGAGGAGCAGCTGTCGAACTTGGCTCGCGAGTGCGGAGAGAAGTGCTTCTGGGTTGTCGCCGACTTCAGCAAGGCGGAAGACATGGTGCGGGTAAGGGTGCGGGTTATTTCAGAATGGAATGGATTGGATTCCCTTCACATATGTGCTGGGGTCTCTGCCGTGCAGCCGGTCATGAGCCTAGCTGGCGTGAGACCGGGAGAGGAACGGGACGCGAGCGATACCGACATACAGAAGGCTTTCGACCTTGCTACGCGAGCAACTCAGGGGAATTTTTACGGACCTTTCGTCGCGGCAGTAACGTTCATCCCTCTGATAACACGCACCTCAGCCTCTCCATCCATTCTTTTAGCCTCATCGATAGCTGCGGTGGTTCCGGCGCCGACGCGAGCCCTCTACTCGGCTACGAAAGCCTCATCATTGCTCTTGTTCCAATCGCTGGCTATTGAGCATCCCAACATTACGTTTACCTTCGTTCTACCGGCAACCATTGAGGGTAACTTCCGCGCGTCTGCCGTCGATGCTGATGAGGCAACCCGAGACGCAGGCCCAAATCAGCGTGGTCTTAAGGTAGATTACGTGGCGAAGAGATGCGTCGAGTCGATGGATGGACAAGTAAGAGGTAACGTGGTTATACCTTGGTTCCCGTACAGAATAGCGCAATCTCTATACAATACTTGGCCTTCGCTGATTGAGGGGCAAGCGAGGAAGAAGTATAATTTTAGATAGCTGTCGATTATTATTCATTTTTTGATATCTTCTCTGTCTTTTGTTTTCTTTTTTTTTTCTCCCTTTTTTTTCTTTCCCATAGGTAAGCATGTATTACCCTAGGTACCTACGGGTAGGTACTTGAAAAACTTGTTCATATATGACCAAGCAATTGATTTTTCAGAGTTTGCTATATGTATCACAACAGTGAATGTTATTGTGTTTTGTGGGTGCGGACTAGGTACCTAGCTACCTAATGTAACAATATGTACAATTTCAAAAGAAACTGTCCATGATTGATTCAGGTACGAGTTGTCCCGCGCTTGAGGTACAAAGGTACATAAAGGTATCGTATTCCACACGAAATAAAGAAATAAAATAAAATAAAGAATTGTGGGTCACCCACGGCAGAATTCTCACTGATTTGTTACACCGCTTTCATAATATTTAAAGAATTCTTTTCCTCCCGCCGCTTTTAACTTTTTTTTTCCTCTTCTCTTTTCTTTCCTCATCTTAGTGCACGGGCTTTACGCGTCACAGTGAGGAGCAATCCGAGTGCGTGTTTTTGCTAGTTGAAAACTATTTACTGACCACTCCATCTTGGCTTCGGCCGGGTTGGGAATTTTTGGAACCCTTTCTCTTCTCGAGATGTCGCGTTTTCATCACCATCGATCCCTGGAGGAACGAGGCGAGGAAGAATGTGATATTGAATATGTTATCTTTAGGCAGAGTACACTAAGTATTTGGTAAAAGTGCGATCGTACACGAGTTATATGCGTATTAAATAATAAAATTAAAACCTCGGCACAGACGTAGTGAAATTCAGACAAGTCCAGATGTTTTATTACTACGCTATTATTCTATTACAAATCCATGCGTGGGCTTTTAACCTATGATATAAAACTTCATATATTGTATTGTACGCTGTGGTACGCCTATATATTTACCTAGGACTTGCTGCCGAGGTTACGGTAGAAGATACAGTCGCGTTGACGTATCTAAGTTATTTGCCCAACAGAGTATTTGGCGACCTTCATGGCTGCTTGCAATAGCGCGGCTTGCCGTCGTAAAATTGTTTTGATCTGAGTCTGGCCCAAATCCAAGGTCTACAAGTTAGATAGCCCTCCCTTGTCGTGGATATTACTGGCCATGACTGGACATATAATATATATGCCTTGTAAAATATAAACTTGCCTAGCAGCGTATTAATCCGTAGGAAGCTGTGGATTATAAACCTCGTACCCTTCATCTTCCGTATCGCTTTCGGCGCCTAAATCTTTCGGTATGACTTTTTCATCTTTATTGTTATTCGTATCCGTATCTAATTCTTTTGTCTTGCTATTCTCGCTGTCTGCTGTTCCGCCGATAGGCGTGAATGCGCTTTTGAAGCCAGACTTCTTAAATCCTCCCTTTTTAAACCCGCCGCCGCCAGTTCCGGCTGGATTAGGATCGCCGCTGAGCTTGATGCTGATGAGGCCGTCTGCTTTAGCTTCGGCTTTCCTGGCGCGTGCCCCGGCTGTTGGATCTTTAACCATTTGCTTCATATCCTTCATGCGCTGGCGATGGCTATGGTCGTAGCTGCCCAGATGGGCTTCGTAGTCGTTCATGCGCGAGTAGCCTTTGGAACAGAGTTCGCAGTAGAAAGACTGTAGGGCCGCGCGGGCCGAAGAAGTCTGGGCCGGCGGCAGGGTCTGGTGTCGCTATGCATTTCAAAGTGCGGATTAGCTAGCTGCTATCTAAACTATTAGATATGAACATATTGAGTATGATACTCACAGGAGGCATGGCTACGTGTTATTATGTCTAAAGTACGTATGGGGGGGGGATGTATTGTGAGCATTGATGTTTTGTACAGGTCTGTTTTGTAGATGGGAAGTTTGACGATCCAAATTCTGGAGAGTCCAGCTCTACCTAGGTACCTTAGGTCTAAGTAAGTTTCACTAATACAGGTAGCATAGATTGTACCTAACCTAAGGGGAATAGGTACAATACCCGAAGGAGGTACAATACAATGCCTAGGCCCTAGAGCTATCGCGGGGTAGGCGGGGCAGACGCTACGTTGGGTACCTCTTATGAAGCTTATGAAGTACGAAGCAGCTTTCCTTGCCTTGTCATTGGACCATAATGCCTTAAGTTTTAACTTAAGGATATGTGTCGGGACGAAAAAAGAAAGTAGGGGGGAGAGGTGCTTTGCTATGATTGGTCCAAATATGTTGTGGCTAGGTTGTGGCTGGGGGAGAAGGGGGGGGCCGAAAAGAATATGGGAGGTGGAAGCGTGCTTTGCTCTGGTTGGCCGAAAGGTGATGTGGCTAGTGGCTAGTGTGCAGCTAATGCAGCGCTAATGTAGGGTTGAGCCACAGCGCCATTAGGTACGTACCTTCCCAGCTATCAGGGGGTCTTACATAATGTGACATTTGAAGATATATCCAATCAAAACGTCTAGTTCGTGGCACGAGCTACGGGGACTATGGCTAGAGGCCGGGTAATGTGGCAGGGTGTGGCTAGGGGTTTGAGCTTCCGCCGCCCCCCAGTAGGCGAGGCGGGCGGCGGCTTACATAAAGAGGTAACTTAGGTAACTTAAAACTTAAGGATGTAAGTCGGCGCTTGCGGTGACCTCCAGTTTCGAATGGTCAAAAGTCTTTTTCAGCTGCTCAGGCGATATCGACACTTGGAAACTTACCTAAACACCTAAACACCCATATTCAAGAAAAAAAAATATTCAGGTACCTGACAAAATTCAATTTAATTATTTCTCTTAAAAACAACCGTCAAAGAAAAAAAGAGATAAAAAAGAAAAAAACAGGAATGTGGCTTCATTATCCATGGCGTCCGATTACCGTACCTTAAATCCAAAAGCCTCGCAAGAGACGTTGATGTCTTTACTTCAGCTGGATCCTTCGCCCATTGACAATGCCTCTCTTTACGAAAAGGACCTCCCGCCTCTGCCCGAGGAGGCACAGGACTCTGGAAGCTATGGTTCTAAACATACACCAACCGGTTCAACTTCTTCTACCTTAGGCCTCAGTGGTAGTGGTCGTGGCCCAATATATTATTGTACGGTATTTGACATATCGAATTTTCTACTTCTCTCTCCGTCTGTCTTTCTCTCTCTCTCTCGCTTGCTTGGACCAATAAAACCTTGATTTTACTAACCGCAAAATACGCACAACATAGTATCACGAATTCAACGATATTCATCTTATACATTTTCCCTCTTCGCTGGCCTTCACTTCGCTAATACCTCCGTCATCCCCCTGGTTTATCGGTCTGTCCCCTATTCAGAGCCGTTTCTTCTTATGGCCCGTGAGCTCTACCAGACTCCTCTCACCGAGCCTCTCCTAGTCGCCCTTCCTGTCGTCGCCCACGTCACCTCGGGCATCGCCATACGCCTACTGCGTCGACGTCAGAACATACAGCGATACGGCAGCGAGACTCCGGGTATGTGGGCTCTGCACCACTCAAAATCATCCGACCGGAAGCATACCGTTAAAATATGGCCACCCATGACCTATATCTCCGTTTCCGGCTATGTCTTCGTTGGAGCTCTTGCCTCGCACGTAGCCATGAACCGCATCTTACCTCTCGTCGTTGACGGCGACAGCTCCAATATTGGCCTGCAGTACGTATCGCACGGCTTCGCTCGGAACCCGCTACCACCCTGGATAGCGTATTCGATACTGCTATCCGTCGGAGTAGGGCATATGGTTTGGGGTTGGGCTAAGTGGCTAAATCTCTCGCCGCCTGCCAACTGGAAGAAGATAACTATTGATAAGCAGCTACGAAAGACGCGACGGCGTGCCTGGTGGGGCATACAGGCTGTCACCGTCACCCTCACGGCTCTCTGGGCTGCTGGGTGCCTGGGAATCGTAGCAAGAGCTGGCCCCGCGGAGGGCTGGCTCGCCACGGTCTACGATAACATCTATGCCGCCGTGGGTCATTAACAAAAGAATATCAGGTATGTGTATATATGTTTTGCATATTGAACAGCATCAGCATCAGCATCAGCATCAGCGATTTTCTGGAGTTAAGGCTCCATAAGAAGCTTCATCAGAAATTAAGCATAAGTGACCCTGAATTCCATCAAGTCTTGTCGTGACAGAATTAATCCTACCTACATATTTTCCTTGAGCCGTAGGGATAAGATGATACCATTTCCCTAAGCAAATGCATCCGAAATCACGGTATATTTACTCCAAACTGCGAGGCCATCGTTATAATATCATATAAATATCCATCGCCATGGAATGCTACTGTCACAGTTGGTTATGGTGGTTTTAGTAGGTAAACATAGTGCAACATGAGGCAAATGTGTTTGCTTCTCGAATTCCCTTGTTGCCATTGTCTGAGATACCTACCTGATTCGTCGTCTACTCGTGTTAAGTCGTTTTCAGCCCATCATCTTCTTGTAGTATCCTTTTGCGAATACATGCTGATAAGATCAGTCTTATTCGGCCCAAAGACATACTACTTATTCCACAAGACACCTTCCAGCACCATGCCATCCCAACCAGGTCTTCGGATTTATTGACACGTCCAGCGCAGTAGAAAACTTTGATCTCTCAAATTGCTCCATCGAATAAGGGGTGGTTCCGTATTGATATCGAATTTTTGGGGCGGCTAGGGCAGAAAGCCGCCAGCGCACGTTCTCGTTCTAGTTACTTCGCGCTGAGACATCGATGGGCTACCACAAAGCATTGCACCACTTCCCATGAGCGTCGGACAATATGTGCACAAACCTAATCCTCTATACGGCTTGCCCCTCGTGTGGAAAGACTTTAACCAGTCAGGCCATCTACCAACGGGCTTGTGAGGAGGTCATATATGCTAGCCGAGCTGCTGGCAACCTTAGTATACCCTACAGCAATTGCTCTGGCGGCCTCCATCAAGAGGAACGGACCACGCTCGCGGCCGAGCCGTGCGGGTTTTGCCGCTGGAAAATATGGGTGAAAACACGGCGGGACCTGGCACGTTGGAATACCTAGGATCCTGCTATCCGGAGGGTTATGCGACGCAGCTTTACGGATATGGCCAATATGTGCGCTCGAGGAAACAAATGGGCAGATCAACGGAGTGCAAGGCTTGACTTACGAGGTCGGCGAAGCTGAGCTGGAAACGGACGAAAGATAGGATAGGGGGGACGGGGAGAAATGGCAGATGGCCGGGAGAGACGATAACGGAGCTGGCATGGGATAAACCTGCTTAAACTACGAGGGTGCCAGGTATTAATTTGATATAATAGTTGGCACAGGTTGTCACCCTGTATGGCGCCCCAGAGACCAATATCTAGCATCTGGCGACTATGAGTTGGAGGTACGATGAGGGCGTATCAAGCGAATAGACGCAATATAGCCTGGCCAGTAAAGGTTAGGATTACCCCTTAATCGGAGTAGCAACGCGCACTTATAACAGATGCTTATCGCGACCACAAATAGAAGAAAAATACTATGGGCGATTTATCTGAGTAAGATGTAATTATATTAACCTATTATTTATCTAATCTATATATATGACCTTCTCCAGGATGCCTTACAGTCAACCTTGACGATTCTCAACGAAATTGCTCGTGCGAAGTACCCTAGGTTGGTACTTACGAGTACCCCTTTACTCTGATCTCAGTTGAGGATGCAATACAATAAGAAACTACCCACCTAATTATATGATATTAATGGTGGTACAATAATGGGCACACAATCTCTTTTCCGATTCTTTCTATTGTCCTCCTTTTTTTTAAAAAAAAAAAATATCACCCTTCTCTCGCCTGTTTTTCCTTCTGCCTCCACGAAGCGGCAAATCTCCACTGGATGGCCACGCCCAATAGTGCAACGGCTTGGACGATGGCGCATATCGTAAAAGCCAAGCCGGCGCCGATGCCGCTCACCATAGGTACCACGAAGCTTGTGCCGCCAGCTGCGAACAAGCATCTGGCAAGGTTCAGGCTGGCGCTGGCCGCGGCGCTGCGGTCGGAGAAGATATCGACAAGGTAGGTCATGACAATGGACTGCGTGGAGACAGCGGTCCAGCCGGTGATGAACGTGGAGACTATGGGGACAGCAATGTGGACGCGATCGGGATAGTGAATGGTCCAGCCGAAGAGGATGATAGATAAACACTGGGTAAAGGAGAAAAGAGGGATGAGCCGAAGGCGCGCCTTTTCAAGTGGGAAGTGGTCCTCCGCGTATGATGAGGATTGTGGTTGTCCACTAACAGTTTCGGGATCTGCTTGAGTTGATCGAGCTTCGTATTGAGCCTTGACTCGGCGATAATCTATATCCAGTATCTTCCCCGTGACAAGCGTCCCGATCATAGACCCAACACCATTTGCGATGAACGTGAGGCCAATTTGGGTCTCCCCAAGGCCGTAGCGTTCTTGGAAGAGAGTCGACATGGCGGTGATGCTCATCTGCCAAACAGCATAGTATATTGCGAGGAATAGGATGATGGGAGCTGCATGTTTACTGATAAGGATGCGCAATGGTCCGGTAGCATCGATACGCTTCCTCGCCGCAGGCTCGGCAGAGCCTGCTTCCGGATTCCAGCTTACTGTAGTGAGATTCTGGTAAACGGTCAAGGGAAACGCGGCGAGCGGGTTTGACGGCTTCCTGCTGCCGTTCGCAACGATTGACCTCAGGGTTTCGGGCAGAATAATGATCAATAAGACGAGAAAGACGCCGCTGTAAATTGCTAGGAATACGAAGATTGCTCTCCATCCCAACGATCCCGCTAGAGCGCCTCCAATGACTGGGCCAACCGCGACGGGAACAAGCAACCCAGCCTGGAAGATTCCCATGAATCCACCGCGTTCAGCACGCGTCGTAATGTCTCCAATCACACCAGACCCAATTGCAATAGTACTTGCACTGCCGGTGCTTTGCAAACATCTTAACACTATGAGGGTCGCATAGTTCTTTGTCTCGGCCAAACCAACGCATGCACCTAGAAATACGAGGAAAGTCAAGACGTAGGCGATTTTGCGCCCCTTAACGTCTGAGATGGGGCCCCAAAGACTAGGTGCTAAGCCTTGGAAAATTAGATATGACGTTACTGTGAGGTTGACAAGTTCTATGGAAATGTCCAGGTCATGAGCAATGGTTGGAAGTGCGGGAAAATAGATATTCGATGCAAATCCGGAAACTTGTTGATATAAGTTAATGAACATCATAATGGTGGTATTGGTTGTTTACTCACAAGTTGCAGCGGTCGAAACAACAAGTACTATCAGGGCTTTCTGCCGCTTGTCGAAGATGCTATACGGTTCTTCCGGAGCTGGCGAGGCTGGTGGTGTATTCTTCAATTCTCTTGGCTGTTCCTCAGTTGCCATTGCTTATTGCCTTTATATGATTTCAATTTTTTTTTTTTTTTTGAAATATGATGGTTCTGGTAGTGATATGTCTTAGTCGGCGTGTGTTGGAATGCCATTCATATATCCAGTTCGGGGCGGAGTTGAGCATCGGCGGCGTACGGAGTTGAGAGCTTAAAGGCCGGATTAATAACCAATCATCAGTCGACCCCGAAACTCCACCCGGCTTCCGGACTTGAGCGGCCCCTGAATTCAAAATGAATAATACGATGGACAATTAAACGCCGTAAGTATCAGTTCACCATTATTATTCTCGTATGTAGAATAAATTTCCACCAGGAATTATACGCTACATTCGTTCCTGCGATCATCTTTGACAATGGCAGCTGAACATCCTAGGATTACTGACGACGGTGTGAGCTTCGGCAAGAGTTATGCCGTACTCAACCTAGACTTGATGGCGATTCTTATAGATGCTGTCAAGGATACTGCAAAAGGGCAAGCTTTTATTTCTAGCTGCACACGCTGGAATGATGCTGTTCACAAGATACACCCGCGTCCGCCAGTCATCTTCACGACTCTTTCCTTTAGCCCAGGGGAGCCGGAGCTGGCAGAAGATGCCCCGTTTGGGAAAATCATCAGAAACTTCGGTTCCTTCATCGCTGGATCTTCGGCGGTGCAGATAGCATCCAATTTCGAGGTTGACAGCAAAGATATTGTGCTCCAGAAAACTAGGTGTTACGGCGGCACAGGGAATAGCCTCGAGCAGATTTTGAAAGCACGGAATATTGACACCGTCATAATTGTGTGTTTTTGGTACTTTCTTCCTTTCGCACAGAGGTTAAGCTGACGAGAATATTTATAGTCTGGTTTGAGTCTCTCCGGAGTAGTGATGAGTACGATTTATCGATTATTTGATCTCGACTATAATATTTACGTTATCTCGGACAACGTGTTAGAACTTCCGCTGGATCAGCACCAAGAATATTCTCGGGTCATGTTGGGGAGCCTCTTACCGAAAATGAACTTGAGGGTAATTTCTGTCGATTCGGCTTTGAGAGCTGTAGAGCGGAGTTTGGTGGACTGCGGTCCTGTTATCAACTGAGACTGTTACATTAGGTATACCTGGCGTGTTTGCAGACGCATATTAAGTCCTTCAGAGTCTATGATTTGGTGGTACGAGGAAGATCAACCGCCATGTGTGCAGCTAGCTACCGCATAAAGCACTGTACCAAATTCATCAACATTCTCCAGCCAACGGTCTACTCTTCTGCGTCTTTCAAGAATACCAAGCTCGTCTAGCTCTGGAGGAATCGCCCATAGTTCGTCAATACGAAAGCTTTCCTCCGGCCAATCCGCCAAATATATGTTGTATGCAGCTTCCCAGTCCCGTCGTACCTGTGACCTCCATAAAGATTTGTCTGCTGAAGCAGGTAGCCCCCGTAGTTCAGTGCCAAGAAAAGTCTGAAGGCCGTCCTGAGTCAAGAGGACGCTGTCGAAAAGGTACATTGTGAATAATGCCCGCCGCTTTGACTCGGCCACAATCCAAGCTTCCCATCGAGGACGAACACGCTGCCGCTCAGCTGTGCACATAAGCCCTCCTCGGCTACTTGAACAGGCAAGCTCTTGGAGATTCATCATCGCTTGTCGAAGGAAGGAACTCGAAACTTGACCAAGCCTGAAGAACAAAACCATCGAGTAGATGAGATAGGCTTGGAAAGCTGCTAACAGAGTAACGTCGTCATATGTAGCTTGTTGTTCGCAAATATTGATCATCTCCCTTTGTAGCACGTCGGCAGCAACGCCCTCACTGCCCGGCAACGGATTCTCGCAAATCCGAACTAAACTAAGACACGTAGAAAGCGGTAGCCTTGCCGAGGATGCTGAAATTTGAGAGGCATGTATGAACGGGGGCACTCCACGGCCGCGTACGATAACAGTTGCATAAGACTTTAGAAGCCTATAGATAAAGGCGGAGATGGAGGCGGGATATTCCTTCACTGTTTGGCCGGGGACTGGAATATAAGTGTTTAACCAACGATCCCTGATGCCATCCACATTGATAGGGCTAAATAGTTCCAAGCCTGAAAAGTCAAGCGCATCCAAGTTCCTAGGTGGACAGCCCACAATGCCTAGTGAGGACTCGTCCGGCGTCTGGCTTGCGACAAATGTAGTAGAAGAAGTGTTAGTTGGGCTTGCGCTACCTGCGGCCTGCGCCAAACCAACAGTTAAATTCTGAGATGTGGTGCTCGGAGACGTAGAACTCTGAGAACTGAGATGTTGAGAATCAGCTCCAACTGATATTTCGGGTTCCTGACCTGGAGCAGATAGAAGGCTCGTGTCGGCAAAGGAGTTGTATGATGTCTGGGGATAAGAACAGGATATACCTCGCAAAGCGCATCTAGTACAACAACCTGCCTTGCGATCGCATTTAGCCTTTGCGGTAAAACATGGTTGGCAAGCTTTTTGTCGGGAAGTAGAGTATCTTGCAGACTTCATAACAGTTGTCGTAGTTATTGTTCAAGTTAGGTTAGGTATAGATACCTTGACCTGGGTGTAGGTACCTTAGAGGTAGGTACTGTAAAAAAGATATCATAAGAGTCCTAAGAGTGGAAGGTGAATGAATGGTGGATAGTGGATGATCTTACGGTTGGTCTACCTAAGATAGTGTCTAATTTGGGGCTCGATTTGAATTATTTAGGTACCTCCTACCTAGATCTTTACAGGCTGCAGCCCCGCTAAATTACTACGCGATAAGAGGTACATAGTAGGTACTACCTACTTCTACACTCTTTAGATCATACCCCCGCTAATTAATGAAATGTTTACTTTTATGGTGCAGTTCACGACTCCTATTCATCTATACGATCACCCGATATGAACACCTTAATACCTGGTAAACACCTTGGATAGGAGGAGGTAAGTGTCTATATCACATTGGCAACTTCTGGTAGACCTACAACTCAGACCATGAATATATCATAAATATTCATTTAAATCCTTAACTAAAAAGCCATGACAAATCTAAAAGATTTTAAAGTTATTTCCTTCGATGTCTACGGCACTTTGATAGACTATGAAACGGGATATACTTTCATCTCTGGAACCTCTCGTGTATGCTGAAAGAAGTCAAGGACCGGTTCGGATTCGACAAGGGTCAGACCATACAGACTGCGCAAAGTTAGTTCCATGATCATCACCCGGCACGAGCTAAAACTCTGCCCACTAAGATCAACCAAGAGGTCGTCAGACCATAAGCAAAGAATGAAAATAACACTTGCGGGAATATAAGCATGAGCAGCGGCCGAGTAAGAACTTTCCAAAATGAATCATCGGACACTCTTCCGTGAAAGATTTTCAAGTCATGCCAATAACTATGCCCCTTCTCCGCCGAGGATATGCTCGTATTCGTACAATCTATAACCTTGACTTCGATATCCTCAGCTCCGGACCACCGGCTGTCTACCTTCATCTTGGAGCTTTACTTTTGAGTAGGCTGTTGTACTTCTTCGTGGTCGGTATCAGGCCTTATCCCGAGATCAGTGCTGAGGGATTCGTCTCGTCGGTACGCTGTCTCTGGTTAGAATAGAAATAGAACCACTATCCAAACGACAAATATGATCGCACAGATACCATAGGTCCAATTCCAGCCTAGATCTTCTATCAAAAAGGTTAGAAGTTAGGTACCTACACTTCAAATGGAGACATGCCAATGTAACCAAGAAGTCAAAACCCAAGAAGACTCCCAAACGTATGCGCGTAATACCCTCAAACGCTACTAATAAATAGGAACAGGTTTCCAAGGAAGATAGGCCTCTGTCCCCAGACTACGGCCATGCTGTTGGTAAAGAAGCACGACACCCCGATAACTAGTGCACCGTACCCAAGCTTTCCATTAGTTGATTATAAGACATGCCGAATTGTGTAGATCATTAAAATGACTACTTACCCATGCCCTTGTCACTGCAGTGTCAATACGTATAATGAATAGCATCAGGTCCTTCTTCCATAAGGGCCAGTTAAGGGGGTCATTCGGACTGTTGCTCGGCTGGGGTACCAAGAGAATGTCAGAGTCTCTGCCTTTTCCATGGTAAAGACTCGACGTATTAAACCGGCCATGATGACGGACATATTCTGCCCCAGCGATGTCCGTATGGAGAGCAGTCCCCGAGACGTGCGATAGATACTAAGGTATCTTCAAGTACTCCGAGACCCATTCTGAGAATATAAACTATAGAACGATGAGTGTTAGGGGCAAGATGATGGGTTCGCTTCAGGGGCGGACAGCGCTGGTTATAATCACCTCACGGTAGGCAAACAGGAAGGTGTCTCCGAGTTGTCAATATGCCTAAGTAAATTTGCCCATGATATATGGGGATATCGTTAATGGGGATCACGATTAGGGATCGTTGGAGCACAGGCCCAATCCGCCCCCTATTATGCCTACCAGTTGGGTACAGACTACGGGGAACCTAGCTCGACGTGACATGAAGGCATCACGGCAATACCTGAGTCTAAGGTGATTTCACAGCTAGCGAGGTATCCGTAGAAATAATCCCGTCAGCTTAGCTACTAGCAGGGGGAATATTACCTTGCTCACGCAATCTAGAGTCTTTACCTACATCTAATGTCCTTAAGCCAGAAGCGGAAAATTGGAGGTAAGGGGATGTTCAGCTCGGCAAATGCTACATTAGCTGTATCACGGAACAACCTTGACCTTAGGTACCTTTTATATGTAATTCTTCCTTCACCAATAGGGTTTATCTGCCACAAGGGAGCCTGCCGATGAAGCCACGATTTGTGACATTTAACGTTATGCTTATAGTCAACGCTCCCAATGGTGAGACAAGAACAAAGCCGCAGCATGGAAGGGCAAGCAATCAGACATAGGGGAAGACGTCCGAGCGATCTCATAACATGTATCTAGTGACTCGCGGGCGACGGAAGAGGACACTGATACTGCTAACATATTGACATCCGAGTTACCCAAGGCAATATAATAATAACACGCAGAGCACTGATAAGGGGAGGAGGGTTATGGGAATGACAGACCACGATAGGCAGCAAAAGAGGCGATGGTGCAACAAGAACGAGATTCAAATAAATACAACCGGAGAAAAACTCAGGAAGTTTGGCTAACCATCCCTTGTGTTTGTTTTCTTGATCATCGGGCATCAACACGTTGAAGATAGAACCATATCTAGGTGTCTAGGTAGGTTTTCAAAACATGGAAAAATTTCATAAAGATTATGAAGAAAATCATGTTGTATGAACGCTGATCCGATAGAGTACCGTCGTCGTGCGATCCGCGATGATTCTACCGGATGCTACTAACTGAATATCCTGAACTTATCCTCGGCGCAGCAATCAGGCCCCGCTTCCATCTCCCGGGAGCTGCTCGAGCCCTATTCGTTCATCAGTAGCTATCCAGATTAGATAGTGCAGGGAGGGCGTGGCTTACATCCTTCAGTAACCTCGTCGACAGTGTTTGGAACAGAACATTTGTTCGCTTCGGCGAAAGCCTGCGTCTTCACCCCCTTGCAGGTGTTACCAAAGCAGGCCCCATCCATCAATCTTTGGAGAGCGTCGTCTTTCCATCCAAATACATAATCGGCGTGTTGACCGTACCCGGTGCTGGTTTAATCTTAGCATCGCGATTAAGTACTGAGGTTCCGTACCTAGGGGATTGAACTTACTTGTCTCCTGTGCTTAAAACGAAAGGTTGAGATCCATCTTCGGGCCAATCATCCGGATTATTAAACGCGGTGGTGTCCCAGACAATCTATTGGAAACGACCTGCTTAGTTTTTGTGCGTTCCTAGGGGTAGATACTACGCACCTCAAGCATCAACTGCGGAATCTTAATAGGATGAGTCGACGGACAATTTCCAGTAGTAGCGAACGACGAAGGACCTCCGACGGGGTAGGCTACATGGTCCTGATGGTTTGGACTGTCTAGACGTTCTCCATCCCAACAACTAGATTCGGTATTAGTTTCTAACTACTGGATCCAGTTGGGGGAGCAAGATGACCTTACATTGGAAAGTGAATATTAGATCGAATGCCTCCTAGACACGGTTTCGCAGGAAACGTCTCGGTGTCCAGCTTCGGATCAGCACAAGGCGAATAATCGTCGCCCTTAAAGTTGGGGCCTGTGAAGCAGCGAAAACAGCTCTGGGACTTCAGACCTGCCCCTTTCTTTTCGCGTCTCATAGAATCTCCGAAAAGCATGCGGAATCCCTTAAGTTAGGTAGTTTTGAGTGTCAACAGCTACAAGAACGAAGTACGAAAGGTCATTAATCTTACGGGTTTAAATGCAGTAACTGTGCTCTTCCCAGGCGACAGGTAGTATACCGTCACGCCGCCTTGTGACCCTTCAAGAAACCTATTCGGGATCTGGGGCACTCGCTTATAAGTACCGTTTCGCGCCTTGAAGTAAATGTTGGCCGTCCAGTAGTTAGAAAAGTCGTCACTGAAGCTGCACGTGGTGCAAGTAGCCAAAGACGAGACATCCGCGGATGGAATCGAAGCGTTAAAAGCATTCTATAGGAGTTAAGTTTAATGTCGTAAGGAGTGCCAACAAGATACATACTCCTCCGACAATCTGAAAGATAGTGAGCCAGATGATCTTAAAGAAGTTACGGAGACTATACCTGGTGAAGGTGCGGGGATGGGTTCACCCCTGGATTTACGAGGCTATAGTAACATGAATTAGGGGCTGTTCATTCGGTCGATTCTAAGGAACTTAGATCTTACGGGTCAAGTCGCTCAATTACGACCTGGGAACATCCAAATCTAACAAGGCTATTACTTCCAGGTCCTTTCACAGGAGTTACTTGCGGCGCCGCCTTGACGAATGCCGCAAGCGATAGTAGCGTAGACCAAAACATCGTGATTATAGGTAGGTAGCCAAAGCAAGTCAAGAAGAGGGCGCAGGAGCGAGCAACTTCAAAGGAGGAAGACGAACGAGCATAGTGCCCAAGGCAAACCGTACCGTAGAAACCCAAGCCATAATAAGTCAAGTTAGAATCCATATGCCATAACGATGTGCCGACTGTATGCTCTATGAATGAACTGCATGGTGGCAGTCTATATCGATGGTTAATATCGCATTAGCCATTCCAACCCTGGCTCCAGCTCCAGGGTAATGAGCAGATGTAACGTAGAGGGATACTCATTGGCTCACGTATATTCTTCCATAACTACCGAATATCTCTACACGAGTCTTGATTGCGATCTTATTTTCAAGATATAGGTAGTCAAGTATTTTCTTTCAAAGTCGCTGGTGACCATCAAGCTTTGAGATAAGGACGTATAAAAATAATTTGACGAGTACCTAGGATTGGTAGCTGATTTACACAGGCATGGGAAAATAGAAAGCTAGATACCTCGGTAATCTTTCCCCTATGGCTCGGTGCGTAAACTACGATAGTAGAGGCAGACAAGTACCTACTAGATATTGGCAGAAACTATTTAATGTTAAATACCCTGTTGTAAAAGTCTTTCTAGATACATCTAACCCTTCGCTCGTCAGTGCTTCTTTATTACACGCAGTATCCATAGTATGTTGCAATACCACCACGCTTAAAAAAGTAGGTAGGCAGGCACCTAGGTAGGAGAGGTAAGTATAAAGTCAATAGGATTCGTTAATCTAGTAATTCAATTTAACCTCTATGGAAACCTCTAATACATCAATTCCACGCCCTGTAAAACCCCGTTCCCGCGTGTATGCAGCCAGTCTAATACGCGTTACCCAGCCAATCGCTATGCACCATAAGACACAGAGCGACATCCCCTCGCCGCCCTACGGTTGAAGGCGAACATCTACCTAATCTAAGAGAAGGAAATAGATCTATGGAAAACAAGCGAAGAGATGACAGAAGACGTGCCGTGGGAACACCCCGCCCCGACGGAAAATCACCTAGCCAGCATTCGTCAAGGCCATGATCCTCCGACCCCAAGCAGCTGGTCCATAATCATGACAGCGGCGCTTCGGCTCGCCTCGATGTCGACGTTCAAGAGGAAGTCGAACTTGTGCCTCAGGTGCTGCTGGAGCAGGTCCGCGTTGAGCCCGATGCCCGGCGCGCGCCCGGTGACGAGCAGTCCCGTCTCGACGCTCAATCGCGCGGCGTCCTCGGCCCGGGGCCGGCACACCTGGTCGAAGGCTCGGAGCGCAGCCGGGATCGCGGCTTTCGATGGGAGCCGGCCGAGAAGGGTGCTCAGGATCAACGCCTCTTCGACGGAAACGCTTGTGCTGGCGCCGGGGAACGGCAGCATGCTATGTGCCGAGTCGCCGATCAGGCAGATGTTGTCGGTCACGTATGTCGGTGCTGGCCGATGCTCGAGCAAGCAAAGCGCGGCTACTTGCACAGTATACACGCTCAGGATAAGCTTGGGGGAGATTAGTTGAGACATCAATCTGCTTGTTGGGTAAGGTAGTTACTAGGTTAGGTTCTAGGTACTTACGTCGATCGCGCCCTGGCATACCTGCACCCTGTTGCTTGAGAACATCGCCCGGAACTCGTCCGGGGTGAAGAGCTTCGCCCACGACGCTTCCGACAGCCCATCGTCCTCCCTTATATCCCCGGTCTTGCCGAAAACAATGATCTGGACTTCGGTGCCATTGTCAAGCAGGTCATATATTATACCTGTCCCGTCTCCGATCCAACCCATGTGGCGGGGTTTCCGTGTGTCTAGAGACTGCGTGCCCATAAGCTGCTGTGCCCGCCGAAGAGGTACTTTGATAGGCAAGCTCCAAAACCCGGTAGGATAAGGCTTGACTAGATACTCGTCGTTGCCCAGAACAAGCTGTCGCGTAAAGCCGTGAGTACCATCTGCGCCAATGACAATGTCGTACTCCCTTTTAGCTCCATCTGCAAACGTCAGCAATAGCCCTTGTCCCGAGGGCAGCTCTGTAACAGATGATATCCGCGTGCTAGGATGCATCATATGCGGCGGCACGCAACCGAGCACCTCTGATAAAAAAGCCTGGCGGCTGACGTTCTTGTTGCAATTCCACCCAAGCCCGCTGATGTCTATCTCTCGCCCAACGTCGGGACCACTAGCCACTCGCGTCTCAGTAGTGCTGAAAACGGCACCGGCGCGGTCGAGACAGTACTCCAGGTCTGGGTCGATAGCAGCTAGAATATCCAATGCTCTTGTCGTGAAAGAAAGTCCCGGCCCCTCGTCCCTAAACGTAGGCCGGGATTCATACATGTCAACGGCGATATGTGGATATCTCAAGAGCCCGCGCAAAACTGCGGCACCAGCTAGTCCACCGCCTATGATGGCGACTCTTATTGCTGAAGGTGAACTCGACATGGCTCCAGAAAAAGCGTTATGTTTATAGAGAGAGAGGAAAGTAACTATATAAAAAGATAATGCGTACTAGTGGTGGAATTGTTCGTGGGTTGGCATGGTGCTTCTAGGTTCCATAGTCAGCGGCAGAGGGAAGGCCTTTTAAGGAGGCAGCTCCCAGAGGCATTTCCGCATTTCTCAAAAAAGATATCAAGAAACATGCTCTATTCATGGTATAAAAGGATCGTTCTAAATATCGCATACTCTATATCAGGACTGAACTGTGAGCTTGAGCTATGCTTTGATATTGCTGGGTGCGGGTCGAACATGACCCTTGCAAGAGTGTCATGATTCTAGGGAATCCCGCTCATTCCATTATTAGGATAGGAGTAAGGAAGCTAAGCTTCCCACGAAGAAGATGTTACTCTATGAGAGATATAGGGCTGAAAAGGTCTCAAAGATCTGCACAAGGTTGTAGGATTGGTGGAGGGTTGACCGGCGCAAAAAGGTATATGGAGTGCGTGTATGGAATCAAGGAATTAAAAAAGAAAAAAAAAAGAAGAAGAAAAGGTATTGATCTAGTCTCAGAAATAAGCCCACGAATACAAGCGCATTACTGATAGAAGCACTACTAATCTCCTAGTTTACCTATGTAAACATCCCAGACATCCAGAACACGGCGTAGCGATCAGGTAATGGATGATATTCGCATGACCCAGTAGGAAGGGATCGTCCCCTTAGCTTCAAGTAAATCTTATAAGGCTGAAAGATTCCAAAGATCCCTGACCTAAGCTATGATGAGACGGCATGAATAGTTACTCTATTAGGTAACCAACACGAAGTTTCCCGGAACAGCCGCATGAAGTTGATTATAAGCCAGTTGCAGATTACAGGGCAGGGCAGGGCAGGGCCTTATCTAGATCTGCCCTGGCTGGCATGGGACTTGGTAAGATCGTCTTTAGGTCGGGGGGTTTAATTTGTGATGATTGGTTGATAAGATTCACACCAACGAGTGGGTAGTAAAAGATCCATCCCAGGCATCGAAATAAAAAACGTTAGGTTAATTTAACTATGGGTATGCTAGGTATGTCAAAGAGATCTAGACGAAATGTAGATACGAAAAAAAGAAAGTAAATGTAATTCTGGATGGTCTCGTAAACGTCATTAGCAGCAAGAATCCAACTGTATTTTTGAAACCATCCGAGTTTCCCGAGTCTCGGATATATCAGTTAAGAGTGCGCAGGATTAATATCTGGGGCGTCACGCGGTACCTAGTAGACGTGAACTCGGAATCGATCAACTATTACCGAACGGAGATGGAGAATAAGGGGAACATGGGTTCGTGATTCGTTCGTCCGTAGATTCCGTCTCGCGGCTCTCCCAGATCTCCAAGTCTCCCAGACGAAGTTGGGGTCCGCAGGATCTGACGGTAAAATAGGCATCAGAATTGTTGACACTGAGAATAGTCTCATCTCAAAACATAACAAAAGAGCGCAATCCCACCATCTGCCATAAATTATTTTCATCTATCCAGCCGGATCGTATCTAAATGATACCGCTGCGACTTTTCGAACCGAGTTCTATGTATTCGCGGTCAGATCTCCTCCGCCTCTACCTTTCAGTGATTGCAATTGGTCAAATAGCAAAACGGATAACTCCTCATCTCGTCATCGGATCCTAACTCGGTTCAGGCAGCGCTATTTCGCTAGCATCATGAAAGAGCCCGCCGCACAGCTATTATTAAAGCTGACACTGACGATAGGGCATAAGAAATCACTAACACAACGTGAATAGAAACGGTGTTTATTCTAAGTTGCGTCCAATCCTGCAACACGTCCTAGCAGCTTGAGGACGGGGGAAACCATCGCTCTGTTTAGAGATAACATGGCTTTGCACGAGGGGTGATTAATATCTATCTCTTCGTCCTCTTAAGCCTCTCCGACGTTACCTTAGGTACCTACCTTAGGTATCTATCTAAACATGATTCAAAGGACCACTCCCAAGCTAGAAGCTCATTTCCAACAGTACCCAAGGTTTAGGACAAGCGCTTTCGTATGTTGGGGGTATCATCTACTTGCATCTTAAACCTCTTCCATCAATGTTATCACCATGAATTTTACCGACCCCGTCACATCAAACCCTGAAAGACCGTTTCTGTCGCAAAATACTTCTCTTTTCACTAACTTTACCATGTTTTGCTTCGTGTATGCCGTAGTCTCTCACGTTCGACAAGGCATAAGGTTATTGTCTCTGAGGTGATATACATACCGAGGCTGGGAAATCCATCATATATACGTCACAAACTCTAAACTTACGAAACCAGCATATATAATTTAAAATTATACAGTTGGCCGAGAAGTTTGTCGTCTATATTGGGCATCGTGATCCATGCTGTCTAAAGAGGGCGAAATCCAGCCTCTTCGAGCTGTTTACCCACTGGTAGCATTGGGCGACCTTGCATAGGAAATGGCCAAAACAATGGGTTTTCTAGACTTTTAGCAGCGTGCGCAGCTGTCCCAGTGCCGCCGCCAGGTCCAAAACTACGAGTTGGATCTTGCTCAGATCCTCCCTTATTATGGCTACCTTCTATGATGCCCTCCATTTTTTCCCCACGACTAAAATGCGTCTGTGGCGTAGGTAAGCCCTGCGTTTCTTGTATGCCTCCAGGACCGCCAATTTCTCGAGCGCTCCAGGAGCAAAGAAAATCATCCTCATTGACGTTGGGCGCAAAGAAATTCAAGCTACTCGTTGTTGGTCGGACTGAGTTGTCGATTTCTTCTGATGGATCCGCACCCGGTGGTATGTCCACCTCGATCCCCCATTTTTTGGCTAGGTATTGCAGAATTTTCAAAGCTTGGTGCGCAAAATGATGACATGGTGCCATCTCGGTTAAGTGCGCGATACCTTGGCTGAGAGCTTCAGCTACCCGAGGGTTTAACTTCGCAGTAATTGTACTAGAAAGCGAGACAGGCTCTATTTCATCTCGGCTGCTAGAAGTTAGCCGCCCAGGGTTATGTTCAGTTTCTGTGCCTTCGGGCTTAACTGCCGAGGGGTTCGAATCTTCTGCTAGTGAGGTGGATGGCCCCTTAGACGCGTCGGCGCCTATAGCGAGATGCATGATGGAGGATGTAAGTACAAAGTACGGCACAAACGATGGTGTGCGGCGAAGCGTATAGAGTTGAGAATATGAACGGAGTAGGCCTTGGATTGCATCTGCGGCTTGAGTACAGACATCGCGAGGAAGAATGCCCGAACCAATAACTCGAAGTTTTATGAGGGGTCGAAAAAGGAGTAAAATTGCAAAGTGATAGTACATACTATAGACGAATGAGTTCAAGTAGATCAGCGTTAAAGGAATCGAATGGTATGGCAAAACTTACTGAGCGAAGAGGACCGCTGGTGTAAAGTTGTGACCTAATCGCAACACCTCGGGAATTTTATCGTACCAATTCAAGTATTGCGTATAAATGCCGAGTAACTCTCTGCTTGTGACGGGTTTGCCAGGAGAGTGCAGAATATATAGCGACTGGTGAACAAGTTCGCTAAGCTCACAGAAGCATTTGTAGACAGATCTCACATTAGAAGGCTGTTCGCAAGATCGTTGTAAGGGCGCACCTGTATAACCAATTAGACCCTGTCAGATGCTCCCTACGCCGGGCAGTACATTGATGGAGACATTTATGCGACTTACCGTCATCCGTGTAGGGAACCCACAGAGAAGCTTCTATATCATCTATAATGGCAGGTTTTGGCGGCAAATGCGGAAAGCATGAACATTGAGGCAGAGAACCAGTCGCTAATGACCACGCACTTTATATACGTCAGCTGGAACACTAGAGGCAACTGATAATGCGCTTACTGGTCCAAGGCAAAGGCACCCCAGAATGTCGCGGCCTGCACAGCTATCTCATCCTCGTCACCATCGTTTTGTAGGCGGTGGAGTCCCATTTCGATGGCTAAGCGTATACTTTGCCCTGCGTAATACCAAGATTCCGAATCCCTTCCACAGCTCGCTTCTCGAATAGACATTATTCCTAAAGCTTGAATCGTGGTCAAAGTATGATGGTCGTTTTCCCGGTAAAACAGTCTTAGAGACTCTTTGAAAAAGTGATCCCCTGCGGTACGTGGGTCGTTCGGATTCGCTCGCGTATTTGGCTGGGTCGAGAAGCGACAGCCAAGAGCTAGCAATGCGTTTACTAGAATCGCCGAGCAATATCGATCCCTCCCGGCGATGAAATCTTTCATAAAATGTTCCTTGCTAAGCGACGCAAACGTTGGATATTCCCAGCAGAAGTAGAGGGCTAGAAGATGCGATACCAAACCATTATCCGCAGTTACGGTAGTCCATGTGCCTGGGGGAACTTTTACTTCGGGGGGATCCAACGGCGAAAGAATTTGGTCTACTCCACGATATCGGGGTCCTTCAGACGTTGAAGACTGCTCTTGGAGCCATGTGCCAACACGGGACCGCGGAGGCGCCTCGGATGCCCACTGCATAATATCCGGATGGGAATCGCTACGGGTTGATACGGTCTGGCTATGCGATGAGAAATTCCAAGGGCTGTTTGGGTCAAAGTCCTGGTTCATTGTGTGTGCCTGACCCGCCGCGGGGCTTAAACCCATGGTGTTGAAGCCATTAGGACCGGCGAGCGTACCGCCATAAGTTGAAAGAGGAGGTAGCGTAACGCCGATTCTAGTTTCGACTGGCCTAGCAAAGCTGGGCCCAGCAGAAGGTAAGGTAGCACCAGCACTACCAGCACTACCCAGCCATTCCGATATCCCTTCGACGGATTGCCCTTGGCGCAGTCTCTGTAAGACCTCCTCAACCAAGTCGGGACGAACGAGGGCGGAGAAGACGGAATCGCTCTGGCGTTGTTGGCGCCGTAGGGCTTCAATTTCGTGGCGCAGGTTTTCCTTGGATTGCCGGACAGGGATCTCGTATATACATTCCACATCCTTCTGCGCTTTGCACCGACCGCACGGCTTCTGGCCATCGCACTTAGCACGCTTCTTTCGACACTCAGTACACGCGTTAGGAGTGACAACACCTAGACCTCTCCTACGCTTCGACAGCTGAGGGTGTGGGGTACTGCCTGCTCCAGAAGCGGCAGGGGGCGCAGAGGGTTCATATTTCGGGGTTTTGGCGGGTTTAGACGACGAAGACGTCTGGCCGTTGGATAGTCCGCTACCTGGATCCCCTTCCATTGAAGCGTTTCAAGGCTAGCAGTAGGGCATACTCAGGTTAGAGAGATGGGTTAGCAGACTTGGAAGCACCTCCTATCAGCTAGAAGAGAGTGTCGAATGGCTAAAAAGCGCGTCGTGCATTCGAACTATCTCGGAAAAGAGCGCGCCTTAACTTAGATGGCGCGCGAACCCGTACCAACGAGCTTGGACGTGGGAAGTGCGCGGGGCAGTCTTGACTTTTTTTTTTTTTTATAAAAAAAAAAGTATTAGGTGTTTTCTCGAATTAAACGAGGGGAGGAGAAGAAGCAAGCAGTTCACGCTTTATTGTACAAATGTTGCGTGTTAGATAGGTGGTGGAATGGTGGTGCATTGTAAATGAAATTTTTGCATTGGATTAGGTTATACACCTCAAGAAAAGTAGTATGTGAAGGGTACCTAACCTAGTGGCAACTGAGGTATGTGTAGAAGAAAAGTGATGACTAGAATTCAAGGTCTTTGAAGTTTGAATGTTGCCTTTTAGAAGTTTGGGTGTTTCAAGGATAACAGCTTTTGCGCTAGTTTACCTGCATATCTCTGTGTAGGACCTCGACCTGCACCTGCACCTGCACCTGCCACAAGTATACAGACAAGTATACAGTATACAATATACAATATGCAATATATTGTGCAATACCTCAGATATGTATAAAATACTGCGCCGGTACATATCATTTTAGGTTCTCAGCAGCTGCTGTGTAACAGACCAGACTTTTACGGGAAGGCCCTGTCGTTTTCTGTAGGATACTATCTATGTACCTGGGTAGCTTGAAATTTGAATTATAGAAGTAACTCTATACTTTGTAGGTAATTGACAAATCAACAACCTCCAACTCCTGTCTGTTCTAGACCATATTGCTATCTAACTTCACAATTAACTCACTAATGGAATGGTGTCTGCTGAATACATAGGATGTGCAAAAAGCGACGAGCAAGGCAAATAGACATGGACTCAAAACGTAAGGATGGGAAAAATAGAAAGGGGATTCTGAAAATCCCATCAATCGCCACACCTACTATATGTATGCTAGGCCCTATGCGTGTTACTAATACATGCAAATACGTGCAATACGTGCATGTCTAGGCTGGTTTGGTAGTATCTAACAACCCCTGCCGATGACTTAGGCGGGGTTTAAGACCGACCTCGTCATCCTACGTCTTGCTTCGAAAGCCACAATAGGTTTAGCAAATATGTACTATGTGGAACTCTTGGGAACAAATGCTCCCGACGTCCTGCTCTAAACTGCATTTCTAAAAAAGTCCTATCCATGGGTACCTAACTACATGTATGTACTAGGTGTCGAGTATAGCATTGTATAATATTAGGTAGGTATGTGTATCTTACCCTCCCCATATCTCAACTCCATTCATAACCTCGTCATAGTTTCGTAGCAAATTCGTCCTAGGCACAAGAAAATCATAAATCACTTAAAATACAGAGAGCAGGTAGTAAATACAATCGTTGGTTCATGTACCGAAAATACATGTAGGCCAGGCATATACCTACGCCAAGACAGTGTAAATGACTGTAAACGCCAGAATAACCAATAAAGAACCTATCGGGCTTTTATGACGGGAAGCTTGGTCAACTGTGATTTATTTATGACGGGTTTAATTGAGGTACAGTCTCCTGTATATCCTACAAGAGAAATCTACTCCATTTTCGATCTTGCTAACTAAGCTATCTGTGAAGTATGTTAACTTACATAGTACCTGAGCCCGGGCTTGTTTAAAAATAAAATTCAGCGCTAATCGCCCCGTATTTCTATATTTTACCTATTTCTACCTTACATATTGCCCCGAAAGGTAGGTACCTACATTAGTAATGTGGTCGACTCAGAAGCGCAAGTCCAGCATGTAGGTCGTATAGTTCAACACCTATCTAGAAGTGGAGAGTGGAGGATATATAGCAAGTAATAACATTAGGTACAAAAGGTCAACTAATGCAAGGGACCTAAGGTACTTTTCATACCTAAATAGCATTTATTTTACTTATAGGTTTATCGATATAACCTGACAGAGTACGGCTTAGGCATTTCCACTAATGATTCTTTTGCATTATTAAAACATCGAAATCCTCGTGCCCTATGATTTGGGTTTCTTACCTTGATTTCACATGGATACCTAGGTTACCTAGTTCAATCAGTATCTCGAAGTTCATGGTCAGTGGATGCTTTATGCCAGAGGGCAACAGCCTCAATTAGGTAGGTATATTAACCATCTGGCTTGGAAATACATTATTATGGAATTGTAACACATTTAGGTAGGTAGTTGCACACCGTATGGTTACAGGTACCTAACCTATTCCAAGGTCGAATTGTTAACAGCTCAGGAATTATTTGTGCCACTGCCCACACGCTCTATTCTCTATCGTACAAGTTACTCGCCCCTTGGCCTCAGTATCGCTTTACTGGGCTCCTACTCTTCGTTGGACTTCTACCTCGCTCGCCTTTGGATGGACTTCGTCGCGAGATAGGAGTCTCCGGGGGCGGGAGAGAGTATCTCGACACCTCATCCGTGTCCGGGGTTTCGTCATGGATGAAGCGTCGGTTGTTCGTATGTCGTGGAGTCTGTGGTTGTATCGCTTGCCAATACACCTGCTGGGGCAGAGGCTTTAAATGTGGATCGCTTGCATGATGTGACGGAAACGGCGCAGGTGGATGAACCTGGGGAATATCCGTGAATGCGTTCGCGCTCTTGTATAACGACTTTCCGCTGTATATAAATATCGTGAACAATATGATAAATAAAGCCTGGTCTGACGTTAGCTAACTGCTTCTATAGTCGGCACATCTTATAGAGAATCTACTAACAATTGTCTTGTAGGACATGGTCTCCACAATCTCGTTGAGAATCTTAGCCATCTCCTTCGCGCTGCTTGATACCTGTTTGACGTTGTCTGGGTTTTGATTCATGCAGGCGAACCATTGATCACACAACTCATACATGGCGGGTAAGCGTTTCTCTATAGGAGAGCATTTGTTCTCTCGATAATCGCTTGTGCACTTCTCAATCTCGGCGAGGATATCAGCCCTTAGAGCTTGTCTCTCAGTAGAAAAGTCCTGGCGCAAACCATCGATGACGGCCCAGCCGATCCAGCACGCGGCCGATACGCAGAATAGATTAAATGCGAAAGTTAACCAATAACCAAGAATACTCGGAGCGTATGGATGCCGTTGAACGGTGGCTAGAAAGGCGCCGAACCAACCATCCTTGCGGCGTTTCGTCTGGTCTTTGCGGGCTTTCCCTGGCTGGAATGTGCTCTCATCCGACTCATAATCAGAATCCTCGCATTCGTCCGGCTGGAGATAAGGTAGACGGTATCCGCTAACGTCTCTATCTGCATTGTACCGCTTCCTTTTGCGCACTTTGTCTCGTGAAGCAAAGATGGTCCTAGCTATCTCACCTTTACCGGATGCCTTCTTTGGCGATAACGATCTTAATTTGTTCACAGTCGCGGGTGTTATCGTCATTTGAGCAAATGTAGATGAGCGGTCGTTCTCGGGGGTGTCGGGATAGTCGGAGACGTCAGTAGCGGCCGGACTAGACTCGGCGGGCGAGAACTCAGATAGGGCATCGGAATCAAATGGTTTTCTTGGCGTTGTGAATGCTGGATTTCGGAAAGGAGGCGCAGTAGCGGTCCTCGGGAGGCCGGACGTGGAAAATATAGAGGATTGACGTGGCCCAGGTGGAAGGGTCTTTTGGGTAGATGGTGAGCTTTGCGTGCGTTCGAACGAGGCCTGACCGAAAGTTCTTTGAGGGCCGTTGCTATTGAGTACGGAAGAGCCAAAGATACCTAGAACGGCGACAAAATATTAGTGTTTATCCTTCGCAATACTTGTTTCTCTCGTCCATGTAGCCTTAGTTATGTATATCTCTGTAGGTGAAGGCAACCCTAGAATCGAACTTATAATGGGTATTAACATACCTTTAGCTTGTATTTGTTTAGCAGACTGCACAAATGGACTTGATGGGTCTACGGGAGCATTATTCTGGTATTCCCAGTCCATGGGAGATTCATAGCTTCGTCGGTCCATTCGGCCTTGATCAAGTGACCATAGACAAAAAAAGAACTTGAGGAAGAAAAAAATAATTAAATGATACAATGCGGTAGCTTGTAAAGAGGGCCAATTGATGGCACAAAAAATGGTAAGGTGAAAAGCGGTATTGAAAAGGATTTAAGACGGTTGTGGTTTCTTTGGGAGCCTCCGGTGTAGCAAGTAATTCGCGGTCAACTATTTGGATTTCGGGTCTCATGAGAATGGGCAGTTTCTGTTGGCAACCGTCAGCGACGAAGTAAACAAAAAATTAATGGTCTTTTTCGATATTCGTTAGGTCCACATATTATGTAATCATACAGATCATACAGTACACAGTACATAGTATCCAGGTACTCATGCGACATTAATGAAGGTTCCACGTAAGGGACATTTTAGAAGAATACTTACACACAATGTACCCGTGCATAATGCATGGGCCAAGACGGTTGTATTGCTGGGATCTTACCTAATACCTCCAAGTCTTTGTTCGCAGTTGTTTCCTTCAATTCTCAGCTTTTTAAAATAAAAGACAACTTCATCAATTCGTCAACCGTGCCTTGAGAGATAGGCGTTGACGAATTTTATCCATTGCCTTTTAATACATGTTTTCTTAATTTTTCCAACTTCGTTCCCATTCCGAGGAATGTTCCTATTTGTGCCCTATTTTTCTTAAACCTTCTACGGATAATTAAGATTGTAGCTAGTTGAGCAAAGTTCATCACAACTTTCTCAACTTTTCATCAAGCCGACTCCTTTTTTTTTTTCTCTTTCTCTTCTCGCCACCTTCTTAATTTTATCGATTTTTTTTCCCCTTCTTTTTCGAACTACGCCAACCAAAATGTCAGACGCGGGTTCCACTTCTCGGAGCCTCCACGAGGAAGAGAACGATACGACTCGTGAAGGACTAGGGGATTATGACGTTGCTCGGGCTGGCGATTCAGACAAAGACTCAGATGCTCTATCCGACATCGACGAAGATCAATTCGACGACTATGACCCTACCACAGCCCGCGTCGACGAGAAGCGCCCCGAACCTCAGGTTATCGATGAGGACGTGGCACGTACACTGAAAGCTGGAAAGAGAAAGGGAACGGCTACGAAGAAACCGAAGGAAGGTCGACGCGCGAAGAAGCGATCGCGCGACGATGATAACGACGGAGCAGACGGCGAGATTCTACACACTAAGCGTGTTCGCAAGGTTCCTGGAGCAGATGCCCCAGAGCAGGAATCGGAACCTGAGAACGAAGAGAACCTACCACCTGAGGAGCGACGGCGTCGAGCCATTGAACGCGCAGCTAGGAATCAGGCGAAGCCGAAAGGTTCTAGACGTAAGAAGAAGGATGAAGTGGTACGTGTTACCGAATGGCAATTTGGTCTATTACATTCACTAACCCCTACTCTCGTAGGATCTGGAAGATGAGTTGGACGAGCGAATTGCAGACCTTAAAGTCCGCATGGAGAATGCTTGTCAAGCAGATAACCAGGCACGCGAAGCCGGGCAGCCTGCCCTGCACAAGCTAAAGCTCCTCCCCGAGGTGATGGCGCTGCTTAATCGTAACACCAATCAGGCAGCGGTTATCGACCCGGACACCAACTTCCTACAACACGTAAAATTCTTCCTCGAGCCCCTTAACGACGGCTCTCTACCCGCCTACAACATTCAGCGCGACATTTTCCAAGCTTTGACGCGCCTCCCTATTGAGAAGGAAACCCTGCGATCAAGCGGGATCGGCAAGGTTGTCTTGTTCTATACAAAGAGCAAGAAACCCGAGGTTAGTATTAAGCGCATGGCTGAGCGTCTGTTGGGCGAGTGGAGTAGACCTATCCTCAAGCGCACCGACGACTACAAGAAACGCCATATCGAGACGCGAGACTTCGATTACCAGTATGTCCAAGACACCCCCTTATCTATTTACTTTAAATCGTTTCTTGCTAACATAATACTCTCAACAGGGCCGCGAAGCTCAAACAAGTTGCCACGAGCAGTCAGTTGACGCTCAACCAACGCCACACCACACAAAGCCTCGCCGAAGAGGAGCGTGCACGCATGCTAGCTCCCGCAAGAGACGTGAGCCAGGCCCGTGTCATGGGCCTGCCCTCGACGTACACGATCGCCCCGCGCAGCACATTCGATCCATCGCGCGCTCCGGACTACCGACCAATAGGCGCCAGCGGAATCGAAGCATTCCGCAAGATGACGCAGAAGGGGAAGAAGAAGGGCTGAAACAAACACACGGCTGGCTGGATTGGACTGCTATAAAAACTTTCAAATTGCAAATCATATCATGCGGAGCTTCTTTACCAGTCGATGCTATTATTCTACGTGGTGTGTTTGTGTATATGTGTGTGTGTGTGTGTGTGTATGCATGTGCTTGGAGTTGCGGTTTGCACAACCTCTCTATTTTCACTCAAGCCTCTCTGGTAATCGGTAGTTCAGGTTAGGTGATCCCAAGGTTTTGATTTTAGCACATCGAACATCCACCTGGGTCCAAGAAAGAAAAAAAACATCATCCCAAATACCTACCTACCTACTTAACTAAGATACTTACCTAAGATATGGAATTGCAACGTTCATGAGGTTAATAGGTAGAGATTTGATGAATAAACTCTATTGTGTTCGTCGCAATAAGCTAGTTAGTTGCCTGCCTTATACAAACAAACCTTGCATCTCAGCATGTCCAGCTCAAACTCCTGTCCCTTTAAGGTAAGACTAGATAGGTAGTAATATGAGTCAAGCTGGCTGTATAAGAAGAGCTATATATATATATACCTAGGAAGACAGGTACCTCAGATACCCAGGGAGCTAATATTACATGACACCATCGGCAAAGTTCCAAGGCACACACACATCGGTACTTATGCCCCCCAAAACCACCAATTCATCACATTCATTACCCCTACCCCTTATATGGAAATAATTCTCAAGGAATAAATGGTCATAGAATTCCAGGAAACGAGGAAACCATTTTTTTTAAAAAAAAATAATGTTCCAGGTTCTACTATAATAAACACATTACTCCTGGAACTTGTATTGCTCTCGCTTTTCACAAATTTTCTTCGCTTCTCTTCTCTTCTCTTCTCTGCTACCGGAAGCGGAGTCGTAAATCATTGGATCGAAGCCCGTTTCTATGTTAGATTCTTTCTTTCTCTTTCCTTGACTAAAAAGGACTGGTCGTGTCTCTCTCCCGCAACTATTCCCGTGGCTAAACCCGATGTATCATTATCACCATTACCGAGAACTAGCGACATATAACAAAAGACTCTACCGCTTCTTCACCTCACAGGCCCAGCCTTCGATACCCTCGCCTTTACTTCCGGGTACGAGTCCTTCTATTTTAATGTCCTCCATACCCGGCGTGTCGTCCAGCCACGGATGATTAGACATGCCGCCAGCATTCGCGCGTTTTTCGGGTAGTAACTCGAGCATCGGAAGGAGGAACTCAGACACCTCACTGGGCTGGTACTCGAGAGCAGGTTCATCGTCAGGGAAGAGCTCCTCTACAGCATCCTCGTCTTCGCCGTTTTTCCTGGCTTCCATCTTAGCCCTAGCCTTGGCCTCAGCCCGATCTCTCCGAGCTTTCTCCTTCTCCTCCCGCTCCTTGGGCGGCAAATCCTTATAATCCTTAAAATGGTACTTTTCACGGAGGACGTCGGGTAGCGCCCAGTGTCGCAATCGATGGATATTACGAAGCTCTCCCCTTTTATTGAAGATCTCTTGGGACCAGCGACCAGTCTTCCAGAGTTCCTTGGGGAAGGGCCCAAGAAGCTCGATGATTTGTGCGATATGATCGTCGTCTTTACCGTACTTAGTTCCTGATTGAGGATCGAAAAGGTAATCACCAGTGATCAGCTCGAATACCTAAATAAGCACTCCCCATTAGCGACATAACCCTCCCCATTGGAACAACTGGCAGCACAAGATTGAATGATGATGAAGGGGTAACTTACCATGGCGGCCATGCTCCACACGTCAGTACTTGCGCCCCATTTGGCACCCAGTATAACCTCTGGTGACCTATATTGCCTTGTCTGGATATCATTCGTGAAGTGGTGAGAGACCCAGCAAGCATTTCCCAAATCCGCAATCTTGACATTAATAATTGGCCCTTTCCGCTTCCGCTTCCTCTTTTCGCTGGTAGAAGCTGTATCGCCGGTCGCGGACTTGTCAAGAGAAATCCCAGACACCTCCTTAGTAAGAAGCTCACTACAGAAATATATATTTTTAGCAAACTACTTTAGGAATGGGTGGACTGATAGGCGTAACTCACGCTGTCTTTTCCCTCTGACCCTGCCTATCGCTGGTAGACGAACTCGGCGTTGCTGCTAAAAAATAGAAGGATCTGTTAGCATATTATATTGAATTATAACATGGGAGAAATAAAGTAGTAGCCCAAATATCACCTATGTAGGGATAGCCGAAGGGTATTTTGGTACGTACCGTCGTGTAACATAGCGTTGAGGCTGCTGTGGGATTTAGTCGATGGGAAGAGGTTGTCCCGATTAAAGTTCGCATTCAAGGGCGACGGTAACGGCTGACTGCCGGTAATCAAGGTTCGTCTCCTCCGCCTTCCGTTTCTGTTGTTTTCCTTGTCCGAGTTGTCGTTCTTCACCACCTTCTTCACTACCTGCTCTACGTCTCCGATCTCTATCAAAACGTTCTCGGGTTTGAGATCTGTGTGAATGATTCCGCATTCTCTGTGCAAGTAATCCAGGCCCATTAACACCTGCTTTGTGATTTGCATGACGAGATCTCGGGGGATGCCGCGATGCTGCCATTTCTTGATCAATCCTAGAAGGTTTTCTCCAAGAACCTCAAACACCATGCATACGTGCACTCCATTCGGCCCCTTATGCTCGAAGGAGTCAAGCAGGCTGACGACGTACTTCCGGCCGGGGTGGTTAGGGTTCGCTTGGACGATTCTCTGGAGTAGCTTGATTTCATCGATCGCGGTTTCAGTGTAGTGACTGGCGGATCGCACGACCTTTAATGCGACGTGCTTACCGTTCGTGTTATCTCGCGAAAGCCAGACCGTTGAGAAGTGGCCCCATCCAAGTTTTCGTACAACCGTATATTTTCCATCCTTAAATTTCTCTCCAATTTGGACAGGGTGGTATCCACCTTTGCAGTAATCTTCAGAGTCCTCCTCGTCCGCGGTATTTTCGGCGGCGTCTTCTGGGCCGGAGGACGATGTGGGGGAGTGTTGATTCATATTAGATAGATGCGGCGGTCTATATCAGGTAATATTAGCAACCAAACGTGTCCAAGTAAGAAAGAAAGCAAAATAATATCAAGCGATATATCAGTGAATAATAGCGCGACTTGAAACAGGAATTCAGTAGCGACAATGATGAAAAGTGAAATATAGATTAGCCAGCGCAAGCAAGCTCGAGAAGAGGTTGGCAATGTGGCGGCGGGCTGCAGGCTCATTGATCCTAGTTGTTTGACTATGCGAGCGGCACCCTGGCGGCCCGAAACTAGATGTGCCAATGGAAAGACGAGCTTGGGTAAAACCCCATCAAGATCCCCTCGCCCAGTCAGGGTAGACTGGGTAAACAAGGTAGACTAGGTAGACCCGACCCAGTCGCAATAACTCTGATGGTGGCGGTGGGGTGGGGGAAAGTGAGAGAGGAAGATGTAATAAAGTCGGAGGGGAGTTCCAAGCCGTGGTCAGTAGTAATAGTAGTAGATGGTAAGTAATAACCTTTTTTTCATGGTAGCCATTGCGTCTGGTGTGGCGCACTCTTCCAGGCGAAAATAGAATGTGCTTGATAGTCAGAAGCGGAGAGAGAGCAAATAATAGGATCAATCCTCAAGTGGTTTTAGGAAGTATATAAGAGAAATACCATGGGAAATGAAATAAATAGACGACAATATAGGCGATGTAGGCGATGTAGGCGATGAAGGTAATGACGGGGATCAGCAAGGGTTCAAAAGAAAGAATTGACAAGAGTAAACCACCAGTCTTGTTAACAATTATGTACGACAAGAGATGTTCTGGTGAGTTGAGTGAATTGAGTGAATGCGTGATAAAATCGCACCACAGCGCATTACAAGCGATGAATAGCACCGCCGTCGCGCTACACAGCTCAGCCGAGAATGAAGAGTATAAAGGTAAGAGTAGAAGAAAAGTGCAGTTCATCAAGAGAAAAAAAAAGATGCCTGTAGTGATCTTCGTCAAACGATGCGCTTGCGTGTCGAAAAAGAGACGGTAATAATCAAGTTACCCCCTCTCCCCGTCGCAGTTCCAGTCAGTCCCCCCCCAGTCAAGTCAAGTCAAGTTGACCCGGTGGATGGACTGTATCTGAATATGCGAAAATATAGAAGCGTGACGGGATATGGTTGATTTTAGTAGATAGGCTTCTGATTATGGAGAGGATGACCAGGTTTGCACGGCGAGAAAGAAGCTGTGGGCGCTAAAGGCTCAAAGCACTGTTGGAACTTTGTAGCTTCTGTACGGTCGAGTCCCGATCCTGACAGGGCTGTGACCCGTACAGGGAAGCCCCTCCATCGACTACACTCCGCAGTTGGAATAGCGCTTGACCCTTTTCAGGGGAGGGCCGAAAGGCGGGCCAAGGGGAGGGGAGGTGGAAGGTGGGAGGTGGGATTGATAGAGGGGGAGGGATTGGGTGGTGATGCAACAATAACTGACGGTCGGCTCGGCTCAGCCCCGCCATAAAAGAGCAGATGATAGATGTAGCTTATAAGAACATACTGATTTGTCGTTATAAGTCTGCTCTGGTATAACATAACACCGTCAGATAGGATGTGTGCGCGTGCATGTCCGCATATGTTATATATGCAGATACCCGGGCCAGGAAGAGTCAAGACGGGATGGCAGATGACCGATAAGAGAGAAGATAACCCAGGTGTGTGTATCATGGTCTCCGATGTGTAGAAGAAGCTTGTTTTTTGTTGTCGACGCCATTGTATGGTGGGATTTGCGATTTATCCTGTATTATTTGGTATTGTCTCCCTTCATTGGATTTTCTTTTTTTTTTTCCCTTGGTTTCTGTTCCAAAGTCCAAGTTTTATCTGTCCCTGTCGGGATTTCCGTTCGCCATCTTGGATTCTCTCCAATGCTTCCTCGTTTACGGCTTGCTTGCTTGCTGGCTTGGCTTACATAGGTACGGGCTGCAAGATGTGAAGTACCTTACATCTCAACTCACAACCGTGTACAACGCAACAATGAATTGTGTTATGCGTCGTAATGGTGATCTGCATATGCAGTAGGTAGAAGTAAATGGAAAGGGGAAATTGAAAAGAAATCCAAAGCAAAGGAAAGGAAAAAAAAAAGAGAAGAGTAGGCAAAAGTCACGTAGATAAATCAAAAACAATTGTATAATCTTACCCTGGTGCTGGTCCTTCTGTAGTGATGATGGGTTTCAAACCATCCTTTTTCCTTTTCTTATTCAGGAACGTCGGGCTCGACATGTCTGTCGTCGTAATAGTTGAAGAGTTTGTGCCGTTACCATTTGCGCCGGCCATCATTGGTACTATATTCGGAGCTGTTGGGCCTTGTTTCGTTGCAGGATTCGAAGCAGAAGTGCCTGCTGCCGAGTCTTTGGCATTCTTCATTGTTTTGGAAGAAAATATGAGGAGCGCACAGCCGTAAATCGAGGTATGTATGGGTTATACTTGGCGGAAGCCAGACGACGGAAAGTCGAGTTTATGTGGCAACCTAGAGCAGTGAGTTACGCATTCGGTCGTATATAAAAAATGCGAATGTCGATGCTCTGCGGAGAATGGTGGCGGGGTTAAGTAGAAGAGGTTAAGGTGGTGGTCACATTCGTAGACATAGACGAGGATATAGAAGAGGAAGACGAGTTGATAAGAATGCGAAACAATGCGATTTAGCTCGAGGCGATGCAAGGCGATGCAAGACGAGACGATGGAGTCGGTAGAATGGATGCGGTAACTATACGGCGCGATGCGGTACGATGAACAGATAGGGATGCGACCGCGTTTCCCCTTGGTCTTCTTTTCGTGCTATTTTCTTTGCGTGCTGTACTGGATGTATCAATATTTGGACTTGACGATTTTTTATGATGGACTTGGCAGAAGAGGCAAAATAAGAAAAACTTGTGCGCGACAAGAACAAATTGCGATGATATAATAACTGCTAGATGCAATTGAATGGGGGGAGATGGTAAGAGGGAATACTAACGAAATGTGAAGAAGAAAAAAGACGGAGGCGTTTTGCCTTTCTTGTTGTCTGTGTTCCTTCGTTCCTCCTTCCAGACTAAGGACAGGATTTATTTTGAGAGGTTACTTATTAGAAGAGAGAGATCAACGAGGTCAATGCCTTGTAAGATATAAGGTAAAGGTTACCTGATACGATCAAGGTAAGTTACCAGGTAATGTATGTCGTAGGTAAGCCAGGTAGGTAAGCCGGGTAGGTACCTATATTATTGTGTTTGTACCACCTATAGGTACCTATGTAATGGACTTTTAGTGGAATGAGATACATTTTTATATTTTTCTGTCTCGTCGCAAAATCTTGGATTCCCAACGTCATAAGGAAGATTGTTACTGGGGAAGTCGCGCCTTCTCGGTCCTTTCACATCGTCAACATGTACCTACGATTACAAAGGACCTAACCTAACAGCTTCTTTACCTAAACAAATTAATCCTTACGAATTACATTTTTTTTTTTGAATAAATCAATAATAACAATATTCATTACAGAGCCATATAGCAAAATGGGAAAAAAAATTGAAACCTAGTAATTATATGATATACATTATTGAAGGCTCTTTGATGTTTGCATCAATATTTACAAGTATCCAAGTACGTACCTTAGGTAGATATCTAGCGTATAGAGGGGTACCTAGGTAGTAGAGGGGCTGAGGGGCTGAAGGAATGGGGGAATCAACCACCACGCGGTTTTTTCCCTCTCGCCTCTAGGGATTATTCGGATGGCTATGAGGAGAGATAAAAGAATAATAATAAAAGACTTCGACAGGGATTAAGCTCTGATAAGATAGGTAAGGTACCTACCTAGGTACATAAAGGTATATCTTAACGTAACCAATCTCGGTATAAAAAATCATAAAAAAAATAACCATCGTGACTCTCTACCTGTCACCTGTTTGGATTCCCCATTCTCTTATAGTTTCAACTGTCTAATTACCTGCCTTAGGTCGAGATGCCTTGCGCTTGCGGAACAAGCACGCAACCGTGTGCCAAGCCTCGATTGTGGATCGCCTTTACTGTGGGACGAACAGCTGGATCATCCATCAAGGAAAGGAAAGCTGTATGACCTCAATGGGCAGCACAACTAGGTTAAGTGTATTGTATCATATCATATAATAAGACTACGGACCCGATATAGGTGTCAACCTCCCAAGACCTTGCTTCTTGCTTCCCTCCCGCCAACTTTATTAACTTTATTAATGGGCTGCTACACTTACATAGTATTATTAGTATTAAAATAAGTCAGTCCCCTTATTTGTTCCAACCCTTGACTCCCCTCCCTACCCTCCCCCCCGCGCGCGCGTTGGGTATCTATCTACAAGCGCCCGGCCCCATCTAAATCGGGCAACCCGGCAGCATTCTGCAGAACTTAGACACTCCCCCATCCGTCCGTGTCCTCTCCCCTTAGCTTACCTTAGGTACCGACCTACCTAGTACATGTTGAGCCTTTCTAGAATCTACCCTCTAATGCGCTGACGAGGTATTTATTATCCCCCGGCTTTTATTCACGCGCCCATATCATGCTTCATGCTACATGCTACATGCTACCTTAGTCGTAAGTATGTCATGTCAGTTACCATATTTACCATCTAAGGTTGTTGTTTTTCATATAGCTAACATAAAAAACTAAACCAAGTATTATTCTTCTTACTTCATTATTATAAATGCATCCATCCATCCCTAAGTACGGGTATTATGTATAGATAATGTAGTACCTTATATCATTAGCTCGTATTATATTTTTCTCCCCGTCTGATCTGCAGCAACGGCAGCGGCAGCGGCAGCAATCGTCCACTTTACACCCCAAACACATCAAGGTATGATTGCATCATCAGCTGCCTCTTCATTGGATAAAAACCTGGCGCTTGGGAAGGGCCAAGCTTTTTGCCCCTTGCTAAGGTAAGACGGGAAGCTTTCTCATCGGCCAGAGGTCGGATTTACGGACAATACCAACGCGTTCCAATGTCTCTTCCGATAACTAACTCTAGCCATATTATACGATAAATAGGTACACTTCTGTAAATCAATATGTTCTCATGTCAAAGCTAATGGAAGATACACCTATATAGGTAGGCATATACGAGATAGTAAACTTCCTTCTCCCTCCTTTTACAACTCTGCTGGCGCTTCCTCGCTATCTAAAGCAGGTGTCCTTATTAACAAAAGCTCCTTCTGCCTCCCATACACCCACTGCCAGCTATTCGCTTCTTCGTCCCAGTACACATCCTCTTCCTGAGGGAAGACGATGGTCCGGTTCCTCTCGGGCACGAAGTGTTCCGCGAAAAGTTCGATGCTGTAGTACGTGTTCTTCAGTAAATGGAGGTCCCCCAGAACGGGGACTTCGTCCTGGAGATTCGTCATACCTAGGTAGGTAGGGGGCAAGTTAGCGAAATAACGCCGATAGACGCCGGCGACGCGGGTGGAACCTAACGTGGTGCTTACCAATTACTGTCCCTGCCGAGTGACCCCATTCCCCAGTGGCATGGCAGTAGATCTTACCTTCGATACCTTCACCGTGCATCTGCTCCAGAGAGGCTTTCAGGATCTCGTTACCTGTCATCCCGATTTTCATGTTGCCCTTCACAATGTCCTGTAAGCGGTTGACTTTTTTCAGGCCCTCGATCATCCCCTTAGGAACGTCAGCTTCTGTCTCCCCGGGGTACAGAACATAACCTATGTGCTGCGTGTCGGTGTTTAAACCGAGGGCCGATACGCCAAAATCTGTGTGGATTAGATCGCCATACTGAATTGGGCGGTCGGGCGCGCGAGGGTCGTCCATCGAGGCGGACGGGTCATCTGCCGCAGGGAATCCTTTGCCTGTCAAGATGAAAACACTGGGTTGGAACCAGGTGGTGTAATTTAGAGATTGGATCTTCTCTCGCATCCACCATTCGATATCCTGGGGAGTCAACAATTTCTTAGTAAAGAATTTCACGATATTCACTTAGAATCGGACAAGTATAAACTCACCCAACTTGTAGACTTCCCAGGAACAATCACCTTCTCGCTCTTGTATATGAAAACATGTTGGGTCAGCTGTGCAATCTTGCAACTAAAGTCCTCGCCGTTCTGTGTTCAACAAGTCAATAGACAGGGCAGCTTCACTTACTACAGAAAGGTCAGCAATCATGTCCCTTACAAGTTACAAGTGTAGTCTTAAGACCGTCCCTGGATGAGAATCTCAAAATACCAACACGGTGTGTTTTCATACATACCAAAAGCCTCCTCGATGATAGCCCAGCTTGTTTCCATCAGCTTCTGATACCACGGGAGCCTGCTATTAACCATCGTCGCGACTAGTTCGACGCCTAGCATAGGCTCCAACACAAATCTGTCTCTCCACTCATCTCCTACGCCTCTGATAACAGCATCGAGCTCACCAGCATGCAAGCCTCCCGAGAACGCTATTTCCGGATGTGTATTAAGCGCGATGGAGTGTGGCTGCTGTACTGCTAGAATCTGCCGCAGTTCCGTCCATACAGCTTCCGTATTCTCGACCCATGAATAGCTGGATGGCGCCCCGCCGACTGGATCAGCCAGGAAGAGATATGTGGTCCGCCGCCTAGCAGAGAACTGCGTAGCTTCCTTGAGAGCCCAAAACACGGTGTCCTCAGCATATTCGCGCTGGCTCATCTATGAAACTTGTCAGGGATGGGACGAAGTGAGACATCATGTAACAGCGTACCAGCCAAGCATCGATACCATACTTGCGTAGCAATCCTGGGATCAGAGCTTTACGCTCTTCGGTCCATCCGTCTAGTAGTCTGGCCTGCTCTCGTAATGAGGGTAGTATTTGGACCTCTGGTGTTTTCCCAGGGGCTGTTCCAACATACGCTTGTACCAGCGCACAAGCAGTCCAGCTGTTGATCAAACAAGTGAGTAATACTTTAGGACCCCGCATCGTTCATTAGGTACCTGTCACTGAAACTTGGAAGAGGCTTTTTTTTCCGGTTTGATGATAATACTTATACCGTCTTAAATTTGTGCTTAATTCGGATGGCTATTTGGAAGTGTAGGAGGGACATTCACCCCTATTTTCTTTGAATTTAGGGATATCCGAGTCAAGGTCGGTTCTTGTACGTTGTATTTTGGGAGAGTATCGCTCCCGTACCTTTATCGGGAGATTCCGATCAATTGAGCCGTTGCCGGGTGAACCTTCTTGTTCAAGACACCTACTCTTTTGGGCAAGCATTTAAACAATCGTGGACGACCTATTGCTCAAGTGCTCCTTCTTCACAGGACTGGGCCAGCCAGGCATTGCAATGAGAAAAAAAAAGTTTGACTCAGCAGAGCTGAAAAGGTTCCAAAAATTAAAGTGAAGTAGAAAAAAGTTACGTTCACTATTGAGTGACCAAAGTCATGATATGTTTACCTGCGGATTAGTAGTACTTCAAAGGGATTCCGATGATACTTACCTGCCCTCACCTCAGGAAATTACCCAGAGACTGCTTGACATAGGACACCTATCTCCCTTGGGCAGCCTCCAATGCCTGACCTTTCTAATAAGAATCGAAATCCTTCGCGGCGCTGGCGAAACCTCCTCACCGGACGGATCGGCTTGCCATCGGGGCTCACCTCCCCGGCCCCAGTTGAGTTAAAACCAGGGTGCCGCGGCGATGGGGGTGAGGTGTGTAACGTGAAGCAGTGCCACTCCACGGGCCTCGCAGGCACTGCTAGAAACCCCCTTGCACGTCGAGGAACGCCGCCTCCCAGGGCACTTCCACCCAGGCAAGCAGACACGACAAGAGCGCCGAAGCAACACATGTCGATAGCGCCAATGTTTACGGCCAGCCCGATGCTGTAAAAACTTGAACCTACATTGGCACCGTCCCTGCAAGTACTAGCCTGGCAACACGGAGCACGGTATAGAACTTCTCTGCCCTTATCTCTTCGCCTACTCCTGCGAAGGTCCAGGGACCCGGCTGACCCCAAATTGACTGATAATAATGCTGCTGTTAATAATATTGTTGTTTTAAAATCGTTGTTTCTAATATCCTTGTTGTCGTTTTTATGAGGTATCGCCGTAACTACTTTCAATGTTAGATAGGTCACAAGCGACGATAGCAAAGTTGAAGTTAATGCACTTACAAAAAAATAATATAATAACTGGCCGGGGTCAGCATTGGGTTTGATTGGGGCTAGAGGGGTATGGCGACGATTTCCTGAGATGAGGGTGCTCCCCTCCCCATAAACGGCAAAGCCACTTAGAAGAGATCCAGGCCAGCGGTACGTAGGTCGTTTATAATGGACACAAGGCCGCCACCTGAAGGAAAGAGGAGCCTATAATTTCGACGTTGGTGGAACTCGTAGGTAATATGCTTGCTAAACTTGTTAGATGATGATTAGTTGCTACAAGTATATGTATGTATGAATGTAATGTGGGTTGTATAGAGAGTTTGGACAAGAGGATGGAGTGATAGACGAAGTGGGGATGGAGGAGTGAAAGAGAAATCCAAGGTCTTAATGATAGCCTGGAATGGTCTTGCGACGAAGAGCCCAAGGTAGAAGAGAAGTTATGATGCAATAGAGAAAATTGATGCGAAAAGTCAAAGTAGGCAGCGATGTGTAAGTGAAGGAGGTTGAAGTTGAGAAGTGGGGAGGAGGGGATGGAAGTTTGAATTGGGGAAGAAGTTGAGATAGATCAGTGACTTACCTTTGATTGAAAAGGATGGAAGAAGTTGTGATAGTTGTTGTGATTGGTATTGGTATTGGTGGTAGTGGTGGTTGTTGTAGTTGTGGTTGTAGTTATGGTTGTGGTTATTGTGGAGTGAGAGAGGAAAGCTGGAAGGGGGAGAATGGGGGAGACTGCCCACCCTTATATAGTTATTCTAGGCCACTGATTTTGGCAGTTTGATTTTAAAATCAGTATTATTACCTATGTACTTGCTTTCGCACCTTCTTTTAAAAAAAATCTTTTTACGTACCTCAGGTTTCTCTGATTTGGGAAGTTACAGCTGGCCGTGCAACCAATGGAAAAATTATTTCAAACTTAGGCAGGTTCGATCAAAAAATAAAAGAATTTTTTTTAGCTCTAAGTAGGCAGTTGCGTACCTTCAAAAATCATTTTTTTCAAGTAGGTACCTATGCATTTTATGATCTGCTCATTGCTTTGGAAAGTACGTCCTGATTTTACACACGTACCTGCCTCCCTAGCATAACATATATGTGCTTGATAGGCATACCGGGAATCACATCTGATTTCGTTATCTTTTTTTAGTGATTTAAAATATACACGGCCTAATATCAACTAAAATTTAATTTATTCTACCTTTTATTCTATTTTTCCACTGCTTAAATCAGTAACATTTAAAGATTCCTCTTATCTTTTTCAATGTGCCACTTCGAATCAGTGTCCATACATACCTAGGTACCTAATGTATGTACCTACGTAGGTCGCTTTATTTAGTAACGTGTCAAGATCAAGATCAGTTTCTATTCTTCCCTACAGTCAGGAGATATCTTAAATATTGGAAGCAATAAGGGTTGAGTTGTCGAATAGGTTAGGTAACCTAACGAGGCACTCGATAGAGGTAAGTGGCTCACCATGTTACCTTCGATGTACCTACCTCATTGACTAAATCAGTCGTGCTAGTAATTTTAGATCTTAATATTTCGATAAAATCAGGACTTGTCATGCTGCTTCTATGGTTACCCTGGGCACACGCATTAGGAGTTTGAGTGTAGCGCGGATAGATATGAGCTTGATATTCACCTACGTGGGCGGGCATAATATGGCCACTAGAATTTACTGAAGTTTGCAGTACGAGATTGAATCAATTTGTATCCCAAGATGATCTCTATCATAATTTGTGCGCAATTTTCTGTAATCAACATGCAATGTGGGAATGACCCTATGGTAACGCGATAGTTAACGCTTTTAGTTAACCCCCTATTTTATAACCGAAATTTCACCTTGTCACTATGCAATAGCGTTACCAACTCTAAATACTCCAAAAGGATTTCATGTACAAAAAATATAATTAACTCAATTTTCTACAGGCGGAAATAAAAAAGGATATTTTTTGACTTATTTTGGTGAAGATATTGCAGAGTGACAGAGTAGCCTAGGTGGGTCGATGTAATTATCAAGATCGCGCGTACAGCAACTCAGATCTAACGCCGCTTCTATTCATTTTTGGAGCCCCAACGTAAACATTGAATTTCACTTAGCTTCTACATGCCTGAATGCCATGGCGCCGCTAGTATATTAACAATCTTTATCACCCATTTACCTTGGATACCTCCTGTCTACCTGGTACCTCACCTATCTTAAGCCGAATATATTCTGAAGCTCCTCCAATCCAATTCCGCTATGTACTTTGTTCATATGGTCGTAACATTCACCAGGTACCTTGAATGTTTCCAAGCAAACCCAACAGATATGTGCGCCACACCGACAAGCTATGTGGTTACACCCCTCCCCCTTTTCTATAGGGGTTTTACACTTGGGACAATTTTTAACACCGTTCTCTTTCTTCCACCTTTCACTAGCTTCGAGCCCGCCTGTCAAACTATCTTTATAATCTCCGCATGACATAGTCCTATGCTGAGCTTGGCATGCCGTACACACCTCTTCGTGACAATTGGGACACATCTGGATTCTAGGCGTGGCGTTGATCCGATAGATATATCCGCAATCTGGGGATGGACAGTAACCAAACAAATGGAGACTGTGTCGCACGTATAAATCGAGGGATTTCTCTAAAAGGTCCTCGAACGAACTCGACGACAGGTGTTCTTGTAACTCCGGAAGCCCCATCGTTTTAGAACAACTTCCGGATCCCCCAACACAGGCGATGCGAGTGACTGTGTTTTGTGTCATAACGGAAAAGCATAAATTCTCGAAACAGTCGAGGCAGTAGACGTGGCTGCACTCCGTCCGGACTGGGTTATCGGCCGTATTCCAGCATACCGAGCAATCTTGATCCCCTTGAATGTTAATCTCCGTCTGTGCTTCCTCTTTACCCTTGACTAAGGAATTTGCCGTATCGTAGTCTTTGGCGGTACCGATTATAGTGATACGTTTCGGCGTCGACGTGATATCAAGTATAACCTTCTCTGATCCTAACTTCGCCTCGATACTTTTCAAACCCCCTCGAAGCGCCCACGACAATTCATGATCTCCAAGTTGGATATTAAATTGTTGGGACGATTCGTCTCGTATCAGTCTAGTAATCTCATCTTTGGCTGTTTCGCAAGCCGCCGGCGATCCGTATAGCTGAAGTTGTGACTTAACTTTGTTCCGGATAATGGCGATTCCGTTCCTCTGTTCAATTAGAGCCAATTGCTGAAATAGCATCCCATTCTTACGCAGAGCTGGGTGCCACAGAGTGGAAGAACCATCTCTAGCCACTACACCGGATATAATCTTGGAGATGGTACCTTGTGCCCTGGCCACCTCCTTTTCTCCCTCTCCCTCCAGCTTTAACACCTGGTACCATTTCGGAGGGTTGGTGTTTGGGTAGGCAACATAAGTCAGATGTGAATCCTTCCAACCTCTGATCTTGGCTTGAAGCTGGGATTGGACTGCTTCGTAGACCTTGACATGTACCTTAAACTTTACCATATGAACTAACTGTACAGTGAGTTTCGCGCTTTTGTTGAAGAGGGGAGGTGTCTGGTTAAGTGATTTTGCAGCCTCCCTAGCATCATCCTCGCTCAGGAATCGCGCGCTTGCTTTCATGCGCTTGCCAGCAGTGTCGGGAGTAAATTCCCACCACTCCAAAGGTCCAATAGACGTGAAGAGTGATTTAATCTGCGCCGAACAAGTTTCATCATCGCCCTTATATGTGGGATCTCCAAGCTGGATCTTTCGGGGCTTGTAAATTTGATGAGAGATAGACTTCTCGACGTCAAATTCGGTTGCGGAGGCTGGTACTTCTGTTAAGTACACAGTCCACGCCAGAGGATTGCGAAATGTCCCTCCTCCGGTCGGACGGTTGCAATGCACAGTTTGGTCCATGATTTTGTATTTTCCGGCCTGGAAGTTGTCGTACACACGCTTGGCAATCTTCTCGTCGCCAAAGTTGAGCCACGCAGCCTTGTATGGCTTGTGCCAAGATATATGAACCTTGCAGCAATCTACACGGAGAGTGCTCGAATCTGACTTTATATGGTTCTGAACGGGGATAACTATAGGTTTTTCGCGATTAGCCGAGCGGGAAGTGCTCTGTAGGCTAAATTTTCTTGCGGCGGCTTTGGCGAACTCGGGATCTCTTGCTTTTACTAAGGCGCTCGAGTGATCTTGGTCATGAATAATGCGGACTTCGGGCTCTACTGGGACGTCGATATCGTAGGATTGAAGGAAATTTAGCACTGAATGTTCTGTGATATCTCGTGGGAGTTGGCTGATTTGAATGGTTGAAAAGTCCGATGGCAACGATACATTTTCAACCATAGCACCCATCTCGAACTGAACTAAAGCGCCTAAGATAGTACGAACGATCTTGTCTTGTCTCAAAGTCGTATCAATCTACAATAGCCGTCAGCTGTGAAGCATTTCCTGTTACTAGTCTTACCTCATTCTGTGTGCGTTGAAGAGAATCGTCGACTATGGAATCCTTTAAGTGCAGAAACGGGCAAGAATCACCGTTCCGACACCGACCTTGTTGGAAGAATTTGCATGGTATCTGGGCCCGAGTGTCATTGTAAGGTACTGTGGGCTTTTGATTAAATCTTCGAGACATGGGGCCAGAACAATTTAAGTGTTGTTCTGGGCTTGGTCTGAAGTCGACCGCGGTCGGGTTTGGTTTAAATTTCGCCATCACTTATGTGATATCTGAGTAGCACCTACACCTATCTAGGTACCAGCGCAGAACTAGATGGGAATGAACTGGAATTTACAAAGAGGGATTCGGAGGAATAAGTACCCTACCTATGTAGGCTCTCTGTTTGTTAGGCATCCATGGTAAAGTGACCAGTTAGAATTTATAGATTGCGTGCTACGGTTACACGGCATAGTTGCAGTTAACCACGACGAAAGAAAGCAGAAAGCCTCACCGAAACCAAAGTATAATTTGGTTGATGTTATTACTGGTCCGGATTCGATATACAAGCAGTGCGTTGATTGGATACCCTCGCATCGAGTAGCTCAGGACAACTATTCTTAAGTATCTATTCGCATACGAGGTACCTAATAAATACGGCTCGTTTATATAGGGTGCTAATACCATAGTAAGCTAGGTAGGTAGGTATGTGGCTGTGGAACTAGAACTTTGCCTGACGTATACTGCAGACTTATTATTCAGTCTGATGGGACTTATGGAACACTTAGAAGGTATATTGGGCGTAGATATTGACATTATGTACATAGGTAGCTTCTCAGCAGAGGTTCTTGCTAGCATTTCCTCCAATCGTCCAGTTGGTATTATCACCGCACGGAGACTCACGAACGGAGTTGTTGTTCACGGTGAGGTTGATCCAAATGTCCCGGTTATTGGGAAATTCGTCGCGAGCCGCGAGACGTACCTCTCCACCACCGTTTACCGTTCCCCCGCGGATTGAAACGTTGTAGCAGTTCTCGATGAGGATGGCATTGTTGCCGTTACCAGAGAGGTCAACGCTCTCGATTACGGCCGCTCCTGATTGCGAGACGCAGAAGATGCCACGGCCTCCGCCACGAGACTTGACTTTGTCGACGTAAACGTTGGTGTTGTAATTTCCGTTGGGATTCTGTCCGTTATTATTCGCCATCCGAAATGTCGCATACCCCGTGCCCTTTGCGACGTTGTCGCCATCGACCAGTTTAACCTTGGCGTTAGTCGTCTTCTGGAGTAGCAAGCCACATTCGCCGACATCTTTTGCGATAACCTGGTTGATTTCAAGACCATCTATGTTCCATGTCTCTACGGCGTGGCTACCAGCCCCCGTAACTTTGATGACGTCCATCTTCACATTCGAGTTTGCGGCTGCGTCTCGGTCGAAACGGATGCCCAACCCACCGCTTAGATTCATCGTGATCTTTCCGAGAACTAGATCCTTCGTGCCGTAGAATCGCAAGCCAAAGTACGGGTTACCGGTCATGGTAAGGTACGGGATTTGAACACCAGTAGTGTCTAAAGACTCAATTGCGCCATGCCCTGCCCGGTTTCCAACGTCGATAGTACCGCAGCCCTCAAATATCTTGCCACTGCTTATGGTGATAGTATTCGCGCCAATCGAACCCGAGGCCATAACAGAGACGCGTTGGCCGCTGCTTATTGAGTTTACAGCGGCCTGGATCGCCGCACGGTAGTCAGAGCCAGAGTATACCGTGTTTGAGCCTTTCGTGGCTTTGAAAGAGCTGCCAGAACCGGTCACGGTAGCATCTGGAGTACCAGAGCCGCACTGAGCCTGGGCAACGGCAACGAATGCAAGCGCTGCGGCAATTATAAAAGATCGTGCCATGGTACAGTTTCCCAAATTTCTTGAAATGAAGAAATAATCTTCGAATACCATTCCTCTATGTTTCTACGTGTGGAGACGGCAAGCTTTTATATACCCCTCGAGGAGTTAGGTAGCACCAAAATCCACGATGTTACGGCTTATTCTGCCATCGGAGTTGTCAGGGGTAAATTGGTTTACCTTTAAGCTTGGCGACATTACATCGGAATAATCGATTCCACGATATGTTGTCGATGCCAATGCCTACGTCTTTATTAACGCACCAATCCGAAAGTCGAATTGTTACCGGGATAAGTTTGGGATGGAATAGCTGTTTTGGCATAAAAAAGAAAAAGGGGGGTTCTTGCTCCGTAGTTGACTTGGGTTGCAATTCAAATAAGCCTAAGAGCAAAGCACATCTAAAATTTCCAATCAGGAAAGGACCTGGTATCCTGAGTGGTTCGACGACAATGAAGTCTTGTTCAAATGCAAACTTTCGGAACGAGACGTAGATAAACAGCGAGGTATCTTCGGCATAAGATGTAATGGTCTTACGGAAAAAAGAGGACAAGATTCTCCAGGAAGCCTTGAATTCCCACGGAGATGGCACGCAAGTACTTCTCAGAGACGAGAACCAAGCCAGAGTTGTTAATCGCAGGCTCAAGATGGCCTGGTACGGACCAATGCCACAGGAGGACTGGGAGTCTTACCAGGCACTACGGTCCAGAGCCTATGGAATATTCCAAAGAGAGACCGATGGGATATGCTTTATTAATGTCGTCGTTAGAGACTGCAATGTTCATGATTGAGAATCTATAAGATATTGATGGCATGGCTTCTTGGTGAGTTGCCGAGTTTCTCACCAGTTGTTCAATTGCAACTTGATGCGTCATTCTATGATATAGGTGCCTATATGGATCAGGCAATCAATCTACTGAATCCAGATGGGGAGGCACATACTGACGATAGGTAAAGGACAAAAAGGGGGAGGGTGTACTAATCTATTACGTTCTGTTGACATAGCTAAATTGCGATTTTACACAAGAGCTAAATAATGAAACCAGGTATAGTACTTAGCAAAAGGCTTCTGGGTCTTATCTGGCGTAATGACTACCCCTTTTGAAGATACTGGTACTCACTAGTAGTTTTGTTTTTTGCCCAACCCGCTAGGAAGTAGCACAAGATATAGGGGAAACACGCAACCTAGACGATATAAGGCTATTATCTCCTATGAGTACCTAACCTAGGAGTCTATCTACGCCAAAGACTTAGCTTCACCATCCTTCAGCTTACCAGCGTCGACGAGTCTCTTGACCTCCTCGCTCCACACGCCCTTGATCTCGTTCGCAACCTTGAGGCCGTTAAGCTTTCCGGCCAACGCCGCGATCTCGTCGGGGTCTATCTTGCCCTGCACGAGGTCGACGTCGTTCAGTACGGCGTCGATCTGGGCGGGGCTAGCGTCGCCAGCGCCGACAAAGTAGTTGGCGTCCTTGACGGAGCCGCGGAGCACACGCTTATTCTTCTTGACGGCGGTTTTGGCGGCCTCCTTCGCCTTCTTGTTGGCTTCGCGCTCGGCCTTGGCCTTCTCCTCGGCCTCCTTGGCAGCTTTCTCTTCCGCCTCCTTCTTCAGGCGGGCGTCCTCCTTCGCTTTCTTCTCGGCGGCCTCCTTGTCGAGGCGCTTCTTGTTCTTGGCGGCGTTGGCCTCCTGGCGGAACTTCTTGATGCGCTCGTCGCCGGCGGAGCAATCGTCGAGGAGCTTGCGCAGGCGCGCGTTGTCCTCGGCCTTCTTCTTCTTGCGGGCGTTGGCGTTCTTGCGCTCCATGTGGCGCTTCTGGTCGCGGTTTTCGTTGTCGTCCGGCACGTCCTCGTCCAGGTATTCGAACGAGCGCCACGAGTCGAAGTTGTACCAGAAGTTATAGAAATTCTCTACGTCCTCCTTGGTCGAGTTCTCGTCGCCAAAGGTGGGCACGGGTTGCTGCTTGGAGAAGCGCGATTCGGACTTGAAGACACGGCTCCAGAGCTTGTAGTAGTTGCCCTTGGCCAATTCCTTCTTAGTCGGCGGGTCGACGTCGGCCTTCTCGTCAACAGAGTCGAATTGTCGGCGCTTAACAGGGTCAAGTAGGACCTCGGTAGCTTTCTGGATGCACTTGAAGAAGTTGTCGTCCTCCGTACTGCCCTGGGCAGCTTTCTTATCAGGGTGGTGCTTTAGGACCTTCTTTCGGTGAGCACGCTTGATCTGCTCCTCTGTTGCCTTCCATCGGTACTTGGATAAACCAAGGACTTGGTAGTGATCTTGCGACTATATATGAAGCATGAAGACGTTAGAAGATCGTTACATTAGGTTAGGTTAGGTTAGGTAGGTATATATGGTAGAAGAAGGCATCGACGAGTTATAGCGTCTGCGAATATATTCTTACCTTCCAGTCCTTGGCATCCCGCTGGAGCATCAGAGGATCCTCAGGCTCGCTAACATCGCTCTCGTCGTCCTTCTCGATTTTCTTGGCGCTCTCCTGGGCCTGAATTCGGTCATCTTCAGAGAATGTACGCTTATGACGGGCGCGGCGGGCGTGGGCAAGGAAATGAGGGCCGACGGGTTCGATGGTGCGTTGAGTTGACGCGGTGATGGAAGCGATTTGTTTAAAATCTTTCTCTGCGGACCAGCCCTCCGGCAGGACGGGAAGAGGTCGTGCTACTATAGTTGACGTAGCCATTGTCGTTTGTTGCTGTACAAAGTCCGATAAATTGAAGGGACGAAAAAGAGGATGTACCTTTTTCGTGGGGTGACAAGAATTATTTTTATTTTCTGTTTTGTTCTTATCTTCTTTTTATTGCTTATCGTTTCTTTTTTCTTATCTACCCCGTCTACCTACGTAGGAGGTACCTAGGTAGCTAGAGCTTAAAGTGGCAGGGTGGATTACCTAGGCAGAGAACATGAGTACATCTACCAGTGTACAATGTACCTAGGTACGCTTAGCCACAGCTTTATTGTTGTAAAGCCACAACCTTTAACCTCTTTTTTCTCCCGTTGAATTTCACGACATCCAGAAACTTCTATATACTACCTAGACATATTATTCAGTGTCTTATAAAATATACTTCTCTGCAGTATTTAGCATCCATCAAACATGGCCTTACAAGCTTATAGGGGCCTGCTCCGAGCAGCCAGGATAGCTTTCCAAGGTAGGACCTGACTTATTCAACCTTGATTAATATATTTCGCAATATATTGACTCTGTATCTTAGGTGATGAGCGAGTTTTAACTGCGGCCCGAGCCTCGATACGTAAGAGCTTCCTCGTCAATGCTTCATTAGCGTCGACTGATCCTGAGCTACCGGATGCCATAAAACATGCCGAAGAAGTTGCCACCATATTACGGTCGAACGTAGTGCAAGGGAAGAAAGAAGGCGATAGATATAGTACGTTTTTCCCTTTTTTTTCTCTCTATTTTTTTGAAGGCTTCAACCCGGAATGTGGTTTTTCCAAGGTAAGATCATGTCCCTAACAAAGGATCTAGAACTACGGATACACGAAGATACGGAACGGGGCGACAATGATACAGTCAAATTCCCGGATGGCAAGATAGCCAAGATAGACGGAAAGACGTGCGCCGACAGGTAACAGAGAATGAAGTTTCTTAAGTCCATGAAATCTTGTATTATATCATGATACCCGTAGTGTACCAACAAACACCATGGCCGTGATCAAGCGGCCGCACATCATATGATAATCTCACTTAAACATAAACATACCCTTCCATAAACGCAATGCTTGTTCCAACGCCACCCATGCAATAAAGTTATCCCTTCTGCTCTAGTCTCCTGACAAACTGGCATAGTTGAAATCCGCAGCCCCCGGCGGTGGTGCCACTATAGGCATGCTATCTACACCTTGATCTTGTGCTGCTCCTGTCTGACTTGCTCCCCCTTGCGAAGGCGGCGCACCTATCGCCTTGGGGCCGCCGTTTCCACGTCGTTGGTCTGGAAACGCAGATCGTCCGTCGCGAGCCATAGCAGCCCGTTCCTCCTTGTTCATCGTTCCGATAGCTTTAGGCATGCTCCATCGCACTCGTAGGGGGCAACCCGCAATCACCGCCCGACCCTGACAAGCTTCGGCGGCTTTCTCGGCGGCCTCTCGCGTCTCGTAGTTGATGAATGCGCAGTGCGACATATGACTACAGATCAACGACTTGATCTTGCCATGCTCTTTGAAAAAGTCTCGGATTTTGTACTCGGGTAGGTCGTCTTCGACGCCGGTAACGAATAGACTCATAATAGATTTATCAGAGGGTGGCATCCAGTCCTTGGGACCAGGTGGTAATTGCGATGTACTGGGGAATGGTCTACCTCCTCTTCCTGGCCTCGAGCCTGGACCAGCACCTGCGGCAACGGCTGCTCTAGAGTCGCGAGTGCGGATGGGGCCTGGGCCACCTACGCCAGCCCCTACCGCCGGGCTGCCTCCCCTTGAGCTTCCAGCAGGCTTCGACAACTCGGTTGCACTTCCGTCCTCAATCGCCCGTCCCTTTCTGAAGTAAGGTTTGCTGTTTGCTAGTCGTCGCAATAACTCGCGCGCCTTCTCGTCCGTCTTCTCGTATTCCTCGGTGCCTCTTCCTTCTTCAAGAGCCTTCTCGTTATTTTGGGCGAAGTACTCGCGGTTGACTTCGCTTTGGGGCCCGGGCGCGACCATTTTAAGAGCGGCGTCACGAAGTTGGATGGGTAGGCCAAACTGTAGATCGAGCATACAGCATTGACAGCAATTCTTCATTCGAGCGCAAGTAAGGCAAACGTTCGTTCGCTTCTTTCGGCCGTGGGCACGGTCGGCGGCCCAGGAAAATATGGTATAAGGTCGCGTACAGATCTTGCATTCGGCGCCATAGTCTTCTTTCAACATCTTAACGTATGGATTCGGTGGCAGGCAATTCTCGCATACGGATGGGAAGTCGGTTGACTCCCAACCTGAGCGGTTCAGGTCTTGTTTTATTTGTGGAGGCATAGTTGTTGAGGATCGATGATTATGTTGTAATAATAATAATGTTGATGATGAAGTTGTAAAGATGAATTGGAAATTTGAAGCTCTCTGTAGCGTAAAGTTAAATCATACTGGGTCCAAAAAAGATGTTATCTGCATTTATTTGAGAGACACGGTATTACATAGTATATAAACACTATGTACATAAATTATGTACATATGTACCTAAGGCAAGTACTCTTCAATATTATGTGGCTGGTTGTGGCGATGTTGCCTTCCAAAACTGTGAGTGTGCCACTCATGAGCCACGGACGTGGCTTTCGCCAGCTCTCATGCTCTTCTTAAGTGATGAGTGATTCAAAGTTTGTAAAAAATATAACAATCCTTTTCTTCACATACCAGGTAGACAATACCCACGCACTTGTCAAAAACTTTCCCCGTGGGGTCCGTTGCCCAGGACCTATTTTAACTTTGAACTTTCCAGAATTGAAGATAGAATTTATGTACAAGTATATAACTATGTTATCTATTATGTGATAATTTAAGTTCAACTCGGCCATTCAACCTTTCATTCTCCAATAACATCGTGAACTCCCATTACTCCTATTATTTCTTATCATTCATCAACCATACTCGTATCAACACATTATTTACTTGTTTGTTTTTTCTTAAAAATAATTCTATACGTAAACGTAAGAAACCAAGGAAATCCGGATTCTCTAGTTGTCGTAATTCTAATAACTCACGTAATTACATTCGAGACAAGCAACACAACTTATACCAAATAAACACTTCTTCCTCTCGTGAACCATATTTTCTCTCACCACATTTACCTTCACCCCGGACCGGCTTTTACTTCCCCATTTCCCTACTTCCAATACGAGTTAAAGATATAAGGTACCTAGTTAAAATCACCGAGCGCTTCCCCGCAACTCAGGTCCGGGTTGAGAAATTAGAACAGGTATGTTATGTCGTACTATAGCACCAGCTCCTTCAGTTCTCATAACGCCCATGTTGGATAAATACTTTTAAGTTCAATCTTGTAGAAACGCAAAGTAACTTGAAGCATCGTATATGTGCGTTGCGCCTTGTCCACGAGACCACTTTTAAGTAGCAAGTAATTATCCCTCAAGTGGCGTTTTACTGTATTCTTATGTTGGCATAGCGTGGTAAATCTTAAATGCGATGAGACCACTCCCCTCGTATACGAATCCAAGGATACCATGGAGAACTCTACCTAAGGTAGGTACCTTAGGTAGGCACCTATATAAGTTTCCCCATTCCCATCTCCTCTGTAGGACCATTCCGTAGAACCAGTTCAGTTGGCCCGTCTTAACTCTTCTACACTACCTCTTCAAACCCCTTTTTCCTTTGCAGATATCGCCATGTCGACCACTCATAATACAAATAGAATGGAGAACGATCCTCAGTCCGTCAGTCAACCCGTTTCTCCTATTCCAGGTAATATAACTGACGAGACCGCCTCGACACAATATTCTACATCACGGGAGACTGTACCAAAGCATACCGTATCACACGATGAATCAACCTTGAGACCAGACAGCTCGGCAATCTTGACACCAGAAAATCTAGCTACCCGCATACTGACAGAAAATGACTGTCCCGAAGCTCTGGCTTACGCATGGCCGAAGTGGAAAAAATGGGGTATACTGACCGTCATCTTTCTTGTCCAAATTTCAAGTAAGCGTCTATCATCATAGCAATGCTCGACCTTTGTTTCCTTTGCCTAATTCCCCATTTATTTACCTTCGTAGTCCCCGCCCAAAACCATATTTTGAAATCTTTCCATGGAAGGCGGGTTCTAATTGTAAACATCTAACTAGTGAATTTGAACGCTTCCCTATACGCCAATGGACAGAGCGGTATCGCCGAGGATCTCAGTGTTAGTGTTCAGGCCGCAGTGAGCGGAGCTGCCAACTTTCTTGTTTTATACGCATTCGGATGTGAGCTGTAGGTCTAGCCGATTCCCTCCTGGTTGATACTCCCCCAACACTAAATCTTTCCGTAGTTGGGCGCCGTGGTCTGAAGAGTTTGGAAGGAAACCTGTCCTACAATGCTCCCTGCTGATGGTAAATCTATGCTGCATTCCTGTTGCACTTGCCCATATCCATCGCTCCTTCGCTGTTATCCTCGTCGGACGTGCCTTCGGTGGTCTTTTCTCTGCAGGGGGAAGTGTTACCCTGGGGGTAGTCGCGGACATGTTTACGGCTAATGAGCAAGAATTTCCGCTGGCATACATTGTCCTCTCTTCAGTAGGTGGTTCTATTGTCGGGCCCATCATCGGCGGATTTATCCAAAGAGATCTCCATTGGATGTGGACCATATGGATCCAACTTATCTTCGGGGTTTTCGTCCAAATATTGCATCTAGTATTCGTGCCTGAGACTCGATCTGCCATCCTACTTAATAGACATGCGAAGAAAATGAGGGAGGCCAAATTCGAAACCACCGGCGAAAAAAGCAATGTCTACGGACCCTCCGAGTCGAAGCCGCTCAAAGACTATCTACTCCCGAAAGAAATTCTTGCTATATGGCTCCGGCCCTTCAGGATGCTCTTCACGGAGAGAATAGTAATGGTACTTTCTACACTTTCCGGCTTCAGCGACGCCCTCATCTTCATACAAATCCAATCCCAGGATCGCGTTTTCAGGTTGTGGAACTTTGACGAAGCACAAATAGGACTTGTGAGTTGTATCAACCGCCACCCTTCGATATGATACCTCTGCTAATATTGCTACAAGTCTTTCATCCCATTAGGCATTGCTTATATCCTTGCATTTCTACTATACATTCCAATCATTTACCGTAACAAAGTTCTACGAGCGAGGAATCCTCTTAGTGAGAATGCTCAATTTGAGTCAAGGCTCTGGTGGCTGCTTTTCACCGCACCGCTCCTCACTGTTGGAATACTTCTATACGCCTGGACAAGCACGCCTACGGTACATTGGATTTGCCCGATGATCGGATGCCTCTTGATCGGCATAGCTAACTACACCATCTACATGACTACTATCGACTACATGGTGAAGGCGTATGGCCCGTACTCTGCCTCTGCAACTGGAGGGAACGGCTTTGCTCGTGACTTCTTGGCCGGAATCTTGACGTGGGCCGCGAAGCCATACTACGACGCATTTGAGTTCAAATACGGTCTTCAGACTGCGAACTCTATGCTCGCCGCCATAAGCCTGCTTCTCGTCGCTGCTACCTTTATCGTCTATTATAAGGGACCAGCTATGCGCAGGCGGTCACCCTTCGCGGAGTCTCTAAGCCACGGCAGAGACGAAGGTTTGACAGGTGTCAGGGAGATCCCGTGATGGATGTCGGACGATGAGTGAATGTTAGCTAGAGAGGTCAGCAAGTGTATAGGTTAGAGTAGTGATATACTAGCGTTTGCCCCTCTAAGCACCTTCCAGGCTGTCACGGTACGGTCCTATAGCGTAAACCCTAGTGGATCACCATCGTGTATATAAGATAGCCAAACGAGGGACCTCTTACTAGTTGCCTCTTTCTCCCTTTGTGCAACAACAATTGTCTCTACTCAAACCTTGCGTCACGTCACGGAGCATGAGGCAGGTAAAACAACTTCATTGTTCCGCAAGGAACTCTAACTACAATTGCCTTGAAGTCAAAGCTATATACAAAATAACTCCTGACACCTCGACAGAAGCATACCCCCGACAACCGCAGACATGTCGTTTCTTCACGACCTATCTAATGCTTAGAAACAGCGAGCCTGCTGGACAAATTTGCGCTCTTCGTACACAATATTACCCCCGAAGATTCGCTACTAATGGCGTAAGTGTTTTCCGGCTGTCTTCGGCGGGATGCTTCTAACAAATTGTTCAAAGAGTGCACGAAATGGTGGTGACACTTTATCTGTCCGCCTCGCCTATTCGTACAGAAAGACGAGGATATAGGCTCACCATCCCTCATGATGCCTACAACAAAGTAGAACTGAGGCAGTCAGTCATTGTCAGGGGTATAGGGCACTAGGATAGGTGTATATAAGGAGCACGCTGCTCCCTCGAAGGTGCTTCGAGGGGCAAGCGTTAATAGATCACTACTTTACACTGCATACTTTACACTCTACGTGCTACTGCTGCTAGTATTCACTCTATGTACGACATATATCACAGGATCCCTCTGACAGTCATCCATCTCAAGTTTCACGACTATCCTTGAGGTAACATCCCCATCCAGGTTACTTAGGTTAGGTACCTGACATTGTATTTACTGGATAAGAGTATGTCTCTTGTCCATAAATGTACTATACAAGAATAAATATATTGTCTTATCATGTTGTCTTCATAAGTCCACTAGGAGTCATTTTGGTCAGTCATTATACCTAAATCATCTCATCTCAGATAATTCTCACAACATGTCTTTTTAAGGCATGCTTGATCTCATCGAGGATAGCTAGTTTCTCCAGTACTTCTTTACTATCCCATAGCACAGTTTCCTTAGAAGTAAGATTGAGACTCTCTATTCGCCTCCAGTCGTTACTGTCTTGGACACTTTCAAGTATTAAGAAGCACGCACGTTCGGTAGATGAGAGAGTACGCCGCCAGTAGACCAGCTTTAAAATCGCGAATTTTTGTTCCGCATAGCCCCTGTGTTTCTGTCCGTACTCGCTCCCTCCTCCAGATTTCAACACGTCGAAGATAAATTGGGATAATTTTGGGTACCGCGACGATGAATCAGGGGGGATGAATAAGTCCTTAGAGTCCAATTCTAGAAAGGGGGCTCGGAGAGTTAAACTACCCCCTTTTACAGCACCGAAAGGATCGTGAGTAGCAGTCTGGATATCGATATCTAGGACCTCGGCGAATTGCTTGACGTGGTCAAATTGCGTTTCAGCCATAAATAAAACTTTCTTGCCTAGTATACTGGCCCAGCTCCATGATGGGGCGAGATACTGATTAGACAAGGTTGGCTCGTTGTCAACACGGCCATCTGGCAGCTTCTTTCTAACTGGAAATCTCGACTATGATACCTCGATATTAGTCTTGGGTACAATGAGGTATCCCCGTCTCCTATTTTGGCCAATTCGTGAAGTGAGTGAATATTTAGTATATATTATAAATCACTTACCCAGGTGAGGCCCTGTATTATGTCCCTCTTCCATAGGCCAGCGACGTACATGTCGCCTGTGGCTTGATGGAATTCTCTTGCGAGTCCTGACAAGGCGGTGAGAACATCAGTTGCTTGGGAAAGCTGCCTAGATGAATAGTTCTCGATTATCTTGAGCCAGAAATCGAAATGTGAAAATCCGAAAATATTGGCAGGTGGCTTAAAGTAGCCTTGCAATGTAAATGGCTTCCAAGAAATGGCTCTATGGCGTATAGTTTCTAGATCCCGTGCGTGGATTATAGTTGGTAGCGATAGCGACGGAATTTTCATAGCTAGAGGAATATGCATCTCTCGAAGAAGATCAATCAACTGTCTCCTCCAGCCAGGAATGATCTCTCGGCGGACCAACTGGATGAATTCTTTACTGCGGTATATCTCCACGATCCTGATCGTTCGCCCTGTTTCATCCACGCTTCCTTTGGGACACTCGAGGCATATTTGCTGCTGACCAAACCATAACGTTCGAGGCGCCAAGAGGGTCTCCTGCAAAACCCAACCTCTAGTATTTAGAACGCTTTGATGCATCCTTTCATCCCATAGTTCAGAGCCTAAGCGTAGGAACACCTTGGGTGGATTGCTATCTCCATTCTTCCAGTTAAGCCAACATTCAGGGTGAGTCGACACTGCCCTCTCCCGGAAAATCCCTTCGGTGGTTTTGGCGGCGCATGCTGCGGCTATCGTAACGACTGCTCCTCTATACACATCTCGCATGCGACTAGCCTCCTGGGCCCAGTCCTCGCGCGAATCTTGAATGATGCATAATGCGTCAATCCAAATGTAGCGGATACCGGGTGCTTTGGTGATGCTTATAGCGTCGCGGATGGTGGCAGGGAAATTGCTAAGTGGCCGGCCTTGTCGAAATAGTTGTTCACTTGCTCCTGTAAGTATGAATTCCGAATCGCCTCCCCAACAATACGACAGCGCCGCAAAGGTTTCGTGTTTTCCGCCACCGTCAACGAGCTTCGGGTTCGTTCCCTCGACGTCGATTATTCTTGTCGGAAGTTTAGACGAAGCCGGATATTGACGAGAACATGACTTATGTTTGTTAATGCAGTTGCCTAATAACTCGGCCGCAAGCTGTAGACATCCTTTAGACCCCGAATTGCTGTATATAGATCGAGCTAGAAGGTCGCTGTTATCTGCTGGCTCATGACCTATACGCGGGTTTGTTCATTGCTACACCGTCAAATTACCTTAAGAAGTAGTTACTGCTTACATCTTTGGGCGCATACTTCGAATAAGGCGAGAGTACGTATTGCACCCTTTTCCCCTTCTTGAATTACGGAAATATGGGGCATCCCGCTCAGAGTAGCATCCCAGGCAGTGGTCCCTACGAATATCTGCTTCGTACTTATGCCCTTAAGCAATTCCTCTTGCACAAGTTCCCAAGGGTGGGTATTGCTAGCATAAGCTTGCCATATGGATGCGCATAGATCACATTTATCAGCTGCGGAGCGAAGCGAAAGCAAATTGGGATGATGTTCGAAGAACCGAGGGACTGCTGGCCGCAAGCACTCGAGCGTATCTGGCGCGGTGGGGTCATTGAAGCCTTTGGGTGGTTGTGCCGCGGCTGTCAGCAAAAGTTTTCGCACGTCGAAGTTGACGCAGATGGCACAGAGCATCCTAGATGGAATAGCTCTTGCAACAACCGATTTTGGCTGGATCAGAACTCAAACGTGTTGGGAGGATACAATCAGTCGATGGGACGAGTCCAAGACAAAATTTATCAAGAATGATCTAATTTCAGATGTCGCTAATCCAGCAGATACATACCTCTACATACTATCTCCTCCCATCTGATCAAGCCTCGGCAGCTCAGCTGCGGGAAGCTGTGGGAACTACTTGGGGCAGTGTTTGAGAGGCTCTGGCGACGCGTCATGAAATATGGCTTGTAGGGCTGATTTTTATACGGCTTTTTCAACCGGAGTTTTCGGTATGTGCCGTGCCACATTCACGTCCGGTTCATGCAACGTCCCTTGAATCTACAGAATGCTCCGCCTCACCCCGTCGTATTGTCGACCTATACACTACGCTTAAACCCCCGACGATCAAAGACTATTCAAAAGTTCTGGAAACCCTCAGGGGTATTTTACTCGTCCCTTCACTAAGACAGTCTATACTGCTTTATCCACAACTACACCTATTTAGCTACGTAAGCTTAATGTCTGTGCCGTTTTGGCAGGATGGATTTATGGATGGGTATGCAGCGAATCAGATTCGACCTGAATCGCTCTTGGCAGGGTATGTATATGGCAAGGGAGAAGTTGGACATCTCTTATTTTTTCATACCTTATTAATAATAATAACCCCCCTATCAATCTCCAATCGCCCAACTACCGTTCGGCCATCTCTAGATGATTTAGGTACTCGCTTCTGCATGGGTACCTACTTAATCTACCCTATAGATGCAAATTTAGGGTTTCCAAAGGCCTGGACCAGTAAGAAAACCATATAAAAGAATTACCCGTATAACGTCGCGCGAGATCAAATGCCGATTCCTATGGCGTCAAGCGCACCGAGTTGGCCGGGCGTACGTCCGGTCAAGACATGCACGGAATGCAAACAGTCGAAGGTGTGTAGCCTCTGCAACTATGGCTTCGGGAAGGAATAGAGAGTTAACTAACGTTGGAAATAGCTTCGATGCGACTCCAAGGATAGATTTCCAAATCCTTGTACAAGATGTCAGGCGAGAAGCCTAACCTGCACGGTTGATCCGTCTTTTCGGAGAACGCCAGCTCGAAAGTATGTCTACAGGTTCCTTCGTACCGAAAGCTGTGTGTCGAGTATTCTTTTGTCTGGCTGCTAATGACAGCCAATAGACGACTTGAGGCTATGTCAAGAGAGTTACGAGAGCTGCGTGACCAAAGATTAGCAGAAGCCCGAGCTAGCTCTACTACGAGTCCGGATCCAGACACTTCACGATCGCAGGATTCGTCCATCAATGCATCACAATCATCGTTTACTCTCCTGCTGGATGATTTCGACCTGATGGGCTTGGAATCGTTCGACCTCGGCGGTGTTGTAATCAGCAATCACACGGTCTTTGAGGCATTCAAGCAGTAAGAAACTCGCCGCCAGCAAAGTAGGATTTATTTAACAGGCCTTTACAAGTTTTACCACCTATTTCCACCCACAACTCCCGATACTGGGACCAATATCGCTCAAGACCATTCACCAGTCTCACCCATTTTTGTTTTGGACGATAATCGTAGTAATCGCACTGCGTTTACCCATAGCTTCGGATGAGACCTTGTTCGAGCGACTTCATGAGCCTTATTTACGAATGCTCCGAGAAGAGGTTCTACGGGCACCGATACCTCTAAGCAAGATCCAGGCTCTGTTGATTATCTGTATGTGGCCGCTACCGGTACCCCACCAAAGGGATGATCCAAGTTGGCTATATTGCGGTATAGCTGTAAATGCGGCCCTTTACATGAGTCTCCATAAGTCAAGCCCAAGATCAGGCTTCACCCTGTCTTCACACAGCGTCGGTCTTGTCGGAGGGAATGCCCGCGAAAGAACAAATACGTGGTTGGGCTGCTTTTATGTTAGCACATCGTAAGCCGCCTAACCTCTCGCACAAGTCCTATAATCGAGCTAATTAGTCTGTCTTTGCAGTCTCAGTATGCATTTAGGTCTTCCTCCGATGATCAATACTCCTTCTGATCTTGCTGCTATCCGGTCAACTCTCAGTGAAAATACGCTCCCCCGCGATTTCGCTGTTCAGCTTAGAGTATTGCTTACGTTGGCGGGGTTCACCAATGTCCTTGTGCATAATTCAAACGATGGTGTAATTGACTCCTCAGTCATTCAGCTTCTAGACGGCGAGCTAGATGCACTGAAAGTAACTTATCCCGATGGGTGGACAAGCATGACTGACCTTGCTGTTCTGGTTGTTAAGATGCACATTTACACTCTGGTGATAACCAGGTCCCAACCAGGCACAGGTGCAAAGGAAATATTACTCAAGCTGGGGCTGGCCGCTGCCCTACGAATTATTCATCTGGCAAATTCGCGCTTTCACGAAAGACTAGATAAGGACCAGACTTTGACAGCAGTACAGCGCGAAAAGACGCTACCCAAAGACTACTATAGGGGCTTAGTATTTGCGACGATATTCCTCTTAAAGTATTTCAGTCTGAATAACAACGCGAACGCCGAAGAACAACAGCTGGCAGCGAACCATGTAATCATGGCACATACAATATTTAAAACACTGGTTACACGCCCACGAGATGAATACGACAGGGCTGCCACTCTATTTGAAACTCTCTGCAAACAAGCACCTGCTTCTGCAGATGCTAATAGCAGCTCTAGTCTTCCAGATCGGATGGGGGTATCTATCGTATTAGATGCGATTGCCACAGCGCGAGAGCTACGCGGCTTGCCTAGAAATCCGTCGGTACCCGAGATCTCAGTTACTGCAGAAGCCGTACCGAGAGAAAATGATATATCGCATCCCGATGTCTTTACTGGTAACACCCAGGTGGAGGAGCCTTGGTCGTCGGATGTAGTGTTTGCTAATATGTTTTGGGGTGATCCTTCGTGGGATATTTTCAATATTCCCGCTGATACGTCGCAATTTGATTCAGGACATGGGTTATAGGGGTTGGTTCATATACCTAATAAAGCAAGGCATTGCGAAAGAACTGCGAAAAAAAAACTTTGGCATAATTGCCTGGGATATAACAAGTATGTAAATAATAATTCCAAAGTGCGTCTAACATAGGTAGCTAGTAAAGGAAAGGATCTATATATCCACCTCCAAGTACAAATACATAGAATAAAATAAAATACACTAATACCGACATCAGCACCTCCCACGGCACTACTCTGAAGCGAGGGAAGCAAGTAGTTCCTCTGGTAACTTCAAGTTCACAAGAGGGAGATGTTGCTGGGACCCATGAACATCATTTTCCATAAAACCACCACCTGGCATACGTCTACCGGCCCGAATACGGGGGATCGTAGCTTTAAACGCTTGGGCCGGGTCGAAGAATCCACACCACAGAATGTCGCTCTCTGGCAGTTTATAGGCTTCGGCTACTGTTTGGACAGACAGAAGGCCGGAATCCTTAACCCTGAGGTAAGTAGCCCGGGATGCGAATACGAGGTCGAGGGTGATCTCATACGGCCCTGAGTTCTTGGACCTGATGACTTGAGCCAAGTCCCCGAGTTTGGTGGGCGCTGATGTTACGTCGTTGCCGTTGCCGTTGGTAGCTTTAACGCTTGCGGCGCTCTTCACACCGTTCTGCTTGAAGCCGTTTGTAGGAACATCGTCAAACAATAAGGGAGCATCTGACGGCCGGTCTCCTCGGCCAATTAATGAAACAGACTGTGTGAACAATGGCTTTTGTTCAGTCGAGCTGCTATCTCCCAGGAATAAATTCTCTTCGCCTTCTTCGAGGTCCATAAGGTGGTACAAGGTAAATTGCGAGCACGGCCCAGTTTCGATGACAGACTTGCCGCCAATACCAAACGCGAAGTTGCCCGAAGTGGCCTTCTGTCCTGGGTAGCTTCCATGCTAGTACAAGTTAGCAATTATTTTGGGAACGCAGATGGCAATTAGGTTGACTTACAATAATACCGATTCTTGCGGTAGATGCGATGCTAGTTGCCAGCTCCTGCGTAGGAGCCAGAGCTTCACCAATGATGAATACTTCTGGAGAAAGATTCTCTACATCTTCCTCTGGCTTCCCATAGATGTGGAAATCAAACTCCCACTTCTCAGCCACATCGGCGTGCTGCTGAGCAGCATAGGCTTTCACGAGGTCGAATAATTTATCAAGTTGGCTAATCAAAATTGCTGCTTTAATGTTAGCGACCAGCAACCCAAGGAATCATTCAAGAAAAAAAAAAGAACCTACGGTCTCGGAAACTACCGAAGAATAGAGATCGGTACCCAACGACACTAGCAGCTTCTAGTTTTACTTGGTACGGGCCATTTTCCTTCGAGAAATGGAACACGCTGCCCTGAACTTTGATGGTCCTTTGGTCTGGTAACTGCTCGTAGGTTGCCGAGTTCAGATCGAAGTATCCGCCCGGTCCATGCAGGAGATCAGGGCGTGATTTCTCGTACATGGTATGTGCCGCCACTGACACCGGAGTACAGTAGGCCGACGGCGTTAAAGGACAGACGGTAAATCCTCCGTCCTTATATACCGTAGCAATGGCGCCATGCGACTTTGGCACAGCACATATTCCACCACACTCTAGAATCTTTCCCATGTGAGTAAATCCGCCGAGCTGGCGTTTGACCACGGGCGAGGTTACGTCGTTGAAATCTAGGCCGGCTAAATAAGCACAGTAAGCAACGTACGGGGCCGGGTCGTAGGCGCGTCCGCCGGCAACGATGTTAAAGTCCGGGTTTGCCTTCATGGCGTCGACGAATGGCTCAGGTCCCATTTGAGCAACAATTACCGTTGACGTATCAATGTCCTCTTCGGTTAGCTCCGGAACACACGGTCCACATCCTCGAACACGTCCGTCCTTTAGTCGTTCTCGGACAGTCTCCTTGTCGATATTGGAAAATACGGCCACGGTCTTAAAGGAGTAATCCTCATTTCCCTTCTCGGCGCAGATTTCTTCGATGATTTGCACGATCTCCCGGACGTGCTCGTCGATTCCATCTCCTCCCGCCGAGCTGAAAATTAGCGGAACTCGGAACTGGTGGGTTAGCTTGAGAAGCTTCCTAAGGTCCCGGACGTAACCTATTCGGGGCTGTCCCATTACTTTCTGGGCAAGCCTGTCCGGCCCACTATCAGTCGAGCCGGAGTCTAATATCATGGCGGTTGGAATACCCGTCGCAACGAGATGTCTTAAGGCGGCAGCATTCTCCTCTTCATCGAGACCATAGCCGAGCATGCCTACCGGGGTAACAATATGGCATAGAGGCGCCGACGCGGCGTCGACTCCATTAAGCTGACCATTTGTTACGGGTGACATGTTGAAGAGGGTTTGAACTAAGTGAAGTATATTTCTGAATATAGAAGGAAAGGGTACCTTAGAAGTTGAATGAGAATATTATTTTGCAGTTGAATAAATCGAATCTGAACGAGATAAATATTTAGACCTGAGAGATAAAGAAGTGAGAAGTTTATATAAAATTATATAGTCCTGTACTCATCCTTATAGTACAAAGACGCGTTGCGCTTCGTCCAACCCAAACCCGACTAACATCCCCGTACATCGCCAATTGCAGCGTAGCAATTCCTTCGTAACAATCCGAACCTCGCATCTCGCACAGCACACAGCCACTAGGCATGGTGCGCTCCGCTTCCATCGGCAGTCGGCAAGCCGTTCTGCGTTCCGCTGTCGTCGCCTACGTGATGTTGGAGTACCCAATGAGCGAGATTCGCGCCAAAGCCGATCTTCGCTCTATATGCCGAGGGACGCATGATATGACATATGGCTTCCAACCAACTAATTGGGTGAAACCATGACAGCAAGATTTCTACCACATTACCTAGGTGCCTTAGGTACCTAAGGTTATTGTATATGAGCCCTTGCTTCTATAGACCCTCTGCGGTGCCGCCTTATAACATATTACTAGGCACCTCCTATGTTGTCGAACGACGTTCACTCGGTACGTAAGATGATAACGCAAATTAACATTTACACTTTTAACGAATGAGTAAGGAGATAGTATTTTTCTTAGGCCAGGTAGTCATACAAGGAATTCTATGTAAGTATGTAGTCTACACGTTTAGATCTAACTACAGCCAATATGCTTTACCCCTGAACATGGCAATTGCAAGAAAGTGGTCATTACACCTTTATATATTACATATTATACAACTTTCTCGGGTCTGTACATACCAGGTAGGCGGTACCCTCCCGCTTCATGTACAATTAGATATTAACTTGAAAGCTGTTTGCTATAATAGGAGGTACCTAGGTCATGACGCATATCAGCCCAGTTTTGTGACCTGTTCCTCGCAGCGGAGGTGGAGTAGTCTTTTCAATTCCGACGGCGTTTGACCGTTGTCCCCGGAGCGTGTCTCGACGTACTTATCGGGCTTCTAGAAACACGGCGTTGTGTCGGTAGATAAAAATCACCTCCGAAAACCCCGTGTCCGAAGAACGGCTAGCCCCACTAACAGCAATTTATCCTATGGTTTTGTGTTTACTATATTTACTTAAATTGAGCTCCGAGAGGTGGCTCCAGTTACTCCGAAGGATAGCGCTTTCATAGATGCTTGGAAGGTCAATCGTTAATAGATCGATCACTCTACTACACTGCTACTATTTCTAGTATTCACTCTGTGTATGACAGCCATCACGGGATCTCTCTAACAGCCTCGCGGCATTGAAATCATGGCTTATGATGTTTAGAAGAGAACCAGCCAGATCCTGCAGTCATACCTCCCGGTATCTTTCCCAACGCCATACAGGAATGTCGATTTTATTATTATACCACTATCGATGCTTAGATAGCTGTATGTAGTAAGGCCAGGTAACTACCTTATATGTATGCACTTCCAGGTCGACTGCCGTAGAGCTAGCTTGGGGCTTAGGCAATAAAAATGTTACCTTCATAGCATTTTGACGCCGTACTCACATAAATGTCACTCTAGTTGTCTTACGCATCATAGATACGCATGAGGTTGACCTAGTGTAGATTATCATAGATGGCTTACATACCTAAAGCAGACTCCAAAGGTATCATCATTATCTTGATGCCGTACTCTACATAACAAAAACATCTTATAAAGACATCGATTGATGTTTTGAGGAGCTACTTTTCTTGAATTACCTAACATATCTCAATGATAGATGCTCTCTCATGGAATGATGTAGGGACCTAGAAGTAAGAGTGACTGGTCTTTGATGTGATGTGATGTTACTTGAATTGTACTGGAAACTAAAAGGTGGTGATCGGAAAAGGAGTCGAAGCTAGGTCCTTTACACTACCTACCTACCTACCTAAGGTAGATACCTGTCATGCGCACATCCCTGACAAAGGCAATATTTCTTTAGCGATCTCTTTTGCTTTAGCACTCGGCTATCAAGGATATGTGAGGGTATAGAGATATATTGGCTATATGAAGAGTAGCAAACGTCCTAGTAAGAGGATAGAAGTCACTCGGCCACCAAGTGCATATATAAATCTCCTAATATCGATATACAAAAGTGTCTGATTATGACCCTGACGAGTGAGCTTATTGTATTTACCTAAAGCTTCGCAGATAAGTTAACAGAGTTTCTCATCATAGCACTCTACGTCACATTAGTGTCATTTTCTTGCTTTTTCCTACCATCATAGTGATTATAGAATAGGGAATCTTGGGAAATATATCAATTTCTTTTTTTTTTTTAAAAAAATCCCTGGAGCATATATGCTTTTTTTTTTCTCTGGCTACAACTTAACTAACAATCCTGATTCAACCAAGTTACGTACCTACGGTAGCTTAATTCATTATAAGGTATTGGCTTTGATGGAGTTGGGATGCCAGAACCGAATACGAAATGGAACCTGGCGTCACTAGACGCATGTTCAAAATATGCTATCCGTATCTTGCGCATATATATATTATTTACGAGAATGAGATGCCAGAAACTTCAACTCAGCATTGCGGATGTCCACCGCTAGTAAATATTATAGGCAAGGGCACAATCGATGTCTAACATATTGTGTTGAGCCGCGAAGCAAGGGATGGATTTATATGGAAGCCATGAGGTAGATTTGCTTGTAGGACAGGTAACTGATGATTCTTATCAATGTTTTCACGTTCCATGGAGGATCAATTATTCCCTGGAAGGATACCTATCTATATATGTCCCTAGTGCATGGCATTTATCAGCCACTCATTGAATGCACCTTAGGATCTACATATTGCTGGTGACCGATTAGACTTGTATACCTTGATCATACTGTTACTTAGATACCTCTAGTTATTTTGGTATCTAGTTAGGTTTCAATCCATCAATGTCTCGCCTTTGAGATGGTTTCAACGGCATTTATACTAGACTCGGGCTATTCACTTCCCCGGCACGTCTTCCTCGTCGGAAACTTCTTCTCCTGCCTCAATGGCTTTCTGTCGCTTCTTCGCTTGCCGTTCCTTCTTCTTATCCAATAACTTGCTGAGTGTCTTTGCAGTATTGAAAACACCTCCCGTACCAGCACCACACGCAGCACAACTTGGATCTTTCCTGTACCTTTGCAGTGCGCACGGCAGGCAAAAGTAATGTTGGCACCTAGTTACGATAGGTTCTTTGTACGGCCCCTTGCAGATGATGCAGGCGAACGGAATTTTCTCTAGCAGGGCTTCCTCAGCCGCATCCACATCGCCGTCGTCAGCATTTGCGCCGCGATTGGCACTCGCCACCACTTTTCCACCAAGATTCTTCTTCCCTTTAGTCACGCTTTCCCACTCCTTATCCAGCTGCCAGCCCTGCTTATAATCCTCGCGGGCGTGCAAGAACTTGCAGTTATCTCCAAAGCCGCAGAAGCCAGTTTGCTTGTAGTCCTTGCACACATCGGGCGCGAAGTCGGTGACTGTGATGGTTCGGATATTGGTGGCGGCTTTAATAGGTCCGACCGTCCGGTTGGGGGCATTCGGATTCTTCTGTATGAATTTGGTTTGGTTGGCAAGGCCTTTATAAGTTCCATCGGGTTGCGTAGGAGGCTCTGCTGCTGCGTCTTTGGATTTGGGGAGAGGTCGGGTCTTCCCTAATAAGTTTGCATCTTCGTCAAACCAATTGGTCTGTTTTGTGGCGTCGTTTGTACTCGTGATGGGAACACTACGATCGGCCTCAAAGACGGTAGCGCCGTGGGTTTGGTTGGTGTGTGTTGTGTTATCCTTGGAGGAAGCTGTTATCACGCCGGTGTTCTTCTTGCGCCGCTTCACACGTTGCCCCGTTTCGTCTTCGGATGATGTATAATCGTCACTGTCGCTATCGGCAGGCGGTGGTGTTGCCGGGCGTTTTCTAATATTTGCCTTCCCCCTTGCGCCTCGTTTCTTGAAGATGGCAACCGGAGCAATGGGAGCAATAGGAGTGTCGGTTGCCACTGGAGTGCTCAACGTACCGTCGTCAGCGTCCGTCATTGTGTGGTAGTATCTTCGAAATTCCGTATTAAAACAATTAAAACGACCGTGCGATGCTGCAATAAAAACCAGGTGTTGATTTGGACTAATAATGAGGAAATTGCTAAGTTTGCGTCATGCCGATGGGAATGTTTTCTAATCAAATGTTTCTAGAAACCTTATTACGCACGGTTACCTAATGGTTTGCACTAATAAAAGGAACTAGGGATGTACCTCTGTACAATACAATGTGGTAACGCCCGCCTTTGTCAAAAATTAAGTCTGCAAGTGCACATGGATAGGCACATATATTGTGGAATTTTCAGGTACGGCTTGCTGAGCTGGCCGGGTTGGTTGAGCTAGTCCTCACTTAGACTAATAGTGTTTGTTAGCGTACCAACTTCAGTCCTTACGTACTTTTTATTAGCATAAAAAGTTGCACAGTGCGGTCTTGTCATATTTACATGGACACTTGCAGTTAGCTAGTCGTCTCTTCAGGTCTCAGCCTTGTATTGTTCCGCCTAGCGGGAGTTAAAATTAGCAGTAAATTCTTCAGGTGGTGGGGAGCGTTAAGATTGGGTTGTCCTCAATACATAGTACTTCATGCATAACAGCACCAGCACTTGCGAGTCGCAACACCACAATATTCTGTGCTTCAATAGATACCTAGGTACCTAGTACTTTTACTGCTTCGATCCAGCAGATAACCTGTCGGCAGGTTGCATGACGTGGTTTGAGATCGAGCTTCATCGGGTTATCTGCACGACAGCTTGATATATTTAGGTAACTGCCTTGCTACCTAATAGCAGGTATTTGATCTTTTACGGGTGGAATATTTGGTAAAAGTGTGTCATATAACTTATTGAATCTCGGGGAAGTACATTAGGCACCTCCTAAGGATATGTTACGTTAGGTACCTGCCTGTAACAGACTTTTATCCCCCGAGGACCCAAACAGGGGTCAGTAAACTGAACCATAGAAACAAAATCTCGCTACCAGCCGTTTTCGCTCAGATCTGTTCGGGAAATAGCTTGAATGGCCAGTTTTTGTCATTGCTTTAAGCACAAGCCATATTCAACGGAGAATCTATTCAACACTGCCTTTTGATACGTTAAATTCTTATCCTGGGAGTTGGTCTATGAAGCACTAGTTACTGACCCCTGTTTGGGTCCTCAGGGGATAGCACTTCAGCACTAGCGGCCCGCCACGTGTAAAAAGCCGATACCTGGTATTATTCGCACTGGTTACGGGATATTGCATTGATCCCCGCCCTAACTCCAATCCACTTCGTCGCCGCAAATCCACAACGCCATTCAATTGTTTAATACAGATTTTCCGTTTTTTCCTATCTTCACAATCGGCATCTTTGTTGACTCTCGTCCCCCCTTTTTTTTTCTCCTTCCTCCCATCCCTCTGTTGTTTTTCCCGGTATCCCTTCTTTCCGTCCGGGTCCGTTCTTATTTTATTTGTGAGACAGCTCCTAGCCAATTTAGGAATCCGACCGCTTTCTCAGGCGGGTTTCCCAAGTCTCCAAATTCTCAGCCCTCCCGGATCCCGTTTTGGAGCTCATTGTTTCTTCTTGAGCAGGAAGCAGGACGCGTCGTCTTTACACGGCACCGGTCAACGGTCAACCGCATGCTCGCGCCGTACCTGTACCTGTATTCTATCTAACAAACCTACACACTCATTTAGTCACTTACCTCATCGTCACTCGCTCACCTTCACCCTCACCCGACGTACACCGTACACCTGTACACTCTTCTAATTGTATCACCTCCATTCCCCCCCATTTTCATTTCTTAATTCATTAACCCTCAAATCAGATTAACCCGCGTAACACCTTTCACACCCTTTTACACTTTTGTTCTCGTTCTTCGTTCTGTTTTAATCAATTGTTAATACCTACTATCGTTACCTTACCTTATCTTTAATTCCGACTTCTGATCGAAAACAAACGATTTTTTTTCCCGACAATCACCTGCAATCGACGACATCGTTCTCGATTATCCTAGAAGGGTTAAGGACAGGCCAACTCAATTTCTTTGAATAAATTCATCGTACAAGACTTTTTAGGTATCTTGTCTGAAACCTTAAAGACGTACTAATTCTTCTCTTTTTTCTTTTCTGGGCGGGTACCTACGTCGCGTTATCTCCCCGTGTAACAATTCGGTTATTCGTTTACCTAAGGCCGTCCCTTCACCCTTTCGCGTCGCACCGTTATACCGTCGCAATTGCATATTTTCGACTCCCGCACTGTACTTGGTACATATCTTTACCTTCAATAGCATCTGGAATCGACTTTGTCAAGACTGTCAGAACTAGCCAACTCCGACCTGCCCGCGTCCTTGAATCCCTTGAGTTTGGAATTGCACCAGTAACACTGCACTAACCCCTGTTACTGAGAATTCCAGCGCATTCGAATTGACCTGAGACTTTGATCGAGGAACGTCATCCAAGGCATTCAATTCTGATTGACAGCAAATCAATAAAATTTTTTTGGCCATTAGCTGCTCTGTTTGCCAAAATTTTTCGCTGTTGCCCGGATCCTACAAGTCATCTCACGTCGAAAGTTGGGCGTTGTCAAGTCCACGCCACGCTCTTCGAATCTTAATTGGGCGTATACTTTATTCGCTGGGCCTGCGTTCTGCCACTCAATCCCTTTTGACTAATAAGGCAAACTCTCTTTGGCTCTTGGCCCCAGGGGTAGTTATTCGTTAGCTCCCGCCACGTCAAAAACAACCCTCTACTTACCAGATTATTTTTTTGCGATTCACGTGCGGTCTTCGCGTCCTTATCAGGCTGCATGCCGCAAGTTTAATCCAAGGGGAAATCACCTTCTCCTTGGACACCTGCAATCGGCAGCGTGATGGCTTCCTTTGGTAATAGAGGTGGGGCTTCATCGCCTTCACCTGCCATGGATTCCCGCCATGATCCTTTCGTGGTTGCACCGTCACCTCCAAGTGCGGGTCGTCACCGATTGTCCACATTCGACTCCCAATTTTCGCTAAGTCCCAATGCCTCGCCGACCCAGGCGAAACGTGCTTTGGAAGCTCATCTCGCAGAGACCGACCGAAGGATGGAAGAAGCTGGGAAACTAGGCACTGCTTTGCTGCAACAACGTAAGGAACTGAGCCTGAGATTAATGGAAGTTGAGAAGCAGCAGGCCGAAGGGGAGCTCTCTGATGACTTGCGCCAAAGGCTGGCCGAGATTGAAAAGGATTATAATGATGTGGCTAGGGAGAGCGCACGGGCATTTATGCCGAAGCAGAGAATACCTAGCAACGAAGCTACTACTGGATCGCCGTATGCACCAGATAGCAAAGGAGGGAGGGTAAGATTTTCCAACGTGAAACTGGGCAGGTATCAGTCAACTAATCTGTTCATGCAGCGTTCCGTGAGCCCTTCCAAGTTCGAAGGCCAGGCAACCGCATCTCCAACCAAATTCAGTGTCCCCAACCGAAAAGTTCGGAATCAACCTGCTAATCGAATACACGATATCGAGTTCGCGGCCGAGATCAGCACATCTTTGATCGCCCAGGTGCGCAATTTACAGGGCCTGCTTGCCGAGAAGGAAGAAGAGTTGAAGGAAATCAGAGCCGAGAAGTCCAAGCTTGAATACGAGGCAGAGGGTTTTCAACAACGAGTCAAGACTTTAGATGAAAGTGAACATCGTTACAAGGATGAGAACTGGAGTCTGGAGACTCAGGTTCACGATCTTTTGGCAAAGGAGAGAGAGGCCGAGGAACGATACAAGAAATTACAACAGACTCTAACTGTTCTTCAAGCTGAAAAGAGTTCGACCCAGAGGGAGTTGGACGAGGTTAAGCTGAACCATGCAAGGCTCAGCGAGGAGTATGCTGCGGCAGTCAAACATCATGACATAGAACTTGGTTCTGCAAAACGTAATCAGGTCATCGCTGATGCCGAACGAGCGGCACTGCGCAGAAGGATAGAGGATTTGACCGGACAGAACCAGGAGCTTGCCAGGGCCGTTGCTGCTTCGCAGAGAGCGCGGGTAGTCGAGCGAGAGTCAATCCTTAATATGAACCAAGAGGATTCGGAATCTGCGCAAGATAAAACTACTCCTGAACATTCGCCACCTCCCTCACCTGTGAAAGGAACACCTCGGCATGCCCTCTTGGAGACAGAAACGCTCAAGACGTCCTTAGGTCATGCTCATCGTACAATTCAAGGACTGAGAAGCAATGTGCATAGGGAGAAGACCGAAAAGCTTGAATTGAGGCGTATGCTGCAAGAGGCTCGCGATGAATTAGAGAAGTTACGAAACGAACCGCAGCCACAGCCTAAGCGCACGCGTAAAGCTGAAGTGAAAGAACAAAGAAAGCCGTTGCGTCTCCTTGGTGGTCTGCGTACAGTTCGAAGTGAAGTTTTCTCGGAAGACTCGAATTGGGAAGATCAGCCCGATACTACAAGTCCGGCTGTTTCAACATTAGCTTCGCGCGGATCCAATAAGTTCGAATCAGTCACCGAAGAGCCACATGAGCAGTTTGAAATGGCCAACGAGACAAGCGACGCTGCGTTTGAAACTGCGAATGAGCCAGCGACTGAGACGGACGATTTCCACACGGGCGCCGAGGAATTTTCAAGTGACGATGATGCGGAGACAGAGACGGAAAGTCCATCAAAGCGTCGTACACCTAGGAATAGTATTTCTATTTTCCCTGGCCGTCCACGTAGCGGGTCTATGCATAGCACTGCTTCAACTGAAGATGAAGATTTCCCCTTCGGCAATGACGCGGGAGCGCCCGTTACTTTGCCGCCCTTACACGCTAAATTCCCTCTCCGGGTGAGTCGCGGAGCTTACCGTCGTCCTCAGCAGCCTAGTGAGGAGCCCGGGTTTCCTAGCAGCCCCCCAAGTATTGCGAGTAGCAGCGTAGCAGGCACTCCTCAGCAGCCTATCCAAAATCTGGCTGCCGAACTAGGCGACTTCGATGGTAGCGACAATGATTCGTACGTGTCTGGAACCCCTGGTGGAACTCCTGGTGGAACTCCTGGTGGCAGGTCTATTAGAGGAAGGACTGTGTCGCCTCCACCACCGGTTCCTCCTCTGCCGTTGCCGAGGGCCCTTATGGTGGATAGTAGTACGATGACAGACGAGTTGCCCCGTGTACATCCCGTTCACGCCGCCGAGCTTGTGGCCCTTCAAGTTGAGCATGAGAAGGCTCTACAAGAAGTCAGTGACGAAAAGGCTACTGCGTATGCAACAGCTTTGGATGAGCTCAGGAACAAACACGAAGAGCAGCTGAATAAGATGCAGCACGAAGTCAACCTCGCACATACTCATGAACTCGAGTTGTTAAAATCAAGTCATACAGATGAGATGAATAAGTCTCTTGCAGAGGTAAAGGCCATGCATGAGCAAGAACTTGAATCCTTAAGATCAAGCCATGCAGACGAGCTTGCAAAGGCTCTTGCTGATGCCAAGAGTGCCTACGCTAAGGAGCTTGAGGCATTGAAGTCAAACCATGCCAAGGAGATCAGCGAGGTCATTGCCAATGCTAATGCAACTCACTCGCAAGAGCTAGAAGCTATGCAGGCAAGTCACCGTAAGGAGATGAGCAAAGCTCTTTCCGACGCTCAAAGTGCTCACGCTCGTGAATTGGAGGCTCTTAAATTCAGCCATTCTGCTGAAATGAGCAAATCTCTTGCCGATCTTCGTGCATCTCACGAACAGGAATTGGAGGATCTCCGATCAAATTACGCTGCTCAAGCTGCTAAGGAATCAGCTGAAAGCCAAGCTGCTCATAGTCAAGAACTTGATGCCCTGAAGACTTCTTTCGCAAACGAGGCATCCCAGAAAGAGCTGGAAAGCAAGGCGGCCCATGAGGCTGAATTAGAAGCTCTCAAGTCCTCTCATAAGGAGCAGATAGCTGCGAGAGAGTCCGAGATTAAGGCCGCACATGCTACTGAAGTGGAAAGCCTTAAGGCTAAACACGTTGATGAATTGAGTAGTATGAAGAGCGAAAACGATGCCCGTCATGCGGCCGAAATCGCTGCTTTGGTTGCCACACATTCAAGTCAGATCGAGCAGCTAAAGACTGAGCTATTCGATGCGCATTCGAAGCAAGTACAGACCCTCCAGATCGAATACGCCCAGGAGCTCGATAAGGTTAGACAACAATCCGACGGGGCCCACTCGGAGCAGCTTGCATCTTTGAAGGCATCGCATTTAGCGCAGCTCGAAGAAGTTAAAAATGCATTGGTGGCGGCTCACGGCGAGGAATTGGCTCTTATCAAGGCAGCTCACGCGAAGCATGTTGAAGAGATTCAGAATAGCGCCGATACCCAACGCGCCGCAGAGATTGCTTCCCTTGTTGCCTCACATGAGAGACAAATTGATTCAATCAAGGCTGAGAGCCAAGCAACATTAGTGAAAGAACTTGCAGCGTTGAAGGAAGTCCATGCTCAAGAGATCAATGATCTAAACAGTCAACATGCCGCTACTCGTACTAAAGAGTTAGAAGCATTCAAAGCCGCCATCGACAAGCAAGTCGAATCATCTAAGATCGAAGGTGATGCGGCACACTCTCAGCAGATCGAGGCGCTTAACGCCGCTCATGCAGAGGTCCTTGAAGCTCAGAGGCGTGAGAATGAGAAATCTCAATTGCAAGCTTTAGAATCTCTAAAGGCTTCGCATGAAAGGAGCATTGAGGCTTTGATGACTGAACATGCAACTGCAAGGTCAAAGGAGCTTGAAGATGTGACATCAGGTCATCTGAAAGAGTTGGACGTATTGAGGCAAGAACTCGAGTCCTCCAAGGCCAAAGCTCTCGATGACCTCGCCACTAGCCATTCGGAGCAGTTAGAAGACCTTCGCCAGAGTCACATAGATCAACTAGCAGCGTTGAATGCTCAATACGAGTCTGCTAAGACCAAGCTCACAGAAGACCTTGCCAATTCACATTCAGAAGAAATGGCCGAAATTCGGAAGAACTTCGAGTCATCTAAAGCTGCTGAAATGGCTGCGCTCAGTGATAGTCATGCTCAGATTTTAGACACGCTCAAGAAAGAGCATGCAACGGCAGAGTCGAAGAAACTACAGGAGTTAGCAGACGCCCACGCCCAGGCATTAGAAATCATCAAGACCGAGCGCGATGAGGCCGAGGCAAAGAAGTTGCAGGAGTTGACAAACGCTCATCTCCGTGAATTGGAAACCGTTCGACAAGCCAGTGATGAGGCGAAGTTTGAGGCTCTCACGGTTCTAGCGGCAGCTCACGCAGTTGAGTTGGAAAGACTAAAGGAAACACACGGTAATGAGCAATCGCAGCAATTACAGGAATTGGTCGAAAGCCATACACGTGAGTTGGAGGATCTTCGAGTCGAACGGGACAGCGATAAATCCAAGGCACTGGCAGCTTTAACATCAACACATGCTGCTGAGTTGGAATCACTGAAACGCGAGAATGAAGCGGCACGCGTGCAGCTATTGGAAGAGGTCAATGCTACCCATGCCAAAGCACTCGATGATCTACGAGCCGAGCATCAATCTACTCTTAACCACGCGTTAGAAACTCTCAAGGTCAACCATGCTAATGAACTCGAGCAACTTAAGAAGCAACATGACGCGACCCAAGCCGAAGCTCTTGAAGCTCTGCGTGTAAGCCATTCCGAAGAGCTGGCCCAGTTAAAGAGCGATTCCGACGCAGCACTCTCCAGAGAACTGGATGCTCTCAAGGCTGATCACGCAAGCGCTCTTGAGTTGTACCAGAATGACGCTGCTGCGGAGAAGGAGAGGCTTTTAGCGGACCACGCCGCAGAGCTCGAGGCTTTACGTAAATCTCTCCAAGTCGTGCCTCCTGTCCTAGGGTACTCTACAATCAACTCAACTGAAACCGAGCCGGTTGAAGTGCCTGAACTTAGAAGCCCCAGGCGTGACGCGTTTATTATTCCCCGTGAAGATCGCCCGGCACATGTGTCATCTGATCCGACTGGGCTTGGACTGCTTGGGCGTAGAGGCGAGAGAGCATCGACACCTGAGATCGCTGAAGACGATACTCGCCAGTCTCCAAGTGCTACTCCCGCTCTAGAGACGCCAGAATTGAAGCAGCCGTTCAAAGAGTTATCTACCAACACGAACGTTCGTCCTTCACAGAAACCGGCAATCCAAACTTCCAGCCAAGGTTCTCAGACTACTCTTACTTCAGATGGTCTTGATCGATTATTGAAGCAGCGCAGTCACCTATCCCCCGACTCCGTGACGATTACGACCCCCCGGGGTGAGGTCACCGTGGCGCCCTTTGACGAATTAGAAGCAAGACAGAAAGCCGGCGATTCGAGCGTTGTCTCTACTGCTGATCCGACTGCTGCACTGCGACCAGGTAGTTCAGCCAGTGCCCAAGCGTCTACTTCACCCAGACCACCTTTGCCCCTTAATCATCGCGAGGCGATTGAGGCTGCAAGAACGCACTCATCCGGCGGTGGAAGGGGATCAATGGGACCTCCGGCTCTTCCTGCATCTGCGTATGGCAATTCAGGTTCGAGGCCGGAAACACCAAGTAGCAGACGTCCATTGTCACCAAACTCGATCGTCAGAGGCACGCCCACGCCCAAAGCTGGCCGATCTTCGACTCCTGGCCATGCCGATATCCACTCGAGTCAAAGAATGCTTCTTCGCAGTAGACAATCATCTGTGTCGTCCTTTGCATCCGAAATAGATACAAGGTTCAATATTCGTGGTAATATGGGCATGGATGCTTCGGCTTTTGGTCCTGGTACCGATCCTCGCATGATCCAAGCTATCACTCAGACCATGATTGGCGAGTATCTTTGGAAGTACACGCGCAAGACCGGGCGTGGAGAAATGTCTGAGAACAGGCATAGGCGGTATTTCTGGGTACATCCTTACACCAGAACATTATACTGGAGCGACCGTGACCCGTCCACTGCCGGCCGAACCGAATTGAGGGCAAAGAGTATTCCGATCGAGGCTGTACGCATAGTCGGCGACGACAATCCAATGCCACCCGGCCTTCACAGAAAGAGTCTAATAATCGTTTCTCCCGGCCGGACAGTGAAATTTACGTGTACTACCGGTCAACGGCATGAGACCTGGTTCAATGCACTGTCGTACCTCTTACTTCGAACAGGTGACGAAAGTCAGGTGGACGCTGAAGAGGTCGCCGGCCAAATTACGCAAGAGGATGTTGACGAGTTCAATCCTTCAATTCACCGACGACCAGTTAACGGTAACCGCTCGCGGCCTCCTCCGTCATTGTCTTCATATAATTCGGGAGGAACACGCACTGGTTCACCACGGGTGGATGTGTCCATGAGCATCCCTACACTTACTCCCACACGTGAGAGAGAATCTGTCCGAGGTGGTACTCTGGGAAGATTGAGCGGGTATTGGAAATCAAGTTCGATAAATAGCACATTCAGTAGCCTGAGAAGCAAAACCCACTTACCTCAAGAGGGCGCTATTTACGAAGCAAGCGAGGTCCCTGACAGCGCCGAAGACCTAAGGCAAATAATAGAGGAGCAGGACCGAGCGTCCGACAGACTCGAGAATGTCAGGGCCTGCTGTGATGGTAAGTCTAGTATAAAGTCCACTCTTCTAAATATCCGTACTAACTTTGATGTAGGGAAACACGATGTTGGAACCCTGTCGCACACCAAGCGTGGACGCATCTCTACCTCGCTTTCACAAACCCATTCTCACCCCGGACCATCAACGACGCCGACACCTGGAAGTACTGCGCAGTCTCAAACATAACCACGTAACTTGATACATAGTAATTGGGGCAACGCCTGGTTTGGAACCTATTCTCGTGCTTTGATTCTAGTCCATCACTCAATATAGCATTTTGCACCGTCTCTCTCTGTTTTGTTTTTTCTTGCTACGAAGACCAGTCATGGATTTTCACGACGCTTACGACTTGCATTTTTCTTTTCGCATCACTTAATTCGCATCCATTCACAGGGCCTTGTGTCGCAACGGCCCGCCGTAGTCGAGGCTACAGTTGCATCCCACTGCGTTGAAAATTGTGCCAACATACCCAATAATCATTTCTCGGAATCATTCTGGAGTTAGGAGAACAACGGACCGTTTGCCATACCATTGAATCGGTCGGACACGGATAACTCGACATGGTTGGTAAACCTACAGGAGAAAGAAGCCAAGGAGGTAATTCGAATTTGCATGACTCCGCTTATCGGAGATGAGGTTCTTTTGCCAGGTGTAGGGGTCCTTTACCCGACCTGAGTTTGCTGCATGGTATTCTTCTGTCTTGAATGTTCTAGGCCCGATTGGTCAAACGGAGGCGTATTGTATGCTGTCGTTAGAGTATTGGCATTACACCTGTTGAATGAGATTGGCTTTTTATTATTATTGACCCTGTAAGTGCCCAAGTTACCTAGTAAACTGCAGGAATGTCTCGTTCTTGTTAAGTCAAATTATTGATTAAGGTGCCTAAATCATAAATCCTAGATCCCGCTGGTTTCATCAAGTTCGGTCCTACGTAATTCTCTATGTCCGTTGATTTGCCGTATTCGATTTTAACAACCGATATGACCGATTTTGGCGGAGTTAAACTGTAAGGCACCACACCTCGTCTCTTAGTCCATGCGCCGTCGTGCTACGGACCTATCCTAATCACACGATGGGGATAGGATAGGCATTACCTTACTGGATGTGGACTCATCCCCGTATTCCAGGGGTTCTAATCGGAGTTTACGAATTCTAGCGCGAAGCAGCGAGGACGTCAAAGATGAAGCTATACGCTCCATGCATACGGAATTTTCTATAATTAACAAAGACTGCTAACATACGAAGGTAACCTTACCTTGGGTACCTAGGTTAGGTACCTCCTATCTTATTCGATTATGAGCCATGCGCCAAGCGACCGAACTACTAAAAGAACCATAAAATGGCCCAAGTGACGATCCAAAGCTCCCCCTAGGCTAAACCAAAGATTTAGGTCGCGATTCGCTCTTCGGAGATAAAGCGTAGCATGAATGAGTGCTGTGGAGGGTCGAAATAGGTGCCTCTTGTGCTTCGCACAATGTCCACAGTATCTGGATATATAAGTGACTGCGGCTTCTACACATGAAGTAGTAAAGTTCCCAGATCTCTACTAAGACATCTCAGCTGTTACGTATTCCATAATCCCAAAGACTAGGTATCTGCAGCTCTTAACGATGGCCTCGGACAAGAAGATTGTTCTGATAACGGGGGGTAAGATGATATTCCCAAATCATCGATAGATACCTCCTATGTTGACCAGCCTTGTTAGGTAACACCGGTCTCGGTTTCGAGATCGCAAAAGCCTTGTACCAATCCGAGATTCCTTACGAAATCATCATCGGTGCGCGGACCGTATCCAAGGGTGAGGATGCTATCGCAACTCTGCGCAAGGAATACCCGCAGTCCGCCTCCTCACTCAGCGTCGTGCAAGCCGACCTGGATTCCGATGCATCCCTCGAGAAGGCCGTCGAGACTATTAGTTCTCAATATGGACGGCTAGATGCATTGGTTAACAACGCCGGTGCTAGCTTCGACAATCTGATACAGGAAGGCAAAATGACTCTTCGTCAAGGCTTCAACGCCACCTGGGACCTCAACGTGTCCGGCACTCATGTGCTTACTTCGCTCGCGGTCCCTCTGCTGCTCAAGTCGTCCGATCCTCGTGTCCTGTTCATCACCAGCGGCACCAGCACACTCTCCGAGACGGAGCATGTGAATCTCATACGCCTCAATGCTAGCCCGCCTGCAGGATGGCCGAAGCCGAAAGCTGTGATATCGGCGACTGCGTATCGTTCCTCGAAAACGGGCCTGAATAGTAAGCACCATCGAATTATTTTCTTTTCTGTGTCTGGATTAGATGCCAATCAATAATATAAGAGGGGCTCGGGAATTTATGAATTAACGAGATCTTCGTCTTCAAGTTGAAAATAAATATACTGACTTTATGATGCTCTAGTGTTGATGCGCGAATGGCACCGTATCCTGAAGAATGACGGTGTCAAGGTCTGGGCTATAAGTCCCGGATTCCTTGCTACGGGACTCGCGGGCGTCGGCCCGGAGAAGCTAAAGCAGGTAAGTCGCTTTACAAGATAGATTAGGTACCTAGGTAGCCTTGCAACTATCTCATTCTGCTGGACTCCGAACCTGATGTGTTGGGTATCGCTAACGGGTCTTATAGATGGGTGCGCTTGATCCTTCCGTGGGCGGTCAGTTCGTCAGGGATGTTCTGCAGGGGAAGCGGGACGAAGATGCTGGGAAGGTTGTTAGGTCAAGCGGTATTCAGCCTTGGTAAACTACCTAACACATTCTAGATATCGTGCGGCCATGTGCTACTACCATAGGAGGTACCTTGATGTCTTTCACTCAAAGACAATTCTAAGTTGGTCGAGTACCTGTATCTATATGGCGGCGCAACCCTATCGACCTGAGTTTCTTCTTCGTCGTAGCGTCGATACTGGTGATCATTGGGAGAGCCATTGTCAACGACTTTTATTTGAAATACGGAATGACCAACGATGTATTATTGGATGACGCGCACTTCTCTGACCATCACGACACAAGTCATTTGAAAACCGGCAGCGTTCTTGTCCTTGTAGCAAGAGTTTTACTCACAGTAGCTCTTTGGCTTCAAATGTGCCTTCTGCTCTTGTTCTATTCCAGGATAACATCCGGAATAGATTGGGCAGACCGCCTCACCAGGACAGCTTGGGTCGCAATGATCCTAACTTCCGTTGCTGTCATATTCGCAACCTTCCTCGAATGTCGTCCAATTAGCTTATACTGGCAAACGAACCCCGACCCAGGACACTGCGTGCGAGCTTACATTCAAATACTTATCCAAAGAATCTCCAACATTCTCATCGATTTGCTACTCCTCTTCATTGCATACCCCTTGATTTGTTTGAAGAGACGGAGCTTATCGGAGTACATTTCCCTCTACTCACTATTTGTGCTTGGTACTTTATGTATGATTATCACCATCGTAAGGCTAGTCCTAGTATTCAACGAGGACTCTTCGCAAACTACGCGCAGTCTATGGGCGTCGGTTCAAATGTTCGTCTCGTGTTTCGTTGCAAACGCGCCAACTATTTACGGCTCTTTGCGAGTTGCTCGACGGAACAGATCCGGCCAGAGAAGTGAACCTCATTATACTAACGAAGAAACGGTTAGTCGGCCGTCACGTCTCGGATGGGAATCTTGGATAAAGATGGACGAGGAGATTGCCCTTACAACGACTACTACTTGTGTGCGATATAATCCGACGCCCCCATGCCCTGCAGTGATATCCTAACGACGATATTCTCCAAACATTGTAATCCCGTTCATAAACTCGGTCGCATTTACGTCTCGTCACTTATACCTCGGATGCATAATCGAGACTACCTACCTGGTATGAGCATCAACATAGTATCGGGTATATAAAGAGGACGCCATAATAAGAAAAGAGTTTATAGACAAGAAGAATATTACACAGCATACGGCGTATCAAGTTGGCATTCTTATATTATTTAAAACTACATCTTGAGATACCCTGCATATACAGAAATGGAGAGAAATCATTGAACATTTTTTTCAGATTGATATGACAGGTGGAAGCGTAGTATGGTCTCTAAGGTTTAGGTACCTGGTATTTACATCAGTTTGGTAACAATGTGTTCCCCCTTGACTTCTCATCTAACACCTGGTCAAGAACCACCAGTGCGCCTCTAACCATCTCTAAAATATCGTTATCCCATATCTGATGGAACCGTTTGCTAATTTCCGGTAGGAATCTGTCAACGTCGCCGCCGATTTCCGGATCTTCCCAATGAAACAAGGCGCAAGCCTCACGAGTAGCGCGAACTAACCATTGAGTTCGATCGTATCTGACGTTATTGTATGCGGCCAGAGCAGCATGACATAGTTCTACTTTTGTCTTGTCGGTTCGGCTCTCGAGCGCCTTGTTGACGGCTTCAAGCAAGCTCGCTAGGACTAGGGCATCTTCTATTCCGAAGCCTGCACCCGAACCAAGGTGAGGGCCGGCGGCGTGAGCAGCGTCTCCCGCAACGGCCATGCTGCCAAGATTGTAATGCGGTGCCGGATGCTCGAACATGTCGAAAATACCCCATTTTTGCAATTCATCAGGCAGCAGGTCAACTATTGCCCTCACGAAGGGATGCCAGTCCGCAAATGCGCGAGTGGCGTCTGCCTTACTTCCTGGAGCCGTTTGTTTCCCGTCGCTCGTACGCCAAGGGTTCGGATCGCTCATGACGAGCAATATGTTCATCACTTGTTTCTTCCCGACTGGATAATTAATAACGTGTGCTCCTGGTCCGATATACATGAGCCTATTCAATGTGTCCCCGCTACCGGTTGACCTCTCCTCTCCTAATGCCTCGCGGACCTTGTCCATAGGAACCAGGGCCCGGAAACAATACTTATTCGAATAAGATGGATATGATGCAAGGTTTCCTTCCCCTAGGATGAGTTGACGAACGCGGGAACGGATGCCATCACAGCCAATGACTATGTACGTATTGTTGTTAGCCTCTCTCACTGCAGTGTCTCTTAGTGGGTAGGTAGGTAACCACCTACCGATATCAGCTTTCTCGGTTGTTCCATCCATGAAGTTCAGTGACACTTCTCCATCATCGTCCTGGTTGACTGAAACTATCGACTTCCCGAACTTGACCCTATTTTTATCGATCAAGGTAGACCAAGCCTCTAAGAAGTCGGAACGCCGACCTCCCTGAAAGGAGTCGACGCCAATTGATAGCCTGGCTGCGAACTCGTTCGTTTTATAACCGTCAATCCATTGGAAGAATTCTTCGCCGTCAGTTGTTGGTGCGACTTGCTTATAGATGCGGTATACTTCGGGGTCCACGACGGCTAAAGCACGCTCTGCGTTGGGACTGAAACCGATGCCAGCTCCAATTTCTGTAAAGGCCGAAGCTCGCTCATACAGTATGTAGTCAACGCCGCGCTTCTGTAGGCCCAGTGCTAATATAATTCCAGTAATGCCGCCTCCAATTATAGCTACGCGGATGCGCCTTGTGTCTCTCGATGTTGACATGGCGATATTGGCTGATTTTCTTCGAAGTTCGATGTAAGAATCTGAAGTGCGCTGTACAAATAATTACCGCATCCAGGGTCAAAAAGAAAATAGCAAGAATGAAGGGAAACTACCTGTGTTCGTATACGCCCAGGAAAGATGGATTTGGCCTTGCACATTCAAAGCTGCCACACCATGTTGACGATCATCGTGTAAGAGGAATATACAGTATAGACCTACCTATCATAGCCTTCTATGAGGGCGAGATGTCTTGGATTGGCAGCCAGACCGCTATGGAGAGACATAATAGCAATGGCGTCGGCATTACATTGACCTCTTACGGTCTCAGTTGGGGTAGATGCGCCGGAACACCGAGCGTCATGGCGGAAGGCCGGCATCCCCCTCATCAATACGCGTAATCAAATCTCCGTCTGGATTATTTATGTTATTGCATGAGTAACCGGTCAATTATAGAAAAGGCATCTTCAGTGCCTAATCGGTATTCGAAACTCTCTTTTACACGATAATACGTATAGAGGTACCTTACCTTATCTGAAAGGATGAACTATTCTAATGGTGCCGCTAAAGGGGTTGTCCTGGTGACAGGCAAGTGAACCACAAGTAACCCGGCCTTAAGCGGTCTCTTCTTCATCCTTCTCTACCTAGATACCTATATGCGTATAGGAGGAGGTAAATGATCTGACAAATCAACTGAGCACAGGAGGGAGCGGGTTTATCGCATCCCATATCATCGACTCGCTTTTGGATGACGGGTATTACTTATATTTATAACTACCGAAACAACCTTTACACTTTACCTAACTCTTTATGCAGGTTCAAGGTTGTTGCAACGGCAAGATCCAATGAAAAGGGGCGCATAATAGTAGAATCGGCTACTCCTGCCCGGCGTAGTAACCTGTCTTATGTCGTCGTACGAGATGTTGCCGAGGAGAACGCATTTGATACCGTACGTCTTGAAGTAAACCACATCAAACCAAGGAAGAAATATCTAACTGTTGGCTGGCTGCAGGCATTTACTCAAGAAATAACCTTTGACTATGTTGTCCATACCGCATCCCCTTATCATCTTAATGTCCAAGATCCGGTCGAGGATTTCTTAGACCCAGCGATTAAGGGGACAACGGGAATTCTCAAGTCAGTCCTAACGTATGCGCCCACTGTTAAGCGCGTAGCGATTACATCCTCTAGCGCAGCAATAATCAACCCTCTCAACCATGCCAAGGTGTATGATGAGACTTGTTGGGCCCCTTGGACTTTGGAGGATGTCAAGGATCCTAACAAGGCTTACGTAGTCAGTAAGGTAAAGCCATACAAAGTCGTCTACGTTGTTGGAGTTCACTCACTAACTTAAGGTGCCTTTAGACACTTTCGGAAAAGGCTGCATGGGCCTTTATCGAGACAGAGAAGCCGAACTTTGACCTCGTTGTTATCAATTGCACTTACACGTTCGGTCCCGTGCAACGCAACCTCCCAAGCTTGGAAGGCATGAACGCGTCTAACCATCGTATTCGGGATATGCTACAGGGGAAAATGAAGGAAGACATGCCTTCTACGGCGCCGGTCTTCACCTTCGTCGATGTCCGTGATGTAGCCCGTGCGCACCTCAGGGCCATAACTGTGCCAGAGGCCGGTGGGAATCGCTTCTACATTGTAGGTGGGCACTTTTCGAACAAGCGGATCGTGGATTCGATCCGCAAGTGGTACCCGAAGTTCGAAGGACTTCTTCCGCCCGAGAACGCACCGGACGATTTCTCCGACGGTGTCTACACTTTCAACAACAGCAAGTCGGTGAAAGTTTTGGGGTTGGAATATACGTCGCTTGAGAAAAGCGTCAAGGATACTGTGGAGTCAATACTAGATCTAAGGCCGGATATAGGAAACTTGAAGAAGGCAATTTAGTAGCATAAGTACCTAAGAGACGTAGATTAGGATCTAAGAAGTCTGACATTGAGTTCTCATTTCCCCAAAGTAGAACCTAGGACGTAAGACAGACAACACTTATGCTGAGAATTTAACTTAGCCCTTCTCTGAGTCAAGACTCGCTATGTCCTGTGATAAAGTCGACGAAATCAAATATAGAGCGTTTGTAGCTACGCTCTAGTGTTACGTTGTTGAACGTTTGGACGCCAAAGTGATCATTATACTGGCCCCATTCCCAATTATCAACATAAGCCCATCCGAGCGCGCCTTTAAACTTCACTCCGTCCTCATATATCGCCTTGAGGATCTCATTTAAAACGGATAGAAAGGCAAGTGTCGACGTGAATTCTGTTCGCGCTTGGTCTTGGTTCATATCGGCTTCGTGAAAGGTGGACCATCCGAATTCAGCGATAATGATGCCCCCCGCGGTAGGATATTTGGTATGTAGATACTTGAATATAGTACGAGCGTGCTGATACCATGTCTGAAAACGAATGTTAGTGAATTTTCTGACATTAGGATGAGGAGATCTCTGATTAATACCGAGGGAGACGCGTTGCTCTCAGCCCCTATGCGCCAGTTTTCTCGCACCGCCGTGATATTCGTACAGGTAGGAAAGCTGGGATGAGAGCTATTTCCAATACACGCCTCTGTTCCCTCAGCTAGGGAAGTCACGTAATTCGCGGTATATATATCCACGCCGAAGAAGTCTGCTGTGCCATTCACATATTGTAATTCCTCTTCGGTATAACTAGGCGCTTCTGACTTCAACGTTTCGATGACGCTAGAAGGAGTTTGTGCTCCCAAGTATATTGGATTCGCCATATATCCAATTAAAAAGTCGAGCTGCCTCTCGGTAAGAGCAATATCATCAGAACTCTTGGGATCCAGCGGAAGGGGGAAGCCAGAACTTAAAGCTAGCTTAATGCCCCATTTCCCACCCCCTTTAATCTCGTCTCGATAGAAGTGGACTGTCCTGGCATGAGCCATCACAACATGGTAACTCGCATTCCAATTCCCAAGTAGGGCGGCGTCCAAATTTGGCTCGTTGAATGTTATCCAAGTACCAACCCGATCAGCATAGTGTGTCAACACAATCTTGGCATAGTTAACAAATCCATCGACAAACTCGGGGTGCGCGTATCCCCTGAAAGTCAAGTTAGCATCGATATAAGACTTAGGTTAACATAGAACGCTGCGACTAACTGCCAAGAAGAGTTATCCAAGTAATGTAACGGTGTATCGAAGTGATGTAGAGTGACAATAGGCTCCATGTCGTACTCCAGAATCGTATTAATAAGGTCATCGTAGTGGTCGATGGCTTCTTGATTGACTGGCGAACCAGGATATCCAAACGGGAGAATCCTTGGCCAGGCGATACTAAAGCTATACGACTTGACTCCTAGTGCTGCCAGCCTTGCAATGTCTTCCTTGTATAGAAAGTAGTTCAACACGGATATGTCTGGCGGGCCAGCACCAACAATTCCTGGTGGGCTACGGCCGATTATGACTTCCGTGATCGACGGGCCTCTCCCCTGAGTTTTGAGCGCCCCTTCAACTTGCATCGCGGCGCCAGCAAAGCCCCATTCGAAGTCCCTTGGAAACTTGAGATCATCGGTCTCGCCCTTTCCAATGGAGAAGGGTAGGGGCGTCGGTTTTACGAGCTGAGAGCTCGGGATTGGCGTTGGCGTAACCGTTGTCGTAAAAGGAGGAGAGTCAACGGTGAAAGAGGCCCATAGAGATGACCAAGCGACATTGCCAAATTCGTCATCTGAGTCAACTGGGCTAGCTATGCTCGCCCAAGCTGTTGTCTTCTGAGGTCCAGCGAGTGATTCAAGTTCTGAGTAAGGTCTCGCGTATATCACTGTTTCTGACGGCCTTGGCAGAGCTGTGGCGTACTGTAAATCGGGATATGTAGGCCATGTAAAAGCTGTAGTGAATACAGCGTCAAGTGATGTTTTGGTTGGAGTCGCAAACACATTGAAGATAGTTCCAGTTCCAGTCCCACTGAGTAAGACTAGGAAAGATGCTTGACTGAGTTGCCGCATGATTGATGTACTTTATGATTGAAATACGATACATCCAATATATATGACTTGGTATTCCATGATAGAGCTGGAGATGCTTTACAGGTCAATTACCCCTTTATATAACCTCTTGGATTCTCCTGATCCGCGCGGGGTATTCGAGATCTGCCAAGTCCATAAACTATAGTTGCACAGAAAAAATTTCTTTCCATCTTGGAATTGGTTGTTCTATCCCGAAATGCCATGAATGATGTTTTTATCGGGATCTCAGCTCTGTAGTCAATGTAACATTTGTAACATTGCAGATGTGGATGGCCAGTTTGGAGTACGAATGCAACCCTGACGTTGTCCGGATACGAGCATAAATACGAAAAAGATGCAAAATTACCCTATAAGATATAGAGGGCTGGCATCGCCGTATAGATATAAAGTGACGCATGGGTTACGCTCTGTTTCCAGCACGACAAACGCATCATGAACAAGGCTGCGGAGTTGCACCAAGCGCCCGCAGAAGATTTGAAGTGATTTGCCCAAGATGGCTAATTTATCACTCAGTGTATCTTTCAACCTGTCCCTACTATTATTCCGGGACCACTCACCCGCCGCCGCTGGTGGAAATGTGATGGGCGTTGAGAACAATACCGATAACATCATACTTTCCTAGTGTGCAGTTATGACAACCATCAAGCAGCCTGGGCTAATCCCAAGCTGAAAGGTTTTCAAACTACGAGAGACTTCGCTGCTGGGGTAGAGGATAGGGTGATGGATCGACTCAGGTAGGTTTATATGAACTACGTAGACAAGTCGTAAGATGTTCTCAACTGTTAGGATCAAGCTAGCCGCGGCAAAGTATAACCCTGACCAGGCCTTTCAATAGCTATATCCCAGAGGGTAGAAGATAACAAACCTCAAACAGTAGAAGTGCCGCCTTGAAATATTACCCCTGACGAGATCCTGCAGTTAATTCGGCCATATCCGACCTCACTAGCAGGCTCTTTCGTTAACACTAACCGAACAAGACCAAACTAAAGCTTTAAAAAGGGGTATCATCGTCCTCCGCCAAAAGAACAAATCGCAGATTCCGTAAAATCAACAGCGTGTAGTATGCACACCGGCATCTGCATGGAGTTAGCTGGTAATTTAAAATCCGAAACCGGTGGCTGTATTTACCGAAAATGTGCTCACCAAAGAGTCATATCAAAGAAATTCATAAGGGAATAGTTTCCCCGTATAGAAGCAACCCTGGCTGAACCGGAACACAAATAAGCAGGCCCTTTACTCCGAAAACCCGGGGCTTAACTGGTTGTGTTTGACAATATCAAATAAACCTTCGATAAATCACCGCTTTTTAGCCTCGGTAATAACTCGGATGATCTCTATTATTCGATGCTTCGTATGCCATCCACTCGGGACTCGTATCCGTCGCAACGTAGGTCGGGACGACAGGTGGAGGTATTGATCGAGGGAATGGCGGCCAGTAGCTTCTTTCTGGCCAAGCAACCTCTTCCATATCGTCCGAAAGGTAGACTACGTGTTGGTCGCCGTCGTCATAGACGCTGTAAGGCCTACAACCGCATCTATTTGTGCAACAGCACCATAAGACTATACCGATGACAGCGGCTCCGATACAGCACCCTACGATGATGCCAATTTGCTGTTGACTGAGACCATCGGACGAAGCAGCGCCTGCATTCCAACTCGGAGCCGGCGACTCGGTCGGTGGGGCACCTCGGTCGAGCGTTACAACGGCGGTAGATGTCGCATCCGGGTACGTGATAGTCTGCGTCAATGTGACTTGTCTCCCGACGACGCTCGTATACTCTGGGGCTGTGGTAATTACTAATGCTGTAGAGTTCACGGACATCTCGGCGGCATAAAAGAAGGCCCCCAACCTGATATCGCGAATCGGAATCCGGAAATAGGTAGCGACGCAGCCCTAGAGAAACATTATTTTGGGACTGAAACCCAAGGGGGGCGATCGTCAGGTATTTTATCGACGACCCGTCATACAGGGGACAGCCCCCGCGTATGGCAGCCTGTCCGTATACGACACGTTAGAACATCCCACACCGATTCGTGTGCAGAGGGTTCAGATGGCATCGTCATCTGACATTGGTTCAAACTCGTATGGCGATTCTGCTGCCTTATATTGATAGGTGCCAACCTACATGCGGTTGGGCTGCCAACAAGCTCGGCATCTAGACGGATACGGGCAGTCCACCCTTCTTGCGGGTGCGACATATGACTGCCGCTAATGCGAATCACCTGCAGATGTGAGTTGCCAGGTACCTTGTAAGATATGTAGAATAAGTATCTGAGGCAGGTAACTTACAGATAACACGATGCCCGATCTTGGAAGACCCCATTTGTCCTGGTGATGGGTGGGTTACATTTGGGGTTCAGTTCCTGGTATAATACAAATTAACCCTATCACATGGAATGGCCATGAGGACATGCAGAGAGCTCGCCTGAAATTAGGACTACACACCGAAAAGCTGCATTACTTGCATATGCACGTTTCCCTCCCGCTTTCTAGGCAGCTACATACCTAATATTATATGTAGTGGCATCCTTCAAGGAGTTTCGGCCAATAACCATGCTCCCTACTTCCCCAAGGGATCACTGCAGCCGGCAAAGGTTGAGATACCGCGGTTATATCCGTCAGCTATTTCCACCAAATATTTTTATTGGAAGCCCTGATTCAAGAACACTATGTACCGAGATATGTAGACGGCTTGTTCGGTGTAGAAATTTCCGTGTATACCTATCTTATACTGGTATATATACCTGGGATAGAATATATGAAATAAATATCTAACCTGTGGAGGCGGTCAAAGCATGGAGGATAGGAGTTACATGATTCAGACTCAAAAGAAAACCCGGTAGATAGCCTCAAACAATTTTAATTGGTATAAAAGGAGCTTATTATATCGCGACTTTAGTTAACTCTGTCAACTTGCACGGCCGCTACTTTCGCCTCTTCTATATTATGCAAGGCAATATCGTGAGCCTGGGAGGAAGACTGGCATTCGAAGGTGGGAAAGTCACGAGTTGGCACTCGCTTCTCAAAATAATTCGTCAATCTCTTCTAGAGACCTACCTTTCATATCCGGCAAGAATAGCCAGAAGAATACTGAATAGATACCTGTTAGCAAGATAATAGCTTGCACCGTAGATGTCCTAGGACTCTCACCGAACGTGAGGGCATTAGAAGCCGCCCAGACCCAACAGTATTTGGCCCCCCAATTCAAGGCGGTGGGATTAATGAAATAAGGCGAGCAAAAAGAGATTAGCCCTGGATGTTCCATCGGCCTAGTTTAGGTACGAATGTTGCACGCGCACTTGATTTCCTCGTCGCTCAACGGAATCCGGAATGCTATCTAATGCCATACTGTGCTACGCCACGGGGCAAAACACTTACAAGCAAATACATAATCTACGCCGGTGGCGAAGGACAATGTGACCACCCGCAATCTTGAGTTTACAACCTCAGCCGATACAGGCCACGTCATGGAGCCTGCGAAACCGCTGTATGTAATAACATAGAAGAAGTTCAAGGCGAGGAATGTCTTTGCCGCCTCCGCTGTGCCAGGAGCTATCGTAGCTGCGATGGCTGGCCCGACCATAGCAATCACCGCCGAGCCGGTCCCTATGAGAAGCATGGTACGACGGCCCCAGACTCTGTATGCGCAGTACAAGCCGGTTGTAACGCCGACAAGCTGAACCACCATGGAGTAGACGCTGACTCTAAAGATGTCATAGATCCCGGCTTGTTGGTAGAAGTAGGTCTTTGGGCAACGTTAGACGGCACAAACAGGTACCCATAGCAAAGCGTATCGGAAAATAGGGGGGGGACTTACACCGTAAGACAAAAATACCCACACACCCGATGAAGCGCGTGAAACCGCGACGGCTACGCACAACATCGTACGACGTAGGTTGGCGCCCTGGAATATATCGACCGTGCGAGATCCGGTAGCATTCGACTTCTCTTCCTCCACCCCTCGGATGATCTCTACGAACTCCTCTTGGAGGAACTCCGGTTCGAGAGAGTTGCCGCGGAGGTAAATGAGAGACCTCTCAGCCTCTCCACGACGGTCATGAAGCACCAGCCAGCGAGGAGATTCGGGGATAAAGAATACGAAAAACGCTCAGCAGGGCGGGGAATATGAACAGACACGCGAGGGGTATCTGGTAAGAAAGTTTCCCCATGATGTGAGATGTCCTTTCGTCGACGACAGCCCCGAGGATAGTTCCGATGTTGATCGTGGCGGAGAACATGGCGGAGCAGACCGCGCGTAGCCGTGGGGGCGCGCATTCTACGATGTACGCGTTCGAGAAGGTGATGAAGAACGCGTTCGAAGCTCCCATCAACGCCCTCCCCACACACAATACGGCAGCCGAGGTCGCTGCTATCTGAGCAGCACACGCGGCGAAAGCTACCACGGCGCCCATCCATATCCCCTGCCTCCGGCCAAAGTAGCGACCGAACGGGGCGATGAAGAAAAACCCCGATTATATATAGTCCCCACGTTGAGAAACGATGCGATCAGCTGCTGGTCGGTCGTGGAGATGCCCCAGAAACCTCTCAGAGCTGGATCGCGGTATCCAAAGGTCATCAAGAAGCCGGGCATGGCCTGGAATATTCCGACGGCAGACACGTAGAAGCCGTACTGGGCGGCCGCGAAGGCCATGCCCAGGCAGATGAGAGCACATCTCCAGTTCTCCCTGGTGCCATTGTTGCGCTGGCTGCTGATGCCCATGGCGTCGCGTATGGTAAGAAAGGAAATAAGTAGGGGTTCTAATTTCAGGTAAAGAGATACAGGCTGTCTGATTAGTAGTTCTCTTAAGAGATAAAGTAGTGTCCCTTAAAAGAGGTAGATACGAGGTACCTAGGTAATTCTACCTTCTTTTCCTATACTTATACCTATACGTTTACCATTCAAACTCCATCCTGATCCCCCGCCGAAGAGTCGTGTGCCTACGTCGCATCCATAGCATCTATTATAATCAAGTCAACCAGCCAACGCGATTCGTAGGTATTAATGCATAGTTCGCAGGGGAACTTGCCCCTCATCATAATCTAATAAATACTTGGAACGTCTTGGAGATAGGAGGTAAGCATGTTCTCCAATGTCGGTAGATGGTCTCCGTCATTTTGAGGGGGGAAGGGGGGGAGCTGCCACCTCATCTGTATATTGATATGTCATGGAGGGATAAGATGGAGATTATGTTGAGTACAAACAGCAGGTAGGTGCCAGGAGGTTAGGCTAGGTAGATGTTCTCTTCACACGGGATAGCAAGTGAGTCTTCGGCAGTTGAGCTCAGCGTGAAAGCATCCATATTACAATATTTGTTGGCGTTGGAGGGGTGTGGTGCTTACTTATGCTGCTTAAAGATATTGGCGAACCATTTAATAAGACATAAGTATATGAGGTACTGACCTCATATTGAGGTTCTAGAACTAGCCCAGGTAGACACCGAATATTATCATACAACTAACTCACTGCCTACCTCCTAAGGTACAATACCGTGGCTCCCAATATCATGGTACAAGAAATATGTACAACACCTCCCAACCTAAACCTCCTAGAACTCACACCCCAGGCTTTTCCGACACTATCCTCCCGTCCTCATCGTAGAAAATCTCCTTCACCTTCACGGACCTCAAGTGGTTCACGCCCTGGCTCAGCTCGCAGTCGTGGTAGAACAGCCACCAGCGGCCCTGGAACTCGACGACCGAGTGGTGCGTCGTCCACCCGAGCACCGGCTCGAGCAGGCGCCCCGCGTACGTGAACGGCCCCAGCGGGCTCGGCCCCGTCGCGTACGCCAGGTAGTGCGTGTCCCCCGTCGAGTAGCTGAAGTAGTACACGCCCGCGCGCTTGTGCATCCACGCGGCCTCGAAGAAGCGCCTGTCGTGGTCGTCCGCGTCGACCGGCTCGCCCGTCTCCGGCGCGAGGATCACGAGGTCCCGCACGGCGCCCTCGAACGACCGCATGTCGTCCGCGAGCTTCGCCACCTTGGGGCACAGCGCTTTGGCGCCCGGCCCCGAGGGCTCCTTGGGCCCGAGCCATGCCGCGTCGAAGTGCTCGGGCGCGTTGCCCTTCTGGTAGCATTGCAGCTGCCCGCCCCAGAGGCCGCCGAAGTACAGGTACGCCGACTCGTCGGCGTCGTCGTCCACGAAAGACGCCGGGTCGATGCTGAAACTGCCCGGGATAGGTTCTGGCTCCGCGACGAATGGGCCGACAGGGGTATCGCCCGCCGCGACGCCGATGCGGAATACGGAATTCTTGTCGCGCGCCGGGAAGTATAGATAGTATTTGCCCTTGCGACAGGCCGCGTCGGGCGCCCATAACTGTTTGCTAACCCACGGTACGTCTTCCGTACGTAGCACGACGCCGTGATCCGTTACTTTAGGCGGTTCTGCGGAGGCAGAAGAAGGGGATGACGCGTAGGCGTCGAGTGAGTCGAGTGAGAAAACATGGTAATCGGCCATGTCATATTGGTCGCCATTGTCGTTGAATTGGATGTCAGTCTCGCGGTCATGAGATGGGTAAATGTATAGTTTCCCATCAAAGACGTGGGCAGAGGGATCCGCGGTGTAAAGATGGGTTACTAGGGGAGGCGACATCTTGAACAGGTATGGAGGTATATTTTGGATGTTGAAATCCTTCCTCGTGTTCTACTCAAATCAAATACCAGGTCGGCAAGCAAGTATGTATATCTACCATGTGAGAGTAAACTGCCTTTAATATTTAACCAGCCGAGTTCATGATACTCTGCAGGGTTCTTATACCCGGAGGAAGAAGATAAAGTGGAGAGACTTCGGTGTTGAGGGGGTTGTCCTTTGACTATTACTTGGTTTAACGATTTACGAGTTCATGGATATGATCTAGAATACGGATGAACTTATACTTATCTTGTTTTCCTACCTTAGTTTAGTTGCGTGTAGGGACTGTTAACTGTCGTGACGATAGCTTTCCTGTCATCCCGGCGGAGTGGATGCCGGTATTCTTCCAATTTATCCCTATTTAACCGCCCGTTTCGCCTGCTTTAGTTTCGTCCCACTTGCCGTATACGACATCCCTCTCTGTAAGTCGCATACGCTATTCATGTGATTATAATTGAGCACCGAAATTCTAATCATAGGTAACTACCTAACTCGGGTTAGCATATACTTCACAATAATTTTAATATTCTTCGTATGAACGTTGCATTAGGTACCAGGTAAGTTAGGTACTTATATCTGAACAATTTTATGTATATCTTGACTCGTAATACTTCGTTTGCACATAAGACCGGAATATTCAATTTGACGCTGTCTTGATGGTCTGTCTAGCAGGTATCGTGAATGCTCGCTCTAACCATGACGTTTTATGCGTTTATTACACCTAATGTAAGCCGACGAAGAGCGTCTTCATACCGCCCAGGACTATGATCTAACAACATTCCAGAGCCAAATCTAATCTCTCTGAACCGGGCCTCGACGTCTCTAATATACTTAAACACGATTCGAGTTGCAGGTCGTCCGACCTGGTCCGTACCAGCTTGGAGGAATGCGTCTCTCCTAAGGGCTGGAGTACTCTCAACCGAAAAGACCTCCCCAGGAGGTAGTAATTTAGAACTCATCATACTCGTGCGTAAAGTCTTCAGCGCCGCATATGCCCATTGATCCTCTTCTTCGTGCGATCGTTTCGAACCGTTATTATACCATTTGTTAGCTAGACCCGACTGCAGCCCCTCCCAAATTCGCCGTCGCACTTCTGCCTTCGCGTCATTATTATCAGTCTTGAATGCTAATGCCACGGCTTGGAAGTCGTGTAGAACACCCAGCGACAAGTATGGAACAAGGTCATTTCCGTGTACAGTACTGGTTATCAATCCCCTTGTCGCTTTTTGTAATGAAGGTGACATAGTAGAAGGCGGGCCATATGCATACACGTGAATGGGCCTGCCGGGCGGTAAGCATATGTGAGGGTTGGTTTGATGGGATTGTCCACTCGCAAGTAGTCTCTGATGGGGTTCAGCTGAAGTGACAAACGCAGTTCCGGTAGAAGCAGGCTCAGCAAGCATAGCTCCCAGTAGCGCAGTTACAGCGCCGCCGAGAGAATGCCCACACAGGACAAGACCGTAGTCCGAAAACTCCTCAAGAGCTTCTTTAAGGGTTGCAAGTACTCTTCCATCTCCCCCATACAAAAGCCGTCGTGCAGATGCGTGGATACCCTTATGGACCTTATACGGTTTTCCACGCCAGAACAGGTCGTCGTACTCACACATCATGTCGGCTAAAACGTCTTCGAATCCCAATGTACCGCGGCAGGATAACACAACAGCTTTTGACTCTTCGTCAATTGCAATTGTATGCACTAGGGGCACTCCGGTATCCGTAGACCCGGTAGAGTCGGAGCCGCCTTGATGATCGATGAATGAGGATAGGAGGATGCTGTCTGGTGGTAGTTCAGTATGATGGGCGAATGAACGAACATCCCGGTGTGTTTCATCTAACGCCTTCAGGATGGGCAACTCCTTGGTAATGCCCATAAATTTCAAAAAGTTTGATCCGTACGCAGCTGAGGCGTATCGACTATACCGGGTAATATTTCTAAGAAGATGGAATTTGGGGAATATTCCGTCAACCGTCCCAGTACGTCGCAGAGAATCGACGGCCTCCGAACCGCTATATGCACTCCTTTGCCGAAACGAAGACGGGACTAATGACATTTGTGAATCTCGAGTCTGTAAGGTGTAGATACTTGGACTGTAAAAATCGCGATGTTCCGACGTTATCCTTTTATGGCCCCTTGACGGCGAGCGAGGGTACTGGACACCCGTATCATGTCCAGTCTCGGAGTATGATATGCTGTTATGAATCCTGGCCTCATTTCTTTGCAATAAAGGAGATGACGGGCGACTTTCGAACGAGTGGACCGAGAAGGTATCGGTTTGGGAGACTACCGAGTTACGTCTCTTGCCTTGTAAAGACGCATATTTTGCCCGCAACGGTGATCCATGTATAATAGAACTTCCACCATCGCCTAGATCTCTCGAGGTGAAATGATTCGGGCTCCCTCGGCGCGGCGATTGGGGAGGCTCGTTGTGAGGTATCAGATTCGGATTCCTCTCCGAAAAATCTCTTTTCTGTGATATCGGCAATTTGCTTTGCAAAGGCTTGTTGCTACCCCAAGGCGGTTTCATTAGCGCTTTTGATTTGGCATTATGTGTTTGAAGGTTTTCCGAGCTTGAGTCGCGGTTCAATAAAACAGACCCCTTCCTAAGGACATCACGAATGCCACTTCTCTTTTCATTCCCTTTCAAAGTCGGCGGCGATTCAAGCTTTTTAGTCGAATATTTAACGCTTCCTAGAGAAGCCGGAACGGTAAGGGTGGCCTGAGAGCTCTGACGGGAATCATCTAACGGTTTCCTTGTACGTTTTTGGTTCGCAGCATGTTCGGAGCCTTGCTTATGAGAGGCAAGCGAAGATGTGCGATCCTTGGGAGGACCGAACCTCGACCCAGTAAGATTGTTAGAGTACCTGTCTTGATAGCATAAGTGGTCGCCTTTGACACTGCCCTTTCCCTTGGCCGATGAAGCGAAAGTTGGACGTGCAGCCTTTGGTGGGACGGGAGGAGGCTGGTCGGGTCGGTGAGTATCTGGTGACCGTAATTCGCCGTCGCCAACCAGTTCAACCCTGGACTGAGTATCCTCGTCGGTATCGCTATCAATAGCCATATTTTTCATATTATTACGGCTTATCCTATATACAACCCTGTAACTAGGCCCTGCCTCTCCATTTTCTGGCGAAATATCTTCCGAACTATTGATTTCTCTTTTAACGACGTCTACCCCAGGTAGCGACAAGACTGGTATGAGCGGGGTGCCGCTGATATCAACAGTGATCGTTTTCGTCGTGGTTGTAGAGGTAGTGATAGATACTTGAGCGTCTTTAGGGAGCGATCTTAGAATTTGTTGTTGAAGCTCAGCCTCAGGCATCTCGTCATCGCCGTCACCATTCCAATTCAGACCATCCTGCGTAACTGCTTCGACCATTTGTCCGTGGCGGTCTAAAAGGGGTCCTCCATCATGTCTACTGATATATACGTCTTCGCCGTCAATATCAACTCGCTCTCCATCATCGAGAAGAACAACATCCCAAACGACTTCTTCTTGATAAAGCCGACGTGATTCACCTTGTATCATCTTTTTGCACCGATTCTGTAAATAGGCAAGGCCGCACAAACCAAGAACAAGGTCAATTACTCCGACTTTTTCTCCCTGCGCGCCTGTAGCGGGATTTTGGAATTCCCGACGGATCAAGGTAATGATGCTCGCAATAGCTCTAGAAGAATCGGTTGAACCAAAAAATTGGTCGAGGACGGACAGGAACAACTGGGAGATTTGGGAAGCGGTTGACACGGTGGTGCCAGTAACGTGGAAGCCAGTCGCCGTCCAGAAGACGATCTGGGACATTGTCTGGTGCAAAGTTTCGAGACTCCTTTCTAGGATAGACTCGGCATCTGATTTACCCAACTCGGACTGGGCTCTTGCTATGACATCTCTTCCGGCTCTACTTAATATCCCTTCCAAAATACCGCGGCCCAGTTCCAGGCTAGAAAGTGTGGTAAACTTGGCAGCGCCCAACCCATAACCACCGATAAATGTACCTATGCGAAGAGCAAAGGAAGTCGATCGTGCGGCGAGGCTAACAGCGTTCGCTATTGGGCTAGGCAGGAGAGTTCTCCCCGCGGAAGGGGGTAATAGCTCCTCCGTCGAAAAGGGTATAGGAGCTTCGGCAGAGTGGCTCTCGTCTTCATTACGATCCGTTTCCGTGTTCGGCGTCATATTGACTCCAGAAGAAGAAAAAAACAATAGTATTCTAAAATAAGCAAGGAGTATATATCGCCCCTATTGCGACGAAGCTGCAGATCGTGTTGGGGTAATGAAGAACATGAATATGATGATAATGAGGGTGGTCAATATTTATATCTATCGTAGACATAACCATGATTTGATTATGTTGATTACATGTCTGCCAGAGCTCGAGACGAAATAATTCAAACGGCCGATTAAAAATGAAGTTTTGGAATTATTGTAGAATTGTATATGAAAGATTTACCTTAAATCTAGGTAGTTATGGACTTTAATTAAATCTGAAGCGAATAAGGAACTAATATAATGGGAAAAAAAAGTGTTGACGTTAGTAGTGTTGAGTTGTTAGTGTAAACTTACATGTGACAGTATTAGAACTCGTTCAGGCTTTAGCAACGTTGAAACTTATTCGGAATGGTACCTTACCTGAGCCATGTAAGTTGATGTAACGGTTCTAAAGTACCTAAGGTCGGACCTAGATGCTATTGGCCACAGCGGCCGGAGTGGACGCTTGCGTTGTCGTCAGTGAGCTAATCCTTTATAGACTAAAACCAATCGAGTTAGGCTGAATGGGCTTAAACTTGTTCGTTCCCAACGATTTTCGGATTTTCTGACACAGCCAGCACAGCAGCCTTGCGTGGACTATGTTGATAAGAGTTGGAGATATAGACGAGATAGACGAGAGGAGAGTTAACTTGAAACACATGAAAACGTTGTTTATGTCCTAGGCGCCTTTCGTTATCTAACTTCCCCAATAACCTGATCAACTCTCGATATCTTTCATTTTACCTTATCTAAGGTTAAGTAGGAATAAAAGACATAATAGGTACTAAACGTTAGTAGCCGAAAGAAGAAAAAAAGATACAGGAACCTGGGGATCGAGGCTTGTCCATGTCATTTATAAGGTCGCATTAATCGAACCATGTAATGTAATTTCGTGTCATTCAACCGCGAATAGTTTGAATAGAAAGTAGTCCAGAATATGTTGAATAAAAAAAAAGTACGAAATCGCGATTCAGTTTTAATAAGACGTGGCCACGGCTTCGTTATGATGTATATCCCACGGACTAGGTAAAGTTGGCGGAATGAGGAGGATCAATCTTAATAAGAGATATATGATAGGTACCGAAAGAATGTAGTAAAAGTAGAAGACCGATTCATTATGCCAGATTAAGTTTGCAAGCTTTATGTATACCCGTTACTGCCCGTACAGCCGTACCCCATTTCCTGTGCTGAGTTGAGGCTAGCACCCGAGACTTCTATTATTAGTGCTCTCGAGCTTTTCGTGAGTCCCGGCTGTTCAGCTTTTATGCAGGCTATGCAGTAAGTCCCAACCGCTAACCAGTAACGGGTATCTTTAGAGCTATTACTGGGGGGTTTGAACCAATCAATTAAGGCTAAGCACTGAAAATTAGGGGACGCACATACGAAAAGTCCAGGCCAAAAGTCAAGCGCAATAAAACTTTAGGTACCTGCAGGTACTGTACTGTACCTTGTACAGCGACGAGTCCCCTTCTCTCCTTAGCTTGGGAGCTTGGGGCATGTACAATATCAGGTATACTTGCATTGTACAATACGATACATCATACCCTCACCTCCTTTAGGGGAATTTCCAAGCTCAGCCCAAATTCCGATTTCTTCGTATTTTTCATTGTCGACGGTCTATTTTTTTTTTTTAATCTTATTAGCATCCCGACGTCAATTAATTTCAGAGAGAATAGAAGCCCATTCCTTCCTTACCTTTTTCCTTAGCCAACTTATTATCAATTACTTCTTCCTCAGCGTCGTGCGTTCGTTTCGCCTCTGCTCCCTGCCCATACGTTCGTTCTCTTCTATCTCTCTCCCTCTCCACCAGCTCGAAACGATACACGGAATACAACCTTACCACCATTCATACATACCTAGGTACCTAAATTGACAATGGCTGAACAAGGTCTCTTCTCGTCCGACTTGATCTCCCCCGCCGTTTCTGCTGCCCTCCCAGAAGGCTACACAGCTCGTTCCCTGCGATTGTCCGACTACGATGCGGGTTTCCTCGACTGCCTACGCGTTCTAACCACGGTTGGTGAAATTAGCCAGGAGCAGTTTGCCGAGAGATACCAATGGATGTCGTCGCAAGACACGTACTACGTCCTTGTTATTGAGGATACTTCGAGGGGGAAAATCGTAGGGACCGGAGCTCTACTTGTAGAAAGAAAATTGTAAGAAGTTCCATACCCTGCCGCCAATCGGGGGATTGCACGATTTGGCCAGCGGATAGCTCAAGGGGGTCTACCTAGTTTCCCTTAGGTAATGAAGAGATGAAGAGATGAAGAGTAGTGGCTGATACGATCCATTCCCATTTAATAGCATTCATAGCCTTGGCTTAGTCGGCCATATCGAGGATATCGCCGTAGCCAAGGATCAACAAGGCAAAAAGCTTGGCCTTCGTTTAATCCAAGCCCTCGACTTCATCGCCGAGAAGGTCGGCTGTTATAAGACCATCCTCGACTGCAGCGAAGCAAACGAAGGGTTCTACGTAAAATGCGGATTCCGAAGGGCCGGATTAGAAATGGCCCATTACTATAACAACGATAAGAGTAAGGCCTAGTAAGAAGAGGCCGCGAATCATAGAATTGGAAAGGAAGGGGTGGCATATATATACTAGAGAGAGCAAGGTTATAGAGAGTTCGGATACTGACAGACAAACAACATCCTGCATTTCGGAAAGGTTGTTTGTACGATAGAGTTATAGAGTCTAAATTTAAAGACATGTGAAACGAGACATCCATATGAGAAGAGACGAGAGAGAAGAGACAGAAAGTACCTAAGCCAACTGGAGACTTTGAGGGTTTCGTCATGGACTGACGAAGCTTAGTGCAGGAATGGCTCTTGTCAATTCTCGTCCGACTAAGCCCCCAAAATATGGCTCTCCTTCTCATTCGGGTTGGTGGGTGTTCTAGGAGGGAGAGCTGTGCCGGACGTTACTTATGATAACCACTTGCAAGTTACCTCTGAGCATCGCCGAGACGCAAGTTGACTCCCCCCAGTTCCCCATCCAATCCAAATCATTCTTGGCATCTTACTGCGATGCGCTCACACAAGTTGACAGGGGCTTACTCAGATACAACGGAGCGTAGGAACGGTCGAATACAAATACATACCTACCTAGAACCTATACGGATATATTCCTGTTGCTCCGCAGTCGTAACACGTGAACATCCAACTTCCAGATTCGTTCAGATGCTTTGCTTTGCTTTCGGCATATATCCCTCTGGCTTGTGAGTCTGACGACTATATAAAGCTATGGCCCATCTCACCTCAACTCGTCCTCCTAGAAGGACAAGATTTGATCCTTAACGTCAACGGTATATATTTCGATTCTATCCTTTACATCCGTTGCCTACTTACAGTTCTTCCATATACTTTACCCATACCCTCCCTAGGTCTACCTGTTAGGAATCTCACATTATCCATTCTACATAGCATCTGCGCGAGACCGGACTCTCGGATATCCCCATCGGCCCCCTCTCTATTTCCCATCTTGCATAAATACCTAACGCAATGTCCTACTTAAACACAAACAGCGCGAACGTGATTGTTGATCATGACCTTCGCAACGCTCTGATCAGAACCAACATAGCCCTGCTTCAACGAGAGTACGTTTTGACCAAACCTCTTGTCGAACTTCCAAAGCCTCTTTTTCACTTGAGAAAGGCTACCAAGTGACTCTAGGCCTTTTTTCGCTGTGTACTATGTATAGAAACTAGGACATTCCAAAATTGGAAGTCCTGTGGAATGTTTCAGCATCCTTCAAGCTACACTACCACATGTGCCGCAGACTTACACTAATCTTGTCGCCCTTGAGAAACATAACTAATTATAAAACGTACTACAGGATTCGTGAGAAAAAGAATTGGTACACTAGCCGCCGTGTCGTAGTTCGGAAGCGCAACGGCCGCATCCACCTTTCGCGGCTCGGTTCGCGGAAACAGACCGAGTACGTCCCGGTAGACTTCGAGGAGGAAGAGGATTCCCAAGACACTAGCAGCTTCACGCTGGTCGACGAGACGTCGTCCTCGCGGTCGGCTAGCTTCAGCTCTAACTACTAAGCCCACTCCGCGCCCCCCGCCCCCCCTTCCCCTGCACCATGGCGCCGGACGGTGCTATCGCCAGCTCCCGGCCCGCGCCGCAGCAGTGGCTCATGGGTACGGAGGCCTTCGAGCGTCGCATGCCGCACCACGCCAGCATGCGCGCGCTGTGGGAGACCAAGTGGCGGGAACCGTGCTGGAGGTCGGTGTACCCTTTCCACGACGGCGCCTTCGAGGATTTCGAACCGATATTTCTAGACCTGATCGCCCGGAACGTCAACGACGGCACCTCGGACGACTACACGCAGAGCTTCATACCCACCGCGAAGGCCCTCGAGAGAAGCGGCGACGCGATCGCTGCTCGCGGAGCCGAGGGCGCCAAGGACGAGGCCTCGCGTCTGTATCTGCGCGCCGCGTGTGTCCTACGTATCGCCCGCTTTCCGTATATCACAGGCTTCCCGGTCCCCAACAACCCTGCCAAGTGGAGCGCGTGGGAACTTCAGAAGGCCATCTACTCCAAAGCAGGATCTTTGTGGTCGCCGTCCCCTCTAGCCGAAGTCCTGATCCCGCATAGCTTCGCCCAGGGACGCGATCGCGACCGTATCCCGGCCTATGTCCGAGTACCACCACCATCATCATCATCATCATCACCATCACCCCCTTCTCAGGTATTACCCAACGGCGACGCGAAACACCCGGCCGTCATCCTCTTCACGGGCCTGGACGGCTACCGCCCGGACAACACGGCGCGCTGCGAAGAGTTCCTCGCGCGCGGCTGGGCGGCCGTCGTGCTCGAGATCCCAGGCACAGCCGACTGTCCGGCGGATCCGGCGGACGCGCGCTCGCCCGACCGGCTGCTGGACAGCCTGTTGGCGTGGATGCAATCGGACGGGCGGTTCGACACGCGGCGCGTGCTGTGCTGGGGGCTGAGCAGCGGCGGGTACTACGCGGTGCGGGCGGCGCACACGCACCGCGAGGAGCTGCTGGGGGTCGTCGCGCACGGCGCCGGCACGCACCATTTCTTCGCCCGCGAGTGGCTCGCCCGCGCCGACGGCCACGAGTACCCGTTCGCGCTCGCGCCCGCGCTGGCTATGAAGTACGGGTACGGCGACGACGTGGAGGCGTATGTCGAGGGTTCGCAGAGGAAGTTTTCGCTGTTGGAGACGGGGGTCTTGCGGATGCCGAGTACGAGGTTACTTCTTGTTAACGTATGTGTATCCCCTTTTTTCTTTTTTTTCTTTTTTTTTTCTTTTTTGGATTGCCTTATTTTGGTTTATCAACTGTCTCTACTCGATACTGACGCTGACGCTTACCATAGGGAACGCATGACGGGCTCATGCCGATTGAGGATTCGATGCTGTTGTTCGAGTACGGGTCGCCCAAGGAGGCGCGTTTCTTCACCGGTGCGTTGCACATGGGATATCCTATGGCAAATGCGTCGGTATATCCCTGGATGGAACAAGTCATGGCTTCTGCGAAGTGATTGTTATATCGATGTTGTATTGGGTTTACGGGATGGCATCAGGTGGTTGGAATTGCATTTGGGCGTTTACAGGGTGATGTGAAGGTATTCGAGATTTCTGGAAGAGGATGGGTACTGTAAGAATAAAATATGCTTTACGCTTTAAGGGTAAAATTGTGTTATTATATAACATATAACTCGGTTTTTGTTTACATCTAGTTTCAGTATCTTGATTCTTGATGCAATCCCCTAATAGGGTGTCCTTTTACTGCTATGCGTCGCTCTCGTTTTACCGACCCATCCATCCACCATCCACCACTAATGTATGTCCGCTCACATACGCGCTCGCTTTGCTAGCCAGAAACACAGAGCTGCCCTTGAAGTCATCCGGATCTCCCCAACGCCCAGCCGGAATCCTCGCACCAATGCTCGCCGCTCTCTCCTCGTCATTGATCAAAGCTGTGTTCATCTCCGTCGCGATGTACCCGGGCGCCACAGCATTGACATTGACGCCCTTCTGCGTCCACGAATTCGCGAAAGCCTTCGTCATTTGCGCCACGGCACCTTTGCTCGCGGCGTACGCGGGCACGTTGAGTCCTCCCTGGAACGAGAGCAGGCTCGCGAAGTTGATGATACTGCCGCGCCGGCCCGTTACGGCGGAGGGTTCGAGACCGAGCATGTGCGCGCCTGCGTCCCGGGTTAATGTGAATACTGTGTCCGCGTTGACGCCCATAACCGCGCGGTAGTCAGCGTCGGGGAAGACTTCGGGCGCATGTCGAATCTGAATGCCCGCGCAGTTCACGAGGATTCGTATCGTATGTCCGTCCGCTAGAATACGTGGGATCAGGCCTGCTACATCTTCTGCGTTGGCGAGATCGGCTGTGTATATGTGGGCTTTGCGACCGAGAGCTTCGATGGCATCTTTGGTCTCAGTCGATGCTGTAGACCGCTTTACAGATGGTAAGCTTTCATCAGGATGACAGTTGTCATATTCCGTTAGGTTTAGGTACATACTTGAACCAAGATTATATCCGCACCCGCTTCTGCAAGTCCAATGGCAACAGCTTGTCCAATTCCTCTCGTGCCGCCAGTGATAACAGCCGTCTCGCCTTTAAGCGAGAACAACGCATCCGTCATGTTTTGGAAGGAAAAAATTCTGGCTTACTATCGATTTTACTCAGGAGTCCGAGAGGTTGCGTCACAGTAGACCAGAACTGCCTCCTAACCTATTTACCTCCTGGGTCTTTACTATTCCGTACCTAATATTACTAGTGCTAACCCAATGTCTTGGTAAGTTCGAGATTGGATTTCAAAGAAGCGACTATTCCTCCGATACAAGCATAAGTAAATATTAGACAGGTATCTAAGAGAACATCTATAACTTATAGATTAGGGGAATCTCTTGAGAATATTCTAGTTTCCTCTTGCCTAATGCGTTTTTATCTTTCTCTGAGCTATTGGAACTAATTCAGTTAACCTAAAAAGAAAATACGTCGCGATTGTTAGGTTAGGTAGCTACCTCCTTTTGACAGATCTCCTCCGGTTCTCGTGGTGTTAGTCGGCGATAACTCGGCCCCTCAAGACATCAACCCCTCCCCCTCCTCAATTCCACCTGGGAACGTTGTAAGCGGGGTAAATGGGGATGAAGATTGGGGTAAGAAATAATTTTTCCACGAACATGGTTCGACCAGAAACGACTATTTCCCCCGAGATTTAGCATACTTCGCCGGCATTAGACAAAACGGACAAGACGAAAGCGCTATTCTACCGGTTCTCCCCACAGTGGACCGATGGTGCGCCTTCAACACGGTTTCCTTCTGCCCTTTATTATTGTAGCGTGGACCGAGGTGGCACTATCTGCATGTCCTGCCTTATTCTCTTCCGCCGCTAAGAAGTCTTGTTTAATGTAGGTAGTTACCTGGTACACAATAACATAGAATTCACTGGTTCCTGCAGCGTCTATTCAGCCGCGATCGCTCCTAGGATCATGCCGAAGTTAGGAGGTAGATTAGGACCGGGGTCTGTTTCCTACCCCTAAGGTATTCCAAGTTGTAGGATGTAGAAGTAGATACCTGGTATAGAAACATTCAATATTGACAAGAGCACTGCCCAGTCTCATAATTAATGTAATATTTCACAGTTCCTCGTGCTTTTCTATTGTTTACTTCTGTCAAGATATCCGGCAGCCTACAAACCTGTAACAATTCATCAGATACTCAAAGTCAAAAACGATACTATACCTAGGTCCCTATAGGTATCTTTCTAACCTGAAAACAAACCCGCAATACCAAGATATCATGACCAGTGATATCAAAGCATCCGTCCTCCATGGGGCGAGAGATCTCCGAGTTGTAAGCTCTGTTTTCGGAATAGGCCCGAAGCAAAAGATGGGTTCGGAAGAACCTTGTTGACCCTTAAATTAACGAGCGCAACAGGAAATCCGCCAGCTACCGGAGCCGGCCTCCGACGAAGTCCAGGTAGCGGTGCAGATGACCGGCCTCTGCGGCTCGGACCTGCACTACTTCCGGCATTTTCGGAACGGCACGATTGAGGTGCGTGAGCCGTTAACCCTAGGCCACGAGTCCGCCGGGACCGTTGTCGCCGTGGGTCGGAATAGTTCGTCCGCATCATCCTTAAAGGTTGGCGACCGCGTCGCGCTTGAAGTCGGTCTGCCCTGCGAGGTCTGCGATCTATGTCGGGGAGGGCGCTACAACCTCTGCAAGGGCATGAGCTTCCGCAGTTCTGCTAAGGCTTTCCCACATGCCCAAGGGACACTGCAGGACAAGATTAACCACCCAGCTAGGTGGTGCCATAAGTATGTATACAATATCATAAGATATATGATTACCGTGATAGTTCGATACTTCTTTTTTTTTCCTGCCAACTATCTTTGTTTAGGGTCCTAATCTTTGTGTCTCCTACCTAGATTACCAGATACTCTATCCTTAGAGCACGGAGCTCTCGTAGAACCCCTTTCCGTCGCGATACACGCCCGGAACCGCGCTGCGTTGAAGTCTGGATCGACTGTACTAGTCTTGGGTGCTGGAACCGTAGGTTTGCTTTGCGCGGCTGTCAGCAAGGTAGCTGGAGCCAAGACAGTTGTTATAGCGGATATACTTGAGGACCGTGTCAAGTTCGCCGTCGATAACGGATTTGCCGACGTTGCATTCACGGTACCAACCTCAAACTCGAGGCCTGAAACTGTTGAAGATAAACTGGCATACGCACAAGATCTAGCTGAAAAGCTGAAATCGTTAAACGTCAAGGGAAGTGCTGATGTCCTTGGCGAAGTCAATGTAACCTTCGAATGCACAGGTGTTGAGCCATGCATGCAAGCGGCTATATACGTATGATTTCTCCTTTTCTATACGACCCCCTTTATGAAAAAAACTAACGAGGTTGGAAGGCGACGAAACCCGGTGGAAAAATAATGATCATTGGTATGGGCATGCCTGTCCAAACACTACCCATAATGGCCGCGTCTCTCAAGGAAGTCGACCTAGTCGGTGTATTCCGATACGCCAACGCATATCGCGAAGCCATCGAGCTGCTTGCAAGCGGGAACCCTGTGCTACCTAACGTGCTAAAACTCGTCACGCATCGGTTCCGGGGTTTAGATGATGTACCTGGCGCGTTTGAGACTGCCGCCAAAGTAAAAGACGAAAAGGGGGATTTAGTTATCAAGGTTATGGTTGATATGACACAGTAGATGGGCGCTACTTGTTCAAGATTAGACAGAGAGTATCAGAGTTCCTCCTATACTAAACACACTGAAGAGCCATCCATCTCCCGAAGTTCCAGGCACTAACACTGAGAACTGAACTCGATAGCACCTGACTTATAAGAATCCTAAAACGACATACCCCAATGCAATACAAGCGGCTTCCTGCGCCATGAACTCTTAGCCTTACTATCCTATAGCATCGTTCTCGTTTGCTGTGCCAAGTTCGGGTTCACCTTTAGACCCGTTGCTTTTTCGATGCCACCATTCTCTTTCAACAGATTGATCAGGATTTTGATTTCATCAACCAGTGACTGGTTAGTGTTTTTCATCGGCTTCTCGGCTAAGAGCCATGCTCACAAGCGAGTCAATGCTGACAGCGGAGTACAATAGTCCCACTCGGCAGCAGTAGAACCATGATCTAGGTACGCGACTATCCACGGTATGAAGATGTTTGGTTCCGCGCCAGCATTAAGCATCAACCTCATCATTTCGATGGCGTCGGGAAACCTTCTTAGAAGAACGGGGAACCCCCCAATAGCTTGGTGAGCCAGTGCGTGCCAGAACCAACTCCAAGCTGTCATGTTTTCGAAGGTTTGCTGCGGGCAACACCCATTATCTAAAAAGAGCTTTGCCATACTTGCGCGAGGATCGCCATAGTACGAAAAGCATAGAGCATGTCCTAAAAGTGAAAGACCTTCCTTCGCGAGAACTCCAGGACCATGGCGTTCGACGCATTCCGTAATATAGGAGTCGAGTCCACTTGCGAGCGCAAACGATAGGAAGTTTGGATGAGTATCGTAAGGTGGGTAAGAAATACCAATCTCCGAACTGGGCGAAGCTATGCATTCGAGATACCTATGCCAATAATCAGACCAGTGTACCAGCATCCTGCCAGTATTTTGTCCAGAGCTGTCGCCTGCCTCAGTTTGGCTTCCATGCTTTGTAAAATACATGTCCACGGAAGAATCAAGCTCTTGGATGACGTCGGGGTGAAATTGCTTGTTGACGTGCTGCGGTTCTCTAGCCCTTTTCATTACATATAAAACCAGCTGTAGCATGTCATTGTCATCAGTACGTGGGCGCAAGGGAGGGATCCCATACGTCTTAACGAGGAGAATTGCGTTCGCGTCGTGGCACCATTATGGTAGACCTCCTTCGCATTGGCAACGAAGTCGATGGAAAAGGCTACCAACTTTAGAACACAACCTGTCACTGTCAACGCCAACCCGGCTGCGTCCATTACGGTATATATAGTACCCGTACCTTTAGACTTATGCGATAGTATAAATTAAATATTGCTAACTGGCTTTGAAGATATTCATAGGAGGTATATTTTATAGCATAATCCAAGGAAAAATAACAATGTCAACTCCGGATCCGTATGAAGCCCTTAACCGTCGTATATCCTGTAATATCTAAACCTTAAGACCTTTATTATACCAGGTAAACCGAGAGGGTGGGTGTATTTTAATCTTAGACTAAGTCGGCACCTGAAGCTTTCTCAAACTGTGGTTTTTGTTTTTGCACGCAGCACCTTTTGTTCTGCATTTGATGCAGATGTCGTAATTGTCGCCGGAGCAGTCGCAGCAGTCTAGAAGCAATATACAATTTAGTCGAGACATGCCGAGAACCTTTATTTGGAAAAAAAGGAAAAAAACTTACGCCAGTAGCAATGCCCCTTTTCGATGCCTTCGCTACACCTATCACAACCGAGACTTTCAGTTTGGACTCTGGATTTTGTATGCGAGCATCCTGGCTTCGGTTCTTCGGGTGGATCCGTAAGAGCTACCAACGTAGCCTCCGTCGCCTCGTTGGCGAGGTGCTCTTCGATGATCTTCGCTTGGACCATGCCGGCGTGGTAAGCAACGGTATCCGCCGCCGCTACCTGCGTAGCCACGCCTGCGGCCCCGTCGCCTGCAACGTGCGCCGCCAGCTGCTGGACTTGGCCGGCCATGCCCTCCGCCGCCTTCCCCGGATCGGCTGTCAGCCCGGTGCTCTCGTTCGCGCCGTCGGGTAGCGCCGCGCCCATGTCGTTGATGTTGGTCATCCCCTCGGTGAAGTCGCCCACCTCCATGCCGATTAAAGCCGCCATCGCCCCGATGGACCAGGAGATGGCAGCATCTTTGGCGGTGATATGGCGGGTCTTCAGATTGCGCCTGCGAAGCTCGGCTTGGATGATCTCGCGCTTCTTGCTGGCCACGTACGTGCTCCGGCCTTTGTAGCCGGCCAAAAGTAAGCTCAGCCCTCCGGTAAATACCGCGCTGCTTAGCCCGAAACCAGTCGCAAAGCCGCCTGCGAGGTATTTACGCCCCATGGCGATCTCCTGCTGTTGAAGCCTCGCGACGGCGAAGCCCTTAACCTCCTCGCGGTAGCGGGCAGCGTCGAATTCGAAGTTCTCTTCGAAAGGCATGATGAAGTTTGGAGACCAAATTCGGTACTAAGGATTTGATTGTATTGAACACTTTAGAATGTCCGCTGATTCCCTTCTTCTTTGCCTCAGTAGTGTCTACACTTTCGTTTTTATATTGACCTTGATGGTCCATTTGTCGTGTAACGCGGCTCCGATGCCTCGCCACATCATCCTCAATTCAAATTTTAGGATAACTTAACGATCGTGAAGACTATAGTAGGGTATAGGCCAAAAGAGAATAAGCTTAGAAGGTGCAGTTCTCGGTGGCAAAGGCGCCCATGACCTTCACTTGGGATGTGTCTCATTTACCAGTCTGCCAGTTAGTCCCAAGGCTATCAGCTGGGGATACAGGGGTAGGATTCATTCAAGAGCTCTCTCCATGAAGTATAGCTACAAGCTAGATGTAAGTATCTGTAAGCCTGTTTCTTTCTTTTTTACCATAGTCTCCCTTCCTCTGCATCCTTTCGCCACTCAGGCTAGGAGTAGATATTGTTTCTCTACATGGCGATATATTTAGAGCGGCTTCATTGTTATTGTTAGGTATGAGTTGTATGACAAACGCTAGCTGGATTGTGGCATACACATGTAATCATGGATGGGATACACAGACTACCGAGATATTACTCAGATCTCCAACTAAATAAAGTTCTTACTTCGTTTCGCCACCATATGTGCCTTCGTGGCACTGAGACATTCCTCTCGAAAGGTTCTATGTCGCGATAAAATATACAAATTCGGTACCAATGAAAAGAAGATCATGTCACTGGTGTCTTACCTCCCCGCGAGGCTTCGTCTGACTTTGACGGATCCACCGAGTAAGGGTTGAACACTGTCGGATATTCCATACCAACATGTATCAGGCTGAATCGACCGAATAATCCGATCATCATTCGCACGTGGCGCCTCTTGCTCGACCATGAGAGCCAAGTATCAGGTAATTAATTACTATATATATACCTCCTAGGTAGGTATATACTTAAAAAGCATATATTATGCGTATGCTATGATGGGCCAATCTTACCTATTTAGATTGCTTACCACATGGCAACGGGTCAATATCTCCAAGGGTACCTAACTTAAGACATATGTAACTCGCTTTATGATGGCAGAACTAGGTATAGCTCATCCTGTCCAACCTCAAAGCCTCGCCGAGCAATACTTTCCATGCAGATGTGCTATATTCGCCTCCTGGTACGTAGAACAAGCCCGGGCTATACCAGGTTCCAGGTTTATATGTTGGAGGGCATCATTCAAATTCAATCCAATCGGCACGCGTTGACCACCGAAAACCATCGTGTGCGGGGAGTTCATCTTTGAAATTTTCGAGCATCGGACGGCCCCGAGTGTAGGATAAGACTGCGTTATGGAAGTTGACATCTTGGACTCGGTAGATCTCAAGACCGGACTCCAAGTAACCCCCTAGAAGTCCTCACCGGTTCCACACTTTCAGCCGCGAAACTTTTGATAGACTTGGCCTAACTCTGAGCGTTCTTGGGGTGATATGTACATGGGAGTTGATCGACGCAAGATGATTATTCATATTTACCGCTTTTCGAAGGCAATGATAGTTGTCAGTAACACAAGGGTGACGGGAATTCTCGCTGGGACCTGTCGTATTTGCTTTTGGTACAACATCATATGCATTAGCTTGAGCCTTCTGATTCGCGACCTCGCGCACCGTAGACAAGTCACTTTTTCAGCTCCTAGCACCAGGCACATCTCTCTAGCACAAGTGACTAAAAAGTAATTTCTCTACGAACACGCTAAACCCAGCCGCCGTCGCCCCCTTTACGATAGGTACCTACCTACCTAATACAATGATAGCGCAGAGGCCCAATAACGACAACAATCGCGCCGCACATCATTTCACCCCGCAAAGCCGTTCGGTAGACTCCTGCCCTCCTTCTTATCCGGAAAACCGAAGTTGATGCCGAAGGGGGGGTATACGTAGCGCAGGACCTTGCCGTCCTTCGCGAGGCTGGCGGAGTAGTCGTTCAGGATCTGCACGTCTTCGGCGTCGAGGTCGACGATCTCGAGGTTGGCCTTGATGCGCGACTCGGTCACCGACTTGGCTAGCACGGTGGCGCCCCTGGCAACTGTTTTTTTGTCGTCAGTATTCGTAGGAGGTGTCGTTGTGTTATCAGGTGAAACACTACAAGTAATAGGAGACAAGGGGGGGGGGGGGGGGGGGGCAGATTAGGTGGTAGAGAAAAGCGGAACGTGGTGGGTTAGCAAGTTCGTTGCAGGGCAAACACCCTGACACTGGGCGACCGTGGTAACAGCCACGCAGG